ATGGAACATACAGAGACATGGAACATACAGAGACATGGAACATACAGAGACATGGAACATACAGAGACATGGAACATACAGAGACATGGAACATAAAGGTACATAGTACGGAGTACATACAGGTGAGGTACACAGTATATACAGGAACATAGTACAAACAGGTACATACAGGCTGGCTGTTTCTTTGGTTCGTGCATCTATTGGTCTCATGACGAGAAAGGGTGGAAGCCCTCCTGACACCCTATTTGTCTGTCTAGTCTATCTCATCTAACAGCGCCGCCAGCCACCAACCGTCAGTCAACAAAACAACCCAGGCAGAGCCTAGGAGCCCGCCCCGAACCAAATTCCTCGGGTCAAGACTTTTGTTGGAACCGTAGATCGAAATCCTCAGGTCAAGACTTTTGTTGGTATCGCAGGTCGAAATTCCTCAGGTCAAGACTTTGTTGGAACTGCAGATCGAAATTCCTCAGGGCAAGACGATCGAAATTCTCAGGCCAAGACTTTTGTTGGAGCCGCAGATCGAGATTCCTCAGGTCAAGACTTTTGTTGGAACCGCAGGTCGAAATTCCTCAGGTCAAGACGATCGAAATTCTCAGGTCAAGACTTTTGTTGAAACCGCAGGTCAATCTCCGACCCGGCGCCACCAGCACTGTCAACCTGAGCTTCAGGCTCAGGCTTGGGGTCTGCGACGGGCTGGCCACTGCGAAGGGCGTTCCAGATCTGGAGCAGTTGAGCTCGGCCGTCAATGATGGGGAAGAAACCCGCGATGAACAAGGTGATCCAAAGCCAGATAATGGCGACGATGATCCACGCACTGAAGAAGCCCTTGCTGAAGATATAGTGGGACGCGTACATCGGAAGTGGCCACAGCACCCAGTGGCCGAGAAAGGTGGCAGCGGACCAAATTGCGGCGATTTTGCCCCAGTGCTGGAACTTGGCCTTGTTGGCCGCATAGCTTGAGGCGTCTTCCTCGATGATGTGGGAATGCGTGGCTCGGACGTCCTCGGCGCTGTCGAAGGCCAGTTTCTCCTTGCGGAAATCCGCCCAGTGGAAGTTGTCCGGCCGCAGGAGCGTGAGCACGATGGAATACAGTGCCGGGCTCAGGGCAGATGCAACCGTGCCGTAGACACACGGGAGCGTCTGGCCGGTCGAGGCGACCGAGACGGTGCCGTAAAAGGCGTGGGCGGAGCCCAGCCAGACGGCGATCCCGGTCGCCATGCCCAGTAAGGGCGAGATGATGGCCGCGAGCTTGGATTGTTTCCGCCAAAGAATCGTGAAGACGGTGGGGAAGATGCCGGGGCACGTCAACACGCCGAGCATGTACAGCGTCCAGCCAAGATCGACCTTGCCGTAGTGAAGCGCGGTCGAAAAGCAGGCCGAAAAGAGGCCAAAGAAGACGACCCCGACGTGGCTCCACCGGATGACATCGCGGTCGTTGGCACGGCGGTTGAAGTACCGGCGGTAGATGTCGAAGCTGATGATGGAAGACACGGAAATGACCTGGGCCGACAGCGTCGAAGTCACGGCCATGAAGGTGATCAAGAGAATCCCCGCCGCGCCGCCTTTCCCGGCAACGGCAATCGCCGCGTACGGCAGAACGAGACCGTTGGATGTCTCGGTGGCGCTCATGCGACGTGGGTACGTCGGGAATCGGGGGTTGCTCTCCAGGCCGAGAGCGACAAAACTCATCAACGTTCCCAGAGCCCAAGGAATGGCAAAGTACGCGATGCCGCCGACGATGTAGCCTGGAACAACGGCCTGCGGAGCGGCGCTGAAGGCCTTGACGAAAAAGCCCGTGTCCATTATGACAAGGCCGAAGTTGGCCAGGATATGGATGATTCCAAACAGAATTGCCTGTGGCCCACAAGGTTAACGCCAGCCGCAACGGTCAATGAGGGCGGTGGACTGGGAGATTTACCCCCTTGCTCGTCATTGTCATATACGACCCATGGTGGTTTCCTGAGACAGGATGCTCGTGGCCCGCTCGGATGACAAGATCATAAAGATGGCCGGGCGAACTGATCTCCGGAATCGTGAACGCCTTGACGGTGAAGTAGCATGCGATGATCAGGATGACAAAGGTATGGAAGTAGTCGGTCAAAAACGTGGCTTTGATCCCGCCCACCGAGGTGTACAGAATCACTCCCACCGGTAGCAGGAACGTGGCAGCGATGATGTGCATCCCGGTCCTGTCCAAGGGGTCAGTTCCGTTCTCGACGGGAGCTCCAAACCACTCACAGTGCCGTGATTGCCGCACTGGCCCCAAGCAACATGTTGGCTACGGCGATGATGTTGTTGATCAGGCAGAGCACGATCCAAACGATGTGGCCAGACTGCCCATATCGGATGCGCACAATCTCGAGTAAAGTGTGGGCTTCGGGGATGCGCATCTTGCACGCAATCCCAAGTAGGGAGAAGAAGACGATCATGGGCGAACACCCGGCGGCAAACCACAAGGGACCGGCCGCACCGAAATTGTATCCGACCAGCGAACTGCCCAACATGGCTGTACTCCAGAGCCAGGACGAGATGACCGCACTGGCCGTCAAGCCCGTGCGAACACTTCGGTTGGCCGTCATGAACATTTCGGTTTTGGTGTTGTCCTCTCCAACCGTCTTCTTCATGAGTCGGGTAATCAGGATCATGATGATGGCAATGACGAAGCCAATCACCACCACCACGACATAGCCGACGGCTTGGGAGAGAGGCGGCGTGATGCTCGCATCGGGAACCGGGGTAGGCTCTGCGTTGGAAGAAACCATGGCTGGCAAGCTGTGCGAGTTCTCAAGAGAGCCTCCTTTCCTCCTTGCAACCCGGAAATGGAAAACCTGAAGACTGAAGACTGAAAACGTGCTCCTAGGCCAAGGGGCCAGGCCACGAGGTGGACCTTATATGCACCATGCCGTCGGCACCCGAACATGCAAGAGCCATTGGAGATCTGATCCAGGGCATAGCTGTTGGCAACCCTCAAGGCCGTGCTCATACTTTGGATGCCATGGATGGTGTGCTTGCGTGGGTCTCAGATTCCTTGAATTTGAGGGTTCCCTTGCCGGACCTGGTCCATCAATATTTCTTCATTTCTTGACGGTCGACGGGGAACTCCACGGGGACTTTCCGGTAGGGAGTGAGTGGATCAGGTTCCATCAACATGGCTCGAGACTCATTGTTCCAGCCGAGCACGCCATCATTTTGGTTGTTGACGTGACGAAGGCCCGGCGCCCTGTACCCACAGATACACGCCATTATTTGATCCCGGTGGCATGGGCCGAGGAAAGCAGCGAGTGGATGATGAACCCCCGTGTCTGATCATGGTGATAATGAAACCTCCAGTGGCAGTGAGTTGTTCATGTACGTGTGTTGACGAGGCTGCGAGTGTGGGTTCCCAACTAAGCCCCCACATCGGCATAGCGATGATGCCATCTTTCAGATAGATTGCACCATCCACCGCGAGTTGACACGAAGACCTGGGACCGGGCACTTTTCGGAGTGCGCTTGGCCCCCCAGGATGCCGCCAGACGATCGGGGGGTCCTTCCCCTGACGCAAGCCACTAATACTCCGTACTGACCGAGAACTCCGTACGTGCCCAGATATTAGCTCGTCGACGTCGAAAAGGGTCGAGTCTGAGTCTGGCGTTAAAGACTCCGCAGATGTTCTTGCTCAATCGGCCATTCCCTGTTGATGTTCTCCTCGGAATCGAAATAGAAAAAGAGTGTCTCTGTGAAACAGCATGAGCACCGCACCGTCAGCTCCCAAGGGGGCCGCAGCCACGCCCAAGAAGCAGCTGATCATCAACGCCTTCGTCGAGTCATGCAGCGGCCATCAATCCCCAGGCCTCTGGCGGCACCCAGACGACCAGTCGGCCAACTTCAACTCCGTCAAGCATTGGACGCAGCTCGCAAAGCTGTTGGAACGAGGCAAGTTCCATGGGATTTTCATCGCCGACGTCCTGGTCAGTCAGATCTGAACCCGGGCCCTGTCCTCCAGTGATCGTTAATGCTCATCTCCATCTCACCTGTGTAGGGTGGTTATGATGTCTACAAGGGACCGGAAAACCTGGACCCAGCCATTGTGTCCGGGGCCCAATGGCCTGTCAATGAGCCGTTGGCGGTCGTGTCGGCCATGGCTGCGGCAACGGAGAGCATTGGCTTTGGTGTCACAGTGGCCACGACCTACGAACAGCCATACCATCTCGCCCGCCGCTTGAGCACGGTTGACCATCTCTCAGGTGGAAGGATTGGCTGGAACGTGAGCTTCCTGTTGTTGTAGGCCATTCTCGCCCTTGAATCTGACCTCGACCTCACAGATTGTTACCGGCTATCTGGACTCTGCCGCCCGGAATCTGGGCCATACTCAGCAACCGGAGCATGACGAACGCTATGCCATTGCCGAAGAGTATGTCGACGTCATGTATCAGCTCTGGTAAGCAGTCCTGCGCCGCGACAGCCTTCTCGACCCAACGGCCACTAACAGTAGCCGGCAGGCAATCTTCGTGGCGGGACGATGCTGTCAAGCTGGACCGCAAGACAGGTGTCTATACCGACCCTTCACTGGTTCGAAAGATCAATCATGTAGGCAAATACTACACCGTCCCAGGGCCGCACATATGCCAGCCATCGCCACAACGGACGCCGGTCATCATGCAAGCCGGCACCTCCAGGGCAGGCAAGGCATTTGCGGCCAAGAACGCAGAAGCCATCTTTGTTGGCGGACACAGCCCGGCGGTCGTTGCCAAAAACATTGCCGAGATCCGGGCTCTTGCCAAAGAGGAATACGGGCGGGATCCATCGTCCCTGAAATTTCTGGCCATGGTCTGCCCGGTTTTGGGGAAGACCGCTGAAGAGGCCCAGGCCAAGTATCAGGAGTATCTCGCATACGGGTCCGAAGACGGCGCATTGGCACTTTTTGGCGGCTGGACTGGCATAGACTTGGCACAGTATGATGACGACCAGGAATTGAGGCATGTCGAGTCGAACGCCATCCGTTCCGCCGTCGAGGGATGGTCCAAAGCCCAGCCAGGCATACCAAAGTGGACGAAGCAGACGGTTGCGAATCACATCAAAATCGGTGGTCTGGGGGCAACCGTTGTAGGGACGCCTGAGATTGTAGCCGACGAGATGGAACGGTGGGTCAGGGAGGCAGATGTCGACGGCTTCAATCTGGCATACGCACTCATGCCACAGACGTTCGAGGAGATCGTGGAAGATTTGCTGCCTGAACTTCGAAAGCGTGGTCTGTTTTGGGATGACTACGCCGTCAAGGGAGGGACATACCGGGAAAACATTTATGGCAAGGCTGGTATCTCGACACCTCCAGCAGACCATCCTGCCGCGGCTTATCACTGGAAAGCCGAATGAAAAAAGTCTGTTTGAAGTAAGATTCGCCTTGGATACTTTTTGCGCTCAGGTATCTCGTCGCCACCCAGAAGTAGAAGAGAAACACGGGTTGAGTCTCGAGCGGAGACGACGTTCATGTTGTTTCTCTGCTCGCGTTTCTGCCGCTCATGCGCTTCAGCCTTTCGGCGCTGCGGCTTAAGTCGGGGGAAGTTGACACGGTACCATGAATTCAGTCCTTGTAGGCTGAAGCCGATTTGCATCCATTCATTGCGTCTATCATGTACTGCTGCTGCGATCCCGGCGCCCGGAGAGATGTCCACCCTAGTTGAGCCGATGAGGTGCCATACCATTCGCACCTCGACGTGACATGCTGTTGTTGTCCGAGTCAAAACGCCCTGCTAGTCCTGGCAGATCTTCCAGCAACCGCGCCCAAAGCCGAAAACCCGAGATGAGGATGGACGGTACCTACCCATCGGTGCACTTGATATAGCACACATTTGGAAAACAATCACGCTTCAGCTTCGAAGTGCATTGCTCATCGTATCATAGCTTGAACTTCTCCAACTGTTCAGTCGCAGCCTTCAGGGCATCGTCGACTTTGGACAGTTCCGTTCCTGTCCCAATAGCAACTGGCGCTTTACCACCGGCTTTGCCACCCACCAATTTTGACACGGTAGCCGACCAGTCCGACGAGCTAAGTCCGGCTTGGGTATGAGCCTGCGATTGTGTGAAGAATGGCATGTTAGCGGCAGCTCACCCATAGTGATGAATAGAATGTCGTTTGACGGGCTTACCTGACTGACAAAGCACCCATGGAACACCTTCCCCTCGGCATCCTTCTCATCGGCTACGAAAACATAGACACTCCTGTCCTTGATCTTGGTCTGCACATGCTTGATGATATCTGGAATGATCTTGGGGTTTCCGCCAATGGGCAGCTTCAAGACGGCGCCACGCGCCTGATCGTTCTTCTCAAAATACTCCGTGATGGTGTCGATGGCCTTCTTGGTTTCTTCCTTCTGGAACTTCTTCTGTTGATCGAGGATTTCTTTACTGATCTTGGCGCACCTGTCTCTGAATTGTGCTTTCTTCAGCGCCGATATCGATAAGGTGCTGAGCTCGAGCTGGATGACTTTGGCCTCTTGTTCCTTTGCTGGGCCAAAAGGCGTCTTTTCCAGATTGTCGAGTTTCTTTTCGAATTCGGTGGCCGCACGTTGTACAGCGTGCGCATCCTCACCAGTGACGGCAATAATTCTGCGGATACCTTTGGCGATCCCGCCTTCCTCGAGGATAACGAGGTCTTTGATATCACCCGTACTCCTGACATGGGTACCGCCACAGAACTCGATACTGACCGTTCTCCATCGTTCGTCCTTGACATTCTTCAAGATATCGTCGACTTCAACGCCCACCGAGACGACCCGCACAGGATCTGGATAGGTTTCGCCGAAGACAGCGCGGACCCCAGTAATTTCCCGCGCAATGACCAGAGGTACCTCTTTTCCGTACACGGGGCAATTCTGCCTGATATACTCGGTCGAGATTTCTTCAATCTTCTGCAAATCGGCATCTGACACGGCCGCCTTGTGGCTGAAGTCGAATCTTAACTTTTCCGCGGCGACCAGAGACCCCCTCTGGTCAACACCATCCCCGAGCACTTCTCGCAGTGCGAAATTGAGAACATGCGTACCAGTGTGATTGTTGCGGATCGGCCATCTCCTCAGTTCATCGTACTCGCAAATCGCCACATCTCCTGTCGAGAAATGGCCGTACTTCACGTATCCTGTATGCAGGACATAGCCGGCATAAAGCTGCACGTTCTCCACCTCCAGCTCGGCCTGCCCATCGATGACAATGCGCCCCGTGTCATATTCTTGACCACCCTGTTCGGCATAGAAGTTGGTCTTGTCGAGAATCAATCCGACCTGTTCACCTTCGGGGATATTCCGAGTATCAGCATGGAACTTCTTAGCATGATAGATCGCCTGGATGGTCCCATTGATGTTCTCCCTTCCGTATTTGGCACTGTCGTCGGTCTTTGTTACGCCGGGCATCTTTTCCAATTCGCCGAGATCGTGGACGTCCAACTTGAGCAAGCCACTCGCCGCCTTCTTTTCTCCCTTGCTGGCTTCCTTCGCCTGCAGTCTGGCCGCCTCGAACTCGTTGTCATCAATCGATAGATGTCTCTCTTCGGCCATAAGCCTGGTCAAATCCACAGGGAATCCGAAAGTGTCGTACAGTCTCCAGACATCCGCACCGTGTAGCTTTTGGAGTCCTTGGGCCTGACTTTTCTGAGCATACACTTCGAATTGCCGCTCCCCGCGATCCAGTGTTTTTGCAAAGGACAGTTCTTCTTCGTCGAGGATCTCCTTGACCTCTTCTTCCTTTGCAACAATCTCCTTGAACATGCCGCCCATCTGTTCGACCAGTGTCGGCACAATCTTAGAGAAGAAGCTGCCGATCTCGACGTTGAAGTATTTCCTGGCATATCGAGCGCCACGTCGGAGCACTCTTCGAACCACGTATCCTCTTCCTTCGTTGTTGGGAGTGCCGCCATCGCTGATCGCAAACGTCAATGTTCGAACATGGTCCGCCACCACCCGGTAGGCTGTGTCGACACCAGCCTTGTCCTCGTCTCCGAATTTTCCAGAGTAGGGTCGAGCACCGGTAACCTCTTGGATCCGGTCAAACAGAGGCGTAAAAACATCCGTGTCGTAGTTCGAAAGCTTGTCCTGGAGGATACTGACCAGTCGTTCGAAACCCATACCTGTGTCAACGTGTTTGTTGGGTAGCGGCCGCAGACTCTTGTCAGGCTCTCGATTGTACTGGATAAACACATTGTTCCAGACTTCCAAGACGTTTGGATCATCTTGGTTGACGAGGCTGGCGGCATTGCGCCCACCGATGCGGTCGTAGTGGATTTCAGAACAAGGGCCACATGGACCCTGGTCACCCATTTCCCAGAAATTGTCCTTCATGTTCCCAGGCAAGATATGGTCCTCCGCAACGCCAACACTCTTCCAGAGCTCCTTGGCTTCGGTATCCGGCTCCAGCCCGCCAGCCTCATTGCCCTCGAAGTAGGTGACATACAATCTGTCAGGGTCGAGGCCGAACACCTTTGTCAACAGCTCCCACGAATAGCCTATCGCCTCTTTCTTGAAGTAGTCTCCGAACGACCAGTTTCCCAACATCTCAAAGAAAGTATGATGGTAGCTATCCTTGCCTACGTCGTCGAGATCGTTGTGTTTGCCACCCGCACGAATACATTTCTGGGAATTGACCGCCCGCTTGAGTTGCCCCTCTTTGCTCGTGGAGTCGACGGTGCCCAGGAAAATAGGCTTGAATTGGTTCATGCCGGCATTTGTGAAGAGGAGCGTTGGGTCGGATAGGGGGACCACCGGGGAAGATTTCACTTTGAGTAGCCCAACGGTCAGCAACGTGTTTGGCAGAACAGGTCGGCAGCGCAACTGTCTTCCAGATTGGGGGAGAATATGGCTCACCGAAGGTATGTCCTCGTTCTTGAAAGTAGTTGAGAAAGGTCTCCCGGACCTTCAGAGCGGTCCATTCCTGGGTCGTCCCAGACGTTGTCGACGCCATTCTTATAGTTGTGTGCTGCCGCACTGGGATTGTGTGCAGGGCAGTCGAAAAGCCACGGACGAGGGGGTTTCGGCTACTGCAACTCGCGGCAGGAAATGTACTCGGTGCCGCAGACGAGTACGTTCGTTTTGTAGAGGCCCCTGGGACAAGTGTGCGCAGATCCCGAGTGAAGCGTCGGTCAGGGTCAGGGTCGTGACTCAAGACCGAAATTCTGAATCGGAGAACGCCAGAGGTGGCGGGCGACGTGCGGTGGACCGATGCTGTAGAGGAGAAGCACGCAGCTCTCCAACTCGCCGCAGCTGCTCCGCCGCAGCCTTTTGGCATCCAATTCACCAGAATTCTCGTAGTTTCCAGACCACAGTTTCCTTGGAAGATCTCAACCCTCGCTCGTCTTGTGTGTTCAATTTGCTGTGAGAAATATCTTATACAGAACCACAAACCATGTCAAGCCACGCTTCCGACCACGAACCAAGCTGTGTCCGACGCTGCAGAGAGAAGTAGGGAGAGGAAGAACAACATAATTACCTCAGAATTATCAACGCCAAATTGGAGAAAGAAGCCCGGGGCCCATCCCTCCGCCTGCCCATCAGCCTCCCACCGTACCGCGCCCCCCGTGATCCCACGACAACCCTTCTCCCTTTCACCGTGGCGTCCGCTTTGCACGACTACCGCTGGCATGGCATCGTACGCAACGGCAGAACGGCTGCCTGTAGATGAGCGCCGTATCCATTTCACTGGGAAGCGGAGAGCAGAAGACGACCTTGAATCTCAGTCGAGCATATCATCGCATTTCAAGAAACTCCGACTAAACCATGCGGTGCCTCAGTCGTTAGCCTCACCACAGATATCACCGACCACCGTCTCGTTCCGGCCTCAGAGTGCCGATGTCGACGCCCGACCTACGCTGGCCACGCATCCCCCGCTACAACATGACTCCTCTGCCCCGTTCAGAATGCCTACCATAGCGGACACGGACTTCATGACCGTGGACGACACACCGCATCGAGTCATCATTAGCGATCTCGACGCTGAAATTGCCCAGATCGAGGCCGACGAGGCCGCAGCTACATCGGCGGTGTTCCTACCGGACATAGACAAGAAGGTATCCTCAATCCCGTCACGCGTGCTGCACCATCGTGCACCCACCACCCCGCCGCAGAATTTCAACACCGCGTTAGTATTATACCGCGAACCTAGTAGCATCGGTGTACCAGAAGAAAGAGATGTGGTGAGGAAAGCCATCGTTGCAGCTCGTGCTCGGGCTAGGGAGAAACAGGCAGAAGAACTCCGGGAACAAAAAGAAAAACAACAGGCCATACTTGATGCCGACTTTTCAGGGCATGAGATTGATTTGGATGATGCAATTGCCCATCAAACAGCTGCCGAAGACGAAGATCTAGATGCAGACGCCATGGAGATTGAATAGAGGATTGAGGATGCCAGCATCGACGTTGGGTCTGGGAAAGTCATATTTGCTATTGTGTACCAAAGATACCCATTTGCGTTCCGAGGTGCATGCGTATACAGAGTACATATTGGCCTCGTAAGGCCGTGTTTCAGACTTGTCTCATGGAACCATCAGATGCCTATCTCCGGTTTTTGTGCCGATACGCCATGCTGTGCTTCTTGCTAAAACAAATCATAATCCTTTCAAGCCAGGAAGTGAGCTCTGGGTGGCTGACTGGGACCGTCAGTCAGTGGTGCCACGGAAGCACCAGTATTCGACGGAGGTGGTCCAGGTGGTGGAGAGTAGTTCTGATCAGGATCTACCTTGTTTGGTGCTGGAGGTGTGTATGCGGGCACATAGTCTGGCTCGGTGTAGGCTATGTAGCAGGGTCAGTAATGTCCAACTCTTGACCAACTCTTGAATCCCACAGGGGAAACCCTACCAGGAGGAGGTGGTCCATAGGCGGCCATTGGATATGCTTGACCGTAGCCGTAAGGAGACTGCCTGTTTCTGTAGAAAGAGAATTGGTTGGCGTGTTCTGGGTGTTGCTGTGCGAAGGCCAGTCGTTGTCGACGAGGAACGAGCCACTATATTAAACATATCAGCATAGATATTCTAAGATCACTCACATATACAACCAAGAATAACATACCCTATGATATGCCAAAGGAGGAAGACCTTTGCGCATTCGGCTCCTGGCGTGTAGATAGCCTCCAAAGAAGTAGAGAAAACAGGCAAACAGGATGGCCGCAATCACAGCCCATTTGATGACATAGGCGGTCTGATCAACCCAAGTTTGTCAGTAACATTCAGCTTCTGAGGTGCGTGAAATACGTACAGAACCATACCACCAGTAATCATTGTCGGCATTGCCGTTATCGTTCTCGTCGGTGACCTGTCGTTGGAATATCCTCAACGTAGCCATTCTTGTTCACCTCCAAACTACCGAAGTAAAGGATCGTACTTGGTAGGTATGTGTTTCTTCGATTCGTCCTTTTGATTGCGTAAGAGTTGTTCAGTTCTGACTCTTGGACTGCAGAAGCATCTATTTATTTGAGAGCCACTGGTATGAGGATGGACAAAAGAATAGTAGGGTCAGGGTGCGCCAGTAGTGACGGCTTGGGTTGCCAGTGCCTCGCCGTTGGCAATAGAGCGCTCAACTCCTGGAGGGGATGTGGTTTCGTGACTCGCTGTCAACGAGAGAGTGCCCTGGTCTTGGTGGCGATTGGGCTCACTGTTGGATTGGACGCAGGGGGTAGGTCTTCTGTCAGGCGTCAGACGTCAGGCGTCAATCATAGGATGAGTGACCACCTGTCGTGAACTGCGATTATTGAATGGAGTGGCCTTCGGTGTCCGATGATGAGCAGTCGTTGTACACGAGAACATTGTGAGACAATAGGTGGGAAGAAGAAGCCACGGGAGGTTGGAGATGCGGTACAGAGCTAGGTCCCTCCACCTCTGCGCAGTATGTTAACACCTTCAGGCGGGCAAGTTCGACTCGGGAGTGGGAGTCGTCCGTCTCTTGTTTGGTTGAGAGTGGCGCAGCAACTTAGAATATTCCATCCATACATGCATTGCGCGTTTGAAGTACGAACGATCACTGGATCCAGAGGCCAGCGCAGTGTTTGGAACTTGTTTCAGAAGCCCCTAAGCCCCTAAGCGTCGCACCTGAAACTGATGCACTCGTAACATAAAGTAAGGTAGTAGGTGGCCCTGCCTGTTTTCAAGGCCGTGTATGCGCATTGCCGTGCGACTCCGCACTGTGCAGAAGCAGATGGAAATGTGTTCCTTCGAGGTCTACAGTCATTGCCTGAAGCACAGGCTCAAGGTGGCTCCGTCGCTCCAGTCAAAGATGCTATTCAACGTATTTGATAAGTCCACGCTTTCATATTCAATCCGGATCCTCCACTAGGTCTTCGACCGTGGCATGTCTATCTTTTCGTGCCAACTGCCCAGCTGATGATTTGTCAGGACCTTCCTCTGGGCGAGTATTGTTAGTTGAGACAGGAGCGATACTACCGTCCTCATTCCGAGTCTCGTCCGCATTCCTTCCTGCATTTTCCAAAGAAGCCGTGCTGATTCCATTCTCTGGCGGAGGATGGTCCCCTTCACTAGTTTCCGCCCGGGTGGCACTGCTTCCACCATTCAGGGTCTGTATAGTGGTGTTCTCACCGTTCACGGGACTTCCGTGCCAATTAGGGAACAGAGATCTCATAGACTCAAATTGGTCAGGAGGGAAAGCAGGCGGGGGGTGGTAGTCCGGTGCCTGGAGGACTGTAGCGGGCAGCCCATCCTCAACGCCTGAACGGATGATGGAAGACGTAGGCAAAGATCCGTGTTCTTGGGTCGGTGCCACCACATGGGGTATACCTGCCTCGAGGCCCGAAGGGGCAGTCAGGATGCTGGCGTCGTTGACACTAGTTGAAGCCCCAGATGTCCCATTAGCCTGTGGTCTGTTGTTGTCGGTCTGATGCCGCAGCTCTGGGACGACGGCCCCTCCCAGAGATGAGAACGGTTGGGGTTGTTCTGGCAAGCCATTCGGCTGTACATACAAGGGAGCAGCTGGCCCGAGACCAGCTCCATTCTGTTCCGCTTGATGTGGGAATGGTGGCGGAGGCTGCGGCAACCACCCAAACTCATTGTTAGGTAGACGTCTTTGCATCATATCGACTCCTGGAACGAACCCCCGAATGGATGATGGAAATGCCAGCCGGTTAGGGTCGAGTGTTGTCGGCCGCAGAGGCATCATGGACCACCCTTCTGGTAATACGAGGCCTGGTGGAAGCCTGTCACTCCCTGCATGTATGACTTCGTGCGGACCGGCGGCGGCAAGAGTTTGAGCCACCCGGGGAAACCGTGGAACGGGTCTGGCTTGATGAGCTGGTCCCGGGCCCTGGCCCTCTAGATTTGTATTGTTCGGAGTCTCCCCAGGTCTGCTGTTCCTCAATCTCTGCATCTCGGTCTGCATGGAGCGTAGGACGCTCAATTCGGCAGAGCTGTGCGCGAGCTCCTGCAGTTCGCGATCAAGCTGGGCTCGCAAGGCATCAAGTTGTTCTTGCGTCGTCATGTTGTGCTCTCCTGTTTGTTGCCGTCGAGCGCCAGTCCACCGGATGCCTACTCCGAACTGGTGAGGCGCATTGGCATCTCCATTCGCAGGGGCCGGACCCTGGGCCGGAGCCGCGACCTGCCGTACGTCATCCAACTGTTGTTGTAGCTCTTCAAACATGTTGTTGCCTCTGACCGCACCCACCCCAAATCTCAGCGGTCCGAACTGGTAGATTCGTGGGCCTTGTCTCCCACCCGGCTGAGGCTGACCATCTTGTCCTTGAGCGACCCCAGGCTGGCCGGCACCTCCTGCATCATCACCGGCCCTTCCGCCCCGGACCACATTTGCTCTGCAGGTAGGACAGATCTGCTGTCGTTCGAGCCAGCTTCTCAAACAAGAGAAGTGTAAAACATGCCCACATGGAAGCTTCTTGGGCCTCATCCTCTCGGCCACCGGATTGCCTCGTGGTTGGGCTTGACCCGCCTCGGCAGCCGGCGGCTGATATGGCCGCATTTCTTCCCTGCATATTATACATACGTCTTCTCGTCCAATATCCTCCTCTGTGGCATCTGGATAGCGCGCGTTCATGTCCCGCGTCGCCGCCCGATATTTGATGAAATCAGAAATCCGCTTCAAGAATGACCGCATCGTCAAGAAAACATCCCGCAAAATGTGTATCGGTAGGCCGTAGAAGACAAGTAGAATAAAGAAGAACGCCAGGTAAATGACAAGCTTGAAGAAATCCGTCGTAAGGTTCAGGTAGAACATATACCGACCTTTCTCCTCCCACCCTTCTACCTCCACCTCGTTCTCGTCCACTGGTTGTCTGAGGGCTTCTTGGGATACCTGCTCAATAGAGCGCTGGGTGGGAGTCGGTCCTGTCGTTGCTTGTGTGTCTTGCGCCTCCTGGAATTCTAGTAAAGCTGCCTGAACTCTCTCCCTCTTGATCTCTTCTGTTCGGAGTCGTTTCTGTTCGCGGACGATTCCAATCTCCACCAAGTCGATTGCATATCTCATCGCGGTACTGATGCTCATGATTGACAGCACAGCGAATTCGAACCCAAACATGACCATCATATCTGGACGTGCCATTCTCATGACTTGCTTCACCACGTATTCGAGCATTGTCAAATCGAAAGCGACGCTCAGCCCAAGGCTTAGAGCGAGACGTGTATGGAAGAGCCTGGGACTGCGAGGCGGCTGTTGCTCCAGAACTTCGACACGCCCTTCGCCAATCCATCCCCAGACTTTCCCCGTCAATAAGGCAAAGAACATGGCGAGGAAGGCGAGGCCAACTTCTCCTCTGAAGACGGTCATTGCCAGACAAGTTTCCGTCACCGCAAACCATGCTTTCTCGTACAACTGTTCAATCTCGATCGGCCGAAGGTTGCCATATAGCAGTTTCTGGAGTCCGAGCAAAAAGGTGCAGGCAACCACGAAGAGCAGGTTGGTTAAGACCATGAGGTTGGCGGAGGACTGGGAGAGGTAGACTGCGGCAGAGTAGAAGTTAGGGCGCTGTGCCAGAGCCTTGAGGATGACCCCAGCTGCCAGGGCTGTAGAGACCTGCAGGTGAGAATGTCAGTCCTGGTGTAAAGAAGCCAAAGGTCATCCCGACGCCAGAGATGACTGCAGTGCCATCACGTACCCCGGTATAAGCGGTCCATCTCATCCTCATCCTCATCCTGGCCGGCATCGTGGCGGGTGGCTAGGCAAACAGGCTGTCGCTCGTTCAGAGTCGTCGAAGTTGGGGTCCTCGGATCGGGGCCATCCCTACGCAGACGACGAGGTGAAACGAGGATCAGCGAGAGATCCCACTATCAGTGACAAGACGTCAATTGCTGGGTGATGAGGCAGGCAGAAGGTGAAGTTGGCGGAGATCCAGCTGGCGGAGGAAAGACGAGAGGTGTTCAGTTTCCTGATTGCCGTCCACCTAGATCTCCAACGCGTTTATTCCTCCGCAGGCTACAACATGGCGTCACAGGCGAGGGTGCGATCCCCCTTCCACTTTCCATTCTCCATTGCAGGCATGTCTTCCAGCCGTTTATTATGTGCGGTTATGTCTCTATAGATATACTGACTGTACGTCTCTGGCCGTTTATTCCTAACTCATCATGATCCGGTACCGGTCACAGTATTCCAGCTTCCTTTGACAAGTCATCCAAACCCAATACGCCAATGCCTGATAGAACCGTACCCTCTCAGTAGACAGCCAGCCACGGCAACGAATACTTCCTAATGCTTTTGCCGTTGGCCCAGGAGTGCCATTGGTTTCCGGCCGAACGCCTGTTGCAGATACCCGCCCCTGATGCAAATGCTTGATTCCCGTCAAAAGCCGTCGCCCTCTTTCCAAGCCCGTCCATCACTTTCAGCTCGTATTTTGGCATCGATTCCTCGCTGGATGGCTTCTAGTCTTCTGTACTCCAGGTCTGCCCCCAGGTCTCGAATAAGGGTGGCCAGTTCCTCTTTCTTCCCGAACTCTGGGACTTGGAGGTCTCCTGCTTCGATCCCCTGTAATTTGCCATCTTTCCGATACTTCTCAATCTCCTTGGCCTTGTCCTCCCATTCGCGAAGCTCTTTCTCGGCGTTTCTCATGTTGTACCTGATTTCAAACCATTTGTCGAAGGTTTCGTCGGATTCAAAACACACGCCAAACCCATCGCAGTAGCATGTGCGCTGGTTGGGGCAGAAGGAGCTCTCTCCGGTGAAAATGACTTGCCAGAGATACTCGAAGATTCTACCACTCATTGTATCCCTAATCTGAGATCTCAACAACCAATCTCGAAGATGCAAGTACCTCTCGCGTGGCAGCTCTCGGATTCTTGATCGACTCAGGGCAAACTGGGAACAGCACGGCTGAGCGAGGACAGTCGGGATGGGTTTGAGGGGGAACAGCTCAGCCCAGGCGTCCGCCATCAGGGATTGCTCGAGTTTTTCGCGATCTTCTTCAATCTGCCCAGGATGGATCCATTCGGGGCATCCAGGCATCCAGTGGCATCGCAGATTCATGTAGCCCTGTCTCTGGACTCGCTCACTGCTCAGGCGTTTGATCATTTCAGCGGCGTCGAAATTCAACAGATCGTCGTTGTGCCAGGTATAGCGATGTGCGTGCATGAAGATACTGACATCGGGTAGATCGTCATAGTGGTCGATAATGTACGTCAAATAAACCATGACTTCGTGGCCTTTGTTCTTGGGCGTGTGCAAGGGAGCAGTTGGATCATCGGCGACATAGACCAGCTGAGTGATCTCCGGACCCAGGTCGACTTCCTCCAGCCAGTCAACATTCTCCTTCTTGGTCCGGGCCATGACAAGGCTGCGGGTGTAGTTCGCCCCGGGGGGTTCGCTGGTCGGAATCACCGAGCCTACGGACTCGGACGGTCTTGCATCCGCCGGAGGTCTCGAGGCATAGGGATACACTGGCTGCGAGGTTGCCCCATTCCCTGGGTGGGCATCATTCTCCCCTGCATTGAAATAGTCACCAAGCCCAACGACCTGAGGGACGGTGCTGCGTAAGGACTCGACAGTAATGGAAGCACTGGCCGAGCGATAGTAGACCAGGAGACCAACGAGGGTCCCCAGTGCAAGGCAGACGACAGCACGCCGGGCGTGGATCATGGTCGAGATATGTACAGAGGGATGTTAGCCGCCGAGAACTCATTCGACGATCTCTGTCTGATAATGCGGTTGGAATTTGTGAACGGGCGGCCACTGCCTAGGTCGGGTACCAGGACAAGATTTGGCAGGCTTCTTCTGCGTTTCCAGTTGGTGGTCTAGAAATGGGCACAGAACTCTCCAGAGGTTCGAAAGGCACCATCACAGCCTGGGAAATGGAGTGTAAAGGGAAGGAAACCAGGTCCGTCAGCTTAACTGTGCCGTGCTTGGGTGAGGTTTGGGCCAGGTAGCAAGGTACGGGGAACTGCGTGAATATGCTGGTATGGGGGATGCAATGGCAAGCCGATGGTCAACAATGAATATCGTCGTGACAAGCGGTTCTCCGTCGACAAAAAGGTATTCGTATTCATTGATCCACACAAGGTCCACAGCCACCGTCGATGAAACAGACAGCACCTGAGCACTCAGCACACTGCCACACAGCCCGGCCGACGGGGAGTGGATGACGAACACTCTGTAAGTGTACTCCGTATGTAGTCACCTAGTGGCCCTACCCAGGCCGTAATCTGCCACCCTGACTGTACAATAGTCTCCGCCCGGTGGAGACTGAATGGAGAGGGATTGACAGGGGAAGGCTTTGATAGATGAGACGCGCGGAAGAATGGGGAATAACGACAATGGATGCGACGGCGACAGCGGAAAGAAAATGAGGCTCCTCAGGCCTCCAAAGCCCCATGTCAACCTGCAACCAGCAACCTGCCAAAAGGAAGAAGAGATGGTGATGGCGTCTGACGGGTGGCTGACATGGTGCAGATCAAGAGCCGGTGGTCTAGCAGACTTAGGGGCTTAAGGCTATTACAGACATCTAAACAGGTACCTACTAGGTGCCTCTAGGTGCCTAAGGCCCCTAAGCCTACCTTCACAGTTGACGGAATGACCGACTGTCATTTGATGTCCAGCTCGGTATTTATAGCCCTGCCCCCTGCCACCTGCCACCTGCACCGGCCACCTGCCAAAGGGATTCAGCTGCTGACAGTGAGGCATGTACGCCGTACGGAGCATGTGCACTCCCTGCCTAAACTGACCAGGCATTCCTCCATGCCGCGACGAGAACAAGATCAAGATATGGCACATCATCGCATCGCCCATAGATCTCTCGTCCACCCGTGCACTGCACGTAGCTATGTAGGGCTACCTATATTCCCACAACCCCAACACATCGCACCCGGCGCCCGCTGTACTGATCTGATCCAACACGAAAAACTCGCCGCCCTCATCCGATTCTGAAGCTCGTGACACTGCCGTTACCACTTCGCAGGCTGCCAGCGCCGTTCACGTCGGCGGACCCGGTGTAGCTTGCGTCTTGCCCTCGATATCCGCTTCCCGGAGTCCGGCTCCTTTCTGGCTCTGGTGTGGCCACGGTTGGAGGCAATCGTCCGCCTCCAGGAGGCCATCTTTCACTGCTGGTCTTGTCTTCGTCGACGATGACTACCATCCACACTCCGACCTGGCCGCCATTGCCAACAAGAGGCGTGCAATGGATCCATTTGTTCTTGCCTTGATCATCGCTTCGAGTGATCCAGCGCACTTTCGCAGTCACGCCCCGGCCTTCGGCAAACGCCGCCGTCAACTCCTCGCGCACACGACTAGACCCTCCAATCTTATTCAAGAAAGGCGATTGAAGGACACCGGGCAGTCTCTGTGAAGGGCTTGCAAACAGGATCCGTAGCGAAGGGTATGGTCGTACCAGCATATACTGCAGAAAAGTCAATACGCAAATGCCCGCGCTGCCAGATGTGACTTACATGTTGGTAAATCCCGCCCAGCCTTCCATTGATGCTCCCAACTCGAAGGGATGCTGTCAGCGTGTCAGGATCTTTCAGCAGAAGTCGCGGCTGGTGGGACGCGACGCTCTCCAGATCTTCATCCGACACTTCCCGATGCATCTTCCCGCCATGCCGGCGGATCGTGTTCAATTCGCCTTGATTTAACATCTCACTCAGTTCGCGGAGTTCGTCGTTCTTCTCAGGAGAAGGTCTTTCCGGTAAGGGCGGGTCTTCGCCTCGGCCGCGTAGCTCAAGTAACTTCTGAAGGGATTCCATCTCGGCGCAATCCTTGACAAGTCCACTGACATCGACTTGCGCGCCAATGTAATACCGAACAACACCCCGGCTATCGGCAAGAGGCGCAATCATCAGCAGATTCACAAAGGGCGAGCCATCTCGTCGACTGCATTCTGTCAGATATATATGGTGGTTTGGGGTAAGGGAAATGGTACGTACTAGTTCAGCAAAACTTCCTGGTGTTGTCTTCCGGCCTGAACTGCGTCCTTCAGCCTTCTCACACTGTGTGGGTTTGTCATTGGTCCTTGTAAAAACCTGCAGTTCCGACCAAGAACATATGACAGGCCGTATTGGGATGTACGATTGAATTCTGCACAGACAGAGAATTAGACAACATTCCATACAGTATAGACTTTCGAGACTAGGCTGACCTTCAGAAGCAAAGACAATGGGGTTGTCGTGCCTGGACGGATCCGTCAGACAGAAAACCTCCGCCAACCCATCCGAGGCGTCGCGCAGCTGAGGCGAGAGAGCACCTGTCACTCTGGCGGTGATGCTAGCGCCAACAATTTGAATATATTGATGGGTGATATATGCCGGCAACTCCTCCGTGACCAAAACACCAAAAGCCTTGTACGCCCTCTCTTCCAAGGACGTGTTGATCGTAGGTTTGATGGGGTTCTGGGTGAAGTCTAGTCCCTCTACGGGGTCTAACCCTTCGCAGATGGCGTTCGCATAGTGAATGGCTCGCAGGGACTTGAGGGAATCGAGGTAGTGGACGAGGGTGGGTACGGACTGAGGCCGGTGCACACCGAGGAACGATGTAAACTTGAAAAGAAAGGTTGGGTCTGCGAAGATGACTTGTAGATGAGCTCGGGAAAAGAGCGCCTCGGCTTGCTTTTCCAACGAGAACACCTCCCCGAAACCCGGCGGCGGCGGCGGAGAAACCAGATTGAATGAAGCAGGATCGTCTTCGAGCACTGGCTCCAGACGATCGCCATTCTCCAGCTGACCATTGTCCAATTGTCCATTGGTTTGTAATCGAGGCAACTCTTTCTGTGTCCCATCGAGTCCTTTGAGAGAAGCCAATGTGCTTGCAGGCATGTCTTGTTCCTGCTGAGATGCGCGCAGCAGTCCCTCGGTAGAATAGGTTACAGAGGGGTCGGGGGAATCGTTAGATGGAAGGCCCCGAGCCGAAGAAGACGGTCGCTCGGGGACATGGCGAGGGTGATCTGATGCGGTGGAGAGAACAGGAGACTCGTGGGCAACAGAAGACGCGGGGATCATATCCAAAGCGAACCAGCCAAGCAATGGCCCCTATAGCCACATCGGCCGCAGGATCTACAATATAGTAGATGGATTGGAGCTGGACGGTGACGGTAGGATGGAGTCCGGATGAGGGAAGCTTTGAGCCGGAGCCGGAGTGGGATCGATCGTGGTTCTGGCGGGTGCAGAATCTCCGAGCGGTCTAATCCACGAACAGACAACCCGACTCGACAAACGCCCAAGACGTCAAGACTGGCCAAGTCCGCTCTCTCTATGCAAGGTACCGATGGAGGCGAGGGTGGATTACAATGAGAACGGGACCAGATCAATATCCAGAGATTCTCATCGTTGCTGTTGCTGTTGCTGTTGTTGTTGTCGTCGTCGTCGTCCGTTCATTTCCAATCCAGCTGCGACGGGACTCGAAGCCATTCGATTCGGTCTTGCTCTGAGCCCGCGAACCCACCGCCGCTGTCTTCATCTGTTGCAAGCGCAGGCCACGTATTATGTGAGGAGTCGGTAGGTACAGAATCCAGCGGCTGTGTCAAGTGTCAAGCTCTGCTGAATATTCCAAAAGCTCGCCACCCTCCTGCTGGCGAGGATATTGTACACAGAACAGAAACGGTTGAAGCTCGTTCTAGAAAGTAAAGTTAGGACGAAAGACCAGCCGCTTCCCCGCAATCGGGATATCATCAGATACCAGTAGGTACGTATGATGGCTGATTTCCCTGAGGATGAGGATTTGATGGCAAGATGAGGGAGGCCATGGCTGCAACCGCAGGCACTGTCCGCCTTCCCACCCCCGCGACCATATGGTAACCGTGTCGCGCTCCTGCAAAACTTGACGTCACCGTGTACTGTATCCGTACTCCGTACTCCCCCTTACCACTGCCACCTCCTCCGTCCTCCTTATTACCTTACTCCCTACCTAGGTACCTGACATAGCGTAACTCTATGACCTAAAGTGGACGATACTATCAAATGTCTACAACCTGTACACGCTGGAACGCGGCACTGGAGCAAATTCGTCCCACAAATTTGGGTTGAGGTTGACTACTAACCGGACTTCCTTCGTTTCGTCTGTCCCAACTTCGTATTCCGCTGAGAGTTCAGAGCTCAGAGCTTACGCGCAATGTCCGTGTCGCTCGACCTCGAAGCCCAGCGCTCGGAGAACCTACAACAGAAGCGGAAACTGTTAGACGAGCTCAACCTCAATCTCAACCTCGACCTCTCCTCTCAGCCTAACAGACGGAGTCGGCTAGGCTTTGATGGACTACGACCAGCCAAAAAGCGGCGGCTCAACACCTCCACTCCTCGGGCCATCCCGTCAAGGACCTCTGCGAGGATAGCAGCCAGCGGGGCTAGGACATCTTACACCGAAGAGCGCGAGCGGCATGAGGCTGAAGGACCAGCTCCCAGGAAGTCCAGGAGACCACCCACCTCCAGATACAGGGCGGACCAGCCACAACAAAATCCACCACCGCCTTCTGCGGCTGTTCAATCGGTCCAGCCTTCGTTGCCCTCCTTCGATGCCGACCTTGCCTCCCTCCTTGATCAGTACAACAGCTGGCAACCGGCGGCGTCTGAGCCTACTTTACTTCCTGATGGCACGTACCATTTCGAGTCTCACCCGACCTTCAGACCAAACAAATCCCCTCTTTCCATCTTGCTCGAGGGCGCCTTTGGTGGCCACCACTTCTCCCCGTGGCACAGCCGGACCCTACGCCTCACTCTATGCGACGACTATCTGAGGACTCTGCCCCCATCGTGGCTGTCGCACCTGCAGCCAGCCGGCAAATATTTGGTTTCGCCGACCTACGATGCCTCGTTGAACAGGTACGGCGTCACGTGCGGACAGACTCTGACCCAGTGGGAAGACGCGGGCTGGATCAACTTTACCCACGACCCTCGCGGTTGGTTTGAGTGGTATATCCGCTTTTGGCTCGGTCGGCGCTGCGATGATGGTGAGGATGAGAGGCAAGTTGGGAGGTGGCTAAGGTGTGTCGGCCCCAGGGGAAGATGGAAGCGTCTGTTGTTGAAGAAGTACGTCGACCTCGGGGTTAAAAGTATCTTCGATGACGACGGCCGAGAAGATGGGCAGGAGGTCAGTCCCGTCATGCATCAGACCTGTCATCACTGGGCATACCAGGTCCGTCAAGAAGATCTAGATGATGCGTGGAAGGAAAAAGGAGGTTAGACAACATGGTCATATTTGGACTTTTGGGAGGTAATCTATGTATATACGCTGCGACCTTTCCGGCAATCCGACTACCAGACACCTCCCCGACGCCGCTATCCGAGGTATTTATGTAAGGGGGAGACGAAATGCAACCAATTCTATCCAAATGCAGTGCCAGCGTCAACTAATCATTGATATAAAAGGGAATTCGTCATTACATCCCGCTCATTGATGGGACACCAGTCCTTTGAACCTCTGATTCATTGGCCCATGAGGCCTTCGTATTGTAATAGATTATTCCTTCGCATGAGCTGAACCTTCAAGCTCGTGCCACCAAGGGAGCTGCTGCTGCCACCCCTGCGGGCGCGGTCGATGGCTCCCTTGGAGACTCGCTCACCGGTATCTGGCCCAGGATCATGTCCCAGGTCTGCGTATTGAAGTGGACCGATGGCATCTGCATCGGGTCGTCCTCTTCATCGTCCACAATCGTAGTTGAGTCGGTCGCATTGTGCACTAAAGACTGCGATGTCTGCTTCGTCACTGACTTCAGATCTTTGGCACTACTGGTAGTGTGCAAGATCTCCTTGAGGGAACAGACTGCATCACTGGTAGGAGTAGTTGGGCCGAGATCGCTCTTATCACTTGTCTTGGACCAATTACTAGCGATAGAAGCTGCAGATGACTCCCGAGACATTGACACTGGCGTGGTCGCTGAACCATCGGATGGCGGTAAAGGAGGTGGCGCCTTGATTTCGTCAGACGCCAGTTCATGTACCGAGTCACCCACCAGTTCGTGGGGTTCATTCCGCTCTTCTTGGATAGGATGCTCAACTACGTCCTGTTCTGCAGCAAGCTCCATGGCGCCGGGGGCAGCCTTTTCGGCATTGACTTCATTCAGTCCATTGCCATAGCCTTCAACAAAGATTTCGCAGAACGCAGGCCGCTTGGATGGCATTTCGTCCACGACAGATTGTGCGCGGCGAGAAATCAACCGCCTCAGCGAGGATGATCGAGAGCCGGGAGGGGTCTTGCTGGTTAAGGATGCCTTCAACGACCCAGGTAGGTGAGCAGGAAGAGTTGTTCGACGACGAGCCTTGGCTGATCTTCCTCTCACCATGCCTTCGCCAGTGGAAGACTTCAGCGCATTGGTGTGAGAGTAGCTTGTGTCAGGGATGAGCTGACTTGAGACCCGGCCAACACTGCGGACGTCCGGTACAGGTGTCAGCTGCCATGGCATTCTCTTTGGCGGCTGGCAGCAAAGAGAATAAGTCAGATTGTTGGTATTGCGAACCTGCACCGGCGGCTGCGCAATGGCGTGGAAAGTTTGAAGAACCGCGTAGACCATGAGCCAGCGGACCTTTCGGCCTTCGATCACCGACAATCCCACAAGCTCATCGTCGACTGTACTCTCCTCGAACTCCGAGAAGCGCCGCACCAGAGGACAATCCATAACCAGGAGATCGCGATTGGACGCCGTGATCAAAGCTTGTTTATCTTGCATCTTCCGGGCCTCCCTGTCCGCTTTTCGCTTTTGTATAGGATTCCAGGACAGTCGGCGTTGGAGCGGTTGACGTTGACCCGCCGCGGAGTCCGGGCCTTTTGGCAAGAGAGGAAGAGGGTGAGCAAGTGGCTCGTAACGATGCTTAATGTCAAATGCTTGGATGACCTGGTGGGTACATATGCCACCAGACTTGGTAACATCGCTTTCCCCCAAGCTGGTGGATGATTCGGGGTCAACCAAGTGCTGGTAAAGATTCTTGAAATCACTGAAGATGGCAGAATAAATTTTTTGCCGAGTGGCGTCACTCTCGAAACCATCAGGGGGCCAACAAAGATGCTTGTCGACATAGAACTTCCTGAGAAAGGCGCGGAATTTGAAGAGATGATCCCTGGCTGGTTGTGGGAGTCCCAGAAATCCAACTCTCACCTCACTCTCAAAGAAGTCGACGACTGATTTGTAAACGCGGTCTAGCCGAAGATCCATCTCGAGGCGAGCTCGATTGATCAGGGCTTTGGATTTGGTACTGGTCACCTGGATAGAAGTTAGTTGTTGGCCCATGGTCTATTCTAGTGTTCACACTTACCTCGTACTCGATGCTTGAGCGTAGGCCCCGGTGGCTCATACCCACACAGTGAGCAAATGCATCCACCCAAAGATCCTGGATCTGCAGCGTCTCGGCCAGATAAAGCGCCGCAAGGGCATGGTCAACACATTCTCTGAAATCCAGGTATTTCTGTTGTTCCGCGTATGACACCACCTCGAGGGCGTTCTGAGAGGTGTCATCCGGGCGATACACATCAATCCTCGCCTTCAGATCTGCCAGGGCCTTTCCCAAAGCCCTACCAGCCAGTGGTCGATTGTAGAGCCAGGCAAAGAAGTTCCGAGTCGTGACGTGATAGTCGAAGATATCTTCGAGTCCAGCACCGTGAGGAGCTGGAATGTACAGCTCTAGGAGTGTTTGCTGAGGGTCGCAGCCGGGACAATTGGGGAGGACACATTGTGCCTCTGCGTGGATTGAATTCCTGGTGAGACACCGGTCGACGAGAGTCTCAAATCCTTTGACCTTGAGAAACGCGGTGTGGACTCTAAATGCAGGACCTCGACTGGACTGGCCAGGCTCTCTCAGATAGACCAGACAATCACCGGTAGGCCAACACAGCTCTGGTTCCTGGAAGGGCATGATGAGCTCTCGTCAACGACATAGCCTCAAGGTCTCAGGACTTACATGAAACAGATTGATCCAATCTGTGGTAACTCTTGCTCGACCATCCCATCTCCTCAGACCAGCTGACCGAATGTCGTCGCCAGTTACACGGCCTTGGGTGCGTCTCATGGTCGCTTGGGGAGGGTGAACCAGAGCGTAGGATGCAGTACTATATCAAATCTGTCTGGAAGAAATGTCTCATCCCTGCGAAGAGCACAGACACTGAACACGATGTGTGCGAGGGAGGGCGGTCTGAAGTTGCTTGAAGCTCGAGTGCTTGAGCTCAGCCGGACCCTGATTCTGTCCACCTTCCAAGACCAGCGCTGGGTGAACAACGAGGGTCTTGACTCAGGTTATAGATTGCGCAGGCGGCTGCGATTCACGTACACCGGCAGACGTGAGATTGACAGGCAATCGGCAAGGAGCGACGAGCCGAGGGGGGGAGGCAGCCAGCGAGCCCGCGAGGATGGTTGGGGGAGAGGAACTCTGTTGACGACAGCGGTGGCTGCCGCCACCAGCAGCCAGGCTCGAGCAACAGAAGCACCAAGTCATTCTGGGAAAGTTGGAAAGGGTGATGGGCGCAAGCCACCACGGTCCGGGGCTTAGGAGGCCTGCAACAGCAGCAGCAACAGCAGCATCGCAGACACAGAAACGGAATCATGACGACGGCTGGTGCTTTGGAGATGTCCGGTGGCGCCCAGTCAGCGGCCGGTGCCTGTGGCAGCTCAAGCCCCTCTGGGCCCAAGGTGCGGTTTGGACAGGCATTTTCACGTCAGTCTCCTTGCCAATATGCCCGCCCACCGATCGTTCCGAATCCAAAGTCCGCATTGTCGATCCGCCCGCCAGCGCTGACCGCTTATTAGTCTCAATGTCCGACCAAAGGGATGCGCAGACCACCTCCTTCACCACCCCCGGCGCCATCGCTGCCCCAGACTCAGTTTGACTTCTGGCTGGCGACACCCACCCTAATCCTCTCTGGTTCCTCTCTGGATCCTCTCTCGCACGGGGAGCCATCCCATCATTGCCTATTCGAGCTCCCACTGCCCCCTATCGAGGCTACGGAGGCCAACCCATGCGCGATTCAACGCCGATCGGTCACCGCCGTGGTGGGTTGACCTGAGGTCCAATGGCCATCAACCGCCTACCACCATCTCAGCGTGGTTCTACGCGGCCGTTTCTTCAACGACGCCCCCTTGGCGGCTACAGACCAACCTTAGCAGAGCATCTTTGACTTAGGTAGACTCCGCTTCAACAAACCTTCCCGTGTGGTAAATACTGGAGAGGGGACAAAAGGTCCTCAATGTCTTTGAAATGATGAGTGATGCAACTACACCGCAGAAAGCAAAATCCTCACTGTCATGGTACGCATGTCGGGCTGCTGTCACGTACATGATGACCCTTGTATTGGGGTCGGAGAAAGAGTACGTAAAGACGCGAGAGAGCCTACAGATGGTTGGTTGATTCACTCCGTTCGCATATCTCTGCGTTGGCTGGGCTGTGAGGAAGGCCAGGTTGGGCGAGCTCGCTCCCAAAGCGAGTTAACCTCGCCTCTACACCCTGGACATGATGGGCAAACAAGTAGTTGAGCAGACCTACAAGGATCCGACGCTAATCTTCGCCCAAGCTAGCGAAGGCACACCCAGTCCGCAGTCCCCGTTTTCTGTCAACTCAATCTGCAGCGACCGATCTACATGGTTCGAAAAACGTTCCGAGCATTGAGGGCTAGCCAGTAGGGTCGTATAACCACAAGTATTCCGTATGTGGCTGTCGCTCAGGGCTGTTAACTTGTCTTTGTCCACGGCTGCGGAAGGCCGCTTTGACGGTCAATGCCGGCCTAGAGGTTTGTCACATACTTTTAATTTGTAAGGATCGCCAGTGGCGCGAGTCTTGGATCCATACAACGCCCTCAAACCAGAAGCTCAGAGGGTTCACACATCTATGCTTCTTTGGTGAATTATCTCGACTCTGAGCAGGAGACTGCTACCAGTCCAAGCATAACTGAATCATACCTCGACAAGAACTCTGACCTCGCCATCCATCCAGTCAACAACACCAGCACTTAGTAGCGCAACCATCCATTCGCCATCTTCCGCTACCGTCACAAGGCCGTCAGGAAGCCATACCTTTACAATTGGGCGACCTCCTTTCCCCGGGGTCTTGTCTTTTGGGGTTCCGTTGGACTTTCTCTCCACTTCGGCAACAAGACTGGATATAGTAGGCGCAGACTCGGGTGTCAGGGTAAACCGCGGTATCACTCGTCTGAGAGCGCCGCCCGTGTTCGCGACCACATTGACGTAAAGTACAATAGATTGCTTGAAAGCTGTTGTAGGATGAGACGCGCTGGCAGACAACGTGGAGACATCGTGCTTCACGGCCGCAGGAGAATTGCCTTCCTTATCGTGATTTGAATAACTCGTTTTGGCTACATCGCCGTGTCCAACGAGAGAAGCATCGAATGCCGCTGGCGGTTCCCTATCGGTGGCGCCTTTAGTGGATCCTTGTCGCCTGGTTGCAGCAGCATAGACACGCTGGCGCTCATTTGTGACCATCTTCCGCATCAGAGGCATCATTAGTTTTATGATGGCGTGACTGTCTTGGGGCCATATCAAGGTCCTCGGAGGAGCCCCGGGGATGGTGTCTCCAGCCCCGGGGGCGAAATACTTCTCCCCGTATCCGTGCACGGACAGAAATTCTTCAACAGTATTCCACAGCTTCAACTTGGCTATGTCAGTTCCACCAACACTTTTCTTTTGCCCGATGACGTCCCGACGCTCAGGGTGTGCTTCATCCAACATGAAGGCCTTGGCCGCAGTCTGTAGTCGGAGAAAGTTCTCTGGAGCCAGCTCCAAGGACGCGAAGACCTTGCCTAGAGGCGGTCTACTGTATTTTTTGCTCTTTGACGACGGTTCTCGGAAGAGGACAGACGCGGGACTCTGCAACCGGGGAGAAGCGATCTCAGCGGCAGGGTCAGGTGCGTCATTGATCATGTCTGCGTGTAATGTGGAGATATGTGCTGTGGCGCTATCACTTCGCTTTCTCTTCCCAAGCAGCGACGGACTCCTCGTCTGCTCGTCAGCTGCAGCAGTCGCTGCTTGCACCAAGCCTGCAAACTGGATGTCGTCGGGATACTCCGAGTCTGCCATGGTAGGGCTTTGAACTGCAGGACCAAGCTGCGAAGCGCGGGGCCAGCCCTGAACGCAGCTCGGTGTTCAAATCTAAAGTCAAAGAGAAGAGGCAGCGCAGTTTGTTGACGTGGAATAGAGGGATGCGCGAGATGTTTGTTCAGGTTTGACAAACCGAGTAAATGCAGCAAATTCGCCCAGCAGGAAAAAGGGTCGGCACTGGGTGCACGGCTAGATCCGACGCTAGACCATAAATGGCTTAGAGCCTTTTTGGAGCCAAGCTTCGCAACGTCACTACCGTGACTTCGTGGCCAGAGGACTAGTCAGTCCTATGTGTACACTACCACACAGTGCAGCTACCACAGCTACCACAGCTACGTGACCACGGACTACACCTTCTACAACCGCTGCGAATACTAGTACTATTAGTAGTACTTATCCACCGTTGGGCTCAGTCGGAATCTTGAGACGACGGCGCAAAATGTTCTCGGACGAGACGTTTTCCTCTCGATAGAAAAGCAAGCCCCCAGATCGAGCATCAACCTGCGTCGACCCCGTTCAACCATGTTCAAAGCTACCAAGTTGCAGTCAGCTACGTATCTACTTGGCGTCTGCCCATTCTCCATCGCGTTCCTAGTCTTCCTCAATTCCACGGTCTCATTCGTCATCACCGACCTCATCGGCCGGCACCATGGCGTCGGAGATGCGGTTGGCAGTCTGGGGTTCGCCGACGAGCTGGTCGCCTTGATCGCATGTCCGGTGTGGGGCGTGCTATCCGATTACATAGGTTTGCGTTTTGTGAGACCTTCCTTCCGGCCACGTCTAAATTGTCTCACTAACCAGTCTTACCGTAGGTCTGCGTTTCCGGCTATCTGATCATATGCGTGGCATTGGTCCTATCTGTCCAGGCACACAATGTGTACCCCCAGCTTCTTTTGGCGAGACTACTTTTCAGCCTTGGTGGTGCCGCGGCCTCCACCATGGTCACGGCTATTCTTCCTGCTGTCGCTGGGACTCCTTCGGAAGCACTTACCGACACTAGACCATCGAGGGCAGTTCAAGCCCAAGCCCATGCCAGCCATGGACATGTTGCCAGCCCTTCAATCGCCTCAGAGTCGACAATTACTCCAGAAACATTCATGTCACGTTCATCGCAGCGCCCAGCTCCTCCCCAGACCGTGTCAACCAATGCAGAAGTGTCGCGCTCTACAAATCAGATTGCTGGCTTTGTCGGAATGTTCACTGGCTGTGGAGCTTTAATTGCCCTGATGGTATTCCTGCCCCTTCCAGCCAGGTTTCAATATGCCGGGGTCGATGAGAAAGACGCTTTGAGATACAGCTTCTACATCGTGGCAGCTGTGGCGTTCATTTTGGCGGTCTGGTGCGCCTTTGGGCTTCGACATCTTCAGGAGCAACCCAAGGACCCCTTCCCCAAACCCTCAAACTTCGAGCATGGTCGACGCGTATCGTTTGTTCTTACGAGGCTGCACGACATGGTTGGAAACTTCGTGGTCGCTATCTCCATCGGCTTTGAACGTTCCGAAATCGCACTGGGATATCTGGGAGGCTTTGTGGCTCGTGCATCTTCTGTCGGCATTTCACTCTTCATCCCGCTTTTAGTCAATGCTATGTTCATGTCCTCGGGCCTATGCACCGGCAACGAATCTGATGGAGATCCTACAGGGCTTCCAGACATCAAGAGAAAGTGTCCACAGGCATACGTCGTTGCCGCCGAATTGACCGGTGTATCGGAAACCGTAGCCCTGATATTCGCTCCCATTTTCGGATACTGGACAGCCAAGGCTTCAAGAAAAGAAGACCCGCTGCTTTGGTCGTCAATCGCTGGGTTTATTGGGTATCCGTTGTTTGCCAACCAGTTCGAACCCGAAGACGAAAAAAGAGACCGACGAGTAGCAGCATTCCTAGCCGTTGCCTTGATAGGCATCAGCCAGATCGGAGCCATCGTTTGCAGCTTGGGTACACTGAGCACAGCCATTTTGCAGAAAGCACCCAAGCGAGCATACATCTCCGATACCAGCACCGCCAACAATGATGTCGGGACGGCAGAGAGCCAGCCGCTATTAGTTCCCTCCCGGCATCCGAACCACGACGTTTCATTGTCGACTCTCAAGGGTTCAGTTGCTGGTGTGTATTCGTTCTACGGAGGTGCTGCAATCCTCATATTGACCAAAGTTGGCGGCCTTTTGTTTGACAAGGTGTCAGTCGCTGGTCCTTTTTATATCATGGCGGCTTTCAACGCAATCTTGATGCTGGCTTGTACGGCTTTGTATATGGGGCGCACATACCAACAGCGACAGGAAGCTACTGGTACCGTTGAACATAGCTGATGATGAGCTACAAACCATCTACCTACCTCATTCAGGTTGAGCTCACATGTACGCGCACGGGAGGTTGACTTTTTCTGAAAGGCACCGAAATGTGAAATGTTCTTCATCGAGCAAAATTCAAGCTATCTTCAAGGGAAAAGACGCACCAATGTTCTTTCCATTCGAAAGACCTTCTCAGTACTCTCCTACGCGTAGGTATACACTTGTGGAGCCGGACTACCATCGCTTCAAACCCTGCATCAAAGATAACCTCCCAAATGGGAGGGCTGAAATCTGCCGAAGCGGGGTTTCAAACTTCCTTGGGTAGTTTCTCCACCAATGTCACGGCCATGGAGGGCGATGGTGAGTGTCAAGTATGAAACACCCATCGGCACCAACGTTTTTTCTTCCAGCTTGAGGCTGCCCAGTGAGGTCGAGTTCTGGTCAAAAACTTGGTCAAAGACATGGTCAAAGCAAAGACTGTGGGGGAAGACTGTGGGAGAACAGCCTGGGCTTGTGAAAAGGCCATGATTCGGTCTGATGGGTCCGTTGTGGCGGTAATACACTATCTCCTAGGCGGAGAGGATTCGGCGAAGCATATGCTTGAGCAAAAAGTGCTTCGATAAGGCGAGCGATCAGGGAAATCAGATCAACGCGCATGTGGAGGAAGCATAACCAACTACTCGGTGGACTTATTTCGGTGAACACGAGGGCGAACATTGGCTTCACCAAGCTCCATCCTCCGTCCTCTAAGGTCCAGCGGCGGCAGCCTGTATCAATTCGATTCCTTCCAATTACCACATCCTTCTTTCCCAGTGTTTTGGAGAGCTGACACCAGACAGACTGCCCAGCTGAGGTGGCGTGTTTCCGTTTAGCCCATGATGACCGAGCTGAGGCCCTTGCCCAGGGTCACAACTGTGGCTGGAACTCGAGCACAAACAATCGACATTGATATCAACATCGACCTCGACATCAATATCGGCCCGTGTTGGTAGAGAAGAAGTTAACGGAATTTGATTTCCTCTTGGGTGGAACGGGCGCCACGTGACGCGCAGCCTCGCAGCCTCGTGCGGGTGGCTCAGTCATCCGAACGCTACCTCCACCACCTCCGTGCTACTAATAACTAATAACTAGCTGCGTACGAAGTACGGATACCACTACCAGTAATTCATTCATATTCGATTTTCTTTTCTGACAAGCGAGAAGCGAGAAGCGACGGTTGTAGTTCACTCTTGACTCCAGCCAGAGCCGGCCAGCCAGATCCATTCACATTTCACGTGCGTCGGGACAGGCCTGGTTTGGGACTCAAACTCAAACACGACGCAGATGAACCTCCTCTCCCAGCACATGACTCATGGCGTCGGCCTCGGTCCTCGACCCAACACACCTCCCCTGACAGGGCCCGCAGCACGGCAGAGACACAGAACCGTGCGCGACCAGCCAGATGCCGTGTCGGTGTCCGCGCCGCTCCCAGACATTGCGGATACACACCACCACAACGGGCCGGATGTGCATGTGCGACCGGGCCAGTGTGAGCGTGAAGCTGGCGTCGGGCAGGACAATGCGGTGGCGCGTGAGCGGGACGTGTGGCTTGAGCTCGAGAGAGAGCATGTATTCTCGGCGTCGTCGTGTGGTGATTGAGGTTGGGTGTGCATGTCCCTCTTGGTCTTGGTCTTCGTCCAGAGATCCATTGTCATCTCTATCTCCATTTGCGTCCCCATCTCCATCTTCATCTTCATTTTCATTTTCATTTCCATTTCCATTTTCATTTCCACCCCGATCTCTGTTCGTATTCATGTTGATGTTGGTGTTGTCTGTCTCTATCTCCGTGCAAATATCATCCACCACGGCAAAAGCACAAAGAAGACGCGCAGGTCCGGATTGCGCCTCGTCGGCCTGTGGTGCAAACGCAGACGCCGATCCAAGTCCTGCTCTTCGTCCTTGGCTCCATCCCCATCCACTCACATGGCCCAGACCCAGATCCAGATCTAGCGCCAGTATGGCTCGACGCTGCATTCGGACCTCATTTCTGATCTCGCTCAGCTGGATGGTGAGTGTGGAGAGATCGGTGGACAATTGCAGCGGGTGGGTCCAGTGGACGTGGTCATGGTCATGGTCATGGTCATGGCCATGGTCGTGGTCGTGCTCAGTCACAGAGTCCTCAGAAAGGCGTGGAATAGTGTCCCACGTCGATGTCCCAATAGCCATCAATTGTCGCCACGGCACTGATGGACCAGCCATGTTGTCTCAGATCGGTAAAGGGAAAGGGCCGGCCGACACGAAGAGGAGGTAGGGTACGGTATGTTCTTGATGTTCTTCAAAGAAGCCCCAGAGGTGCGTGCCACTCCACGCCACTGCACTGCACTGCGCTTGATGGAGATCTTGTCGGTTCCGAGATCTAGGGTGTGTGGATCTGGATGGGATAGGTATGTTGCGCCTGGTGCAGTGGAATTGGTTTCTTTTCTTTCCCCAGAGAGGTCGTGGTTGGTCTCTTTTCTTTCCCTAGAGAGGCTGTGGTTCTCTTCTTTTCTTTTCTGGAGATCCGTCACCCGATCTGAAGGAGCTGTCTTGATAATATCGTCACCCGATCTCAAGAATCTGTCTTGCTAATATCGTCTCTCTTCTCTCCTCTTTTCCGGAGGTCCGTCACCCGATCTGAAGGAGCTGTCTTGATAATATCAACACCCGATCTCAAGGTGTCTTGACAATGTCGTCTCTCTTCTGCGATCTATGACTCAATAATTCAGCGACAGGACAGGACAGAAAAGAAAAGAAAAGACCCTCCGAAGCTCTGTACCTACAGTGACTCTCAGTGGCTTTGGTGACGGTTATGGTGATGGTGATGGTGATATGTGGGATCAATCAAGACAAACAACTAACTTCCTGTGTGGACCAACATTATGCTTTGCCTTGCTATGCCTTGCTGTGCTTTGCTTTGCTTGCTATGCCTTGCTGTGCTTTGCTATGCTATGCTTTGCTTTGGTTGGGTTTGCTATGCTTTGCTATGCTATGCTCTGCTTTGCTGTGTTTGGTTTGGGTGAAGGCAAGGGAATGAACTCAAATCCATCCTGTCTAAACTGTTCACAGTCACTGTTCTGCCGGCACCGTACCCAACTAGCGTTGGGATTGATTCACTGCCCCGGGTTGAGCATGGTGATGGTGAAGGTGGATTCTCGTATAGGACTGTGTACTGCGACCACCACCACCACCACCACCACCACCACAACAACAACTAGGAAGATATTTATATAGTGTGTATTCTATCCTAGTACCTAATATAACAATTACAATTCGAGGGATATTTAAATCTCTCTACATAATCTCTAAAATAGGGGTGGTGAGGTTCAGGGGTGTGGAGCCTTGTCTGTGGTTGAGCCTTAGACCCTTTCTCGTGGCAATGGCTTAGGAATCTCTATCAAGGTATCCGTACCTGATGTGTACTCTGTCAAGGAGAGATCGTACGCATGACGAAAACTGGGCTGCGTGAGTGTACCTACGTAGGTACAGTATGTTATGTTATACTGGTTCCCACAGATCGGCCTGGATGGAATGCTTGCTGATTTCGCAGGGCCACAAAGGCCTCTTTTCTTTTCTCCAGCAGATCACCCTCTACTTGTCCAATTCTAACAATCACACCTGGCTTTCGGATCGCGACAATGCCCGTCCATCCACTGGCAATGCAGTCGGTCTCGGACGTCTCTCTCTCCGTACGGTCCCAGATTCTAGCCAGATTACTATCTCCTTGGTCGTATCCTCTTGTCCGTACGCGCCTTGTAGGGAACATAGGTCATGCACACCAAAACTGTTCATCAGCCCTTCCGCAGCCCAAATTCGCCATGCATCATCTCTTGACCTAATCTGGCTAACGTAAAGGAAAGCTTACAAAAACCACGTCATCGAGGACGTACCAGCACCTGCACAGATGACTTGTTGCCATGCCGCTGGCTGTAATCACGACAATGCATCGTTTCTTTCTCGGTGCTTGCTCATTGTGTCCTAGGTCATTGTCGCCGTTCAGTCGTCAATATCGTCTAAAAGTCGTGGTCGAATCGGGCTCCAGGCGGACCTCACATAGGGTCCCGGCGGAGCTATCGCTTGTTGTTCAATGCATTTCTGAGTGCGGTGTAGTTGTCGAGGACCAGTCAGGCCAAGAACCGTCTCTTCGAAGTCCCCATGGCCAGGCCCTATCCAATTTTACGGGCCGATCCTTGCGAGTTACCTGTCAAGATATCACGGCCACCAGGGCCAACTGGCCCGGAAGCAAGGGCATCATCGTAGAGACTTTCTACATGATCTGCTTCCCAAGGAACCTTCTTCTTTGACAGTGGGACCTTGACTTCTAATCCGGCATTGAGGGCCTGTAATCGTAAGAGTTTCATGCGAGCCTCCCGAACAAATCCATCCACAATGTCGAGAGCGGCCTTTTGAGCTTCGGCACGAGGATTGTGTTGTACAGCCTCCAATACTCCATGGTCCATATCGATCCTGGCATCCAATTTGCGCTCTTCGATCAGAACCATGATCTCATCCAGGAACTTCTGTCTGGCCGATGGACTGCGGACGCCCCCCTGCGTGGTTGATGGATTGCCAAACATCTTCTCCATGCTCGCCAGGGTGACCTTGCTGAAGGGCACAAAGTACTGGACTATGCTCTTGGTGCGGATCCTCTTGTAGATGTCCGCGACCAGGGGCTGTAGGTAGATATCCAGCAGATAATCTGGTCGGTGTGATTCGAGTATGTCAAGACATTGACTATACTTGCTTGCACAGAAGAAATTAATGGCGCGGCGGATGTGAGGCTCGAGTTCGAGATAGTTGCGGAAATTGGCGTTCTCCAGAACTTTGATTTGTAAGTCTGAGCGAGACATGGATGCGAGAGCACATAGACCACCGTACACTGCAATGTCATTGCTGGTAACCACGTCGCTGTAGCTATCCCCTAAGCTGGCATCGGTGTTGAGGAAGCTTATGGCAGCGTCGTAGTACTCTCCCGTGGACATTTGTTGCAGGCCCATGGCGGCAAACGTTTTGGGTTGATTCTTGGTCATGTCGTCGGGTTTCATTTGCAGGTTGCGGATTTTATGCACTTGGGACTGAACCGCCAGCCAATTTTTCTGCTCGATCGCAACCGCAATGATCCTAAATGCGGTCGACGCAATGTGCGTGGCGGTCGTACAGTAGTCTCGCATACGTGAGTAGGCTTTGACCGCGTTGTTGAGGTCCCCAATTGTGTAGTAATGATTTCCCAGATCTTCATTTCCCATCTGCAGTCTAAATGTCAGCCAGGACCTTTCCTGATTATCCTGACCCGGCCACACTCACTCGTATGCTCTCTTTGATCAAGTTGTTCTTGTAGCCCTTGAGTTCACCTTCCAACCGCGATGTTTCGGCGGCGTTTTTCTTCTCCTGCTGTGCGGCCCATACTGGATCCAGGAACTTGTCCACATTCTGGCCCTTTGCTGCTTTCTTCAACAGGGCAATAGCCTCGTTGTAATTTCGGACGTCGCTCCCCTTCTTCGCTTCTACGACGGCCAGGCGAGCGGCGTCCTCTTGCAAAGGCACGGAGCACGAGGCAATGAGGTGGAGTCGGCGGAAGACGGTGCGTCCTGGAAGGGATCGAGGTGGTCAGTAAGAACGGCGGACTCCTTCCCCAGGTATTGGCGGTGTACCTTTGTAGTTGGCGATATAGGAAGCCAAATCGAATTTAGGAGGTTCTGTGGGACAGTCAGTGGGCGGTATTCTGTGATAGCTACAGAGAGGTGAGATCTACCATGTACCACGATGCCATAGCTCGGCTGCTCTGGAGAGGGGGCGCTGGTTGCCATTCTGAACGATGGCCGGCGCTGAGGCCGCAGGAAGAAGGGGGATTTGGACCGGGCGATGGGGTCAGGCAGACAATGTTGTGATGTGAATGTGAATGATACCAGCAACAAGAATGTACAGTCTAACTCTGGCAGAAGACAGACTGTAGAGAGCGAATACAAGAGAGCATGTACTAGGTATGTTGTGGCAGCCGATCGCAGTAAACAAAATCAAATGTTACGGAGCATGGGCGGCGTGGTCGTGGTTGTGGTTGATGAGGAGAACTGAAGGAACCGCGGCCGCAGGTTGACGTACTGGCTGTACAATACATACCGTGCCTTACCTTACCTACCTAAAAAATGGACAGTTTAATTCGCTCGTCAGTCTCACTCGTGCCTATCATACCTCTAGTCGGTCAATTATGTCTACGGAGTACGGAGTCATTACAGAGTATTGGTTCCGGACTCTTGCAGTAAACCTTTGGTACCTTAGGTACTAAGGTACCTATAGTCTGAAGCCTTAGCCATAGCCTTAGGCACCTCAAGCCCGCGCGCCACCTCGCACTGACACCTATAAAGCCCGCACATGAACCTTAGGGGGCCTAAAAGTGTTCCTACATGGCCTAGAAGCCTTCCAGAACACACTGGCAGCTGAGGCCAGAGACAGATTGGGCCATGTCACTTGAATGATAACACACGAGATAGTGAGTGCATGTAATTAGAATTCAGGTCCCCTTCGGACAGAAAGAATAACCCGTCGAGAGCATTCATTACCTGCATCAGCATTCAAGCGCTCAGCGCTTCTCATGTGTCCAAGATATCTATCATACATACATCGGCTGTTTTCCATCAAGGGGGGCTTGACCATGGGGTATCACTTGGTTGTTTTGATTCGAGATCTCTCCCATCAGCTGTCGCCCTTCAGCACAGTTCCTTCGGTCTGGTACCTGTAAGCACATGTTTCCATTCCAATATTCATCAAAATCAGGGAGAACAATCCTTTGTTCAATCCCGCAATGTCATTCCACATGTCATCGCTTTTGGCTCATCCCAAAACTGCCAAGCTAAGCGTACAAACAATAATCAGGCAGACTGGACCTAAAAAGGTCTCCGTCGCAAATGTCAAGGAAGAAATCAGCTGGGTGAAACACGTCCTCTTCCAAATATACTGGCACTGGCCAAGGTAAAGGACAGGAAACCACAGATCAAGCCATCAAGGCATTCAAGTCGACCCCTTGACCATCGTCTTCAGTGGGTGGGAGCCAGGGGCCCTTCTCTTCTGGAGAGGCGTTGTGGAAAGCCTCGGCTCGTTTGAGTGTCTCAACGTCGAGGTCGGTCACGTAGCTTTTGCCATCGGGCAAACTCATGCGGACTTCAAACTCATTGTGCAGCATGATGTCGTCTTTCCACAGCCGACGCGGCCCGTCATAGACACAGAGCACTCGTTTCTTCATCCGCATCTTCTCAGCAGACATGCCCCACGACGGTGGGTAATGCTTTCTTCTCTTGCTGCCTTTGCCTACAAGAGCAACGCCACCTTTGGACCAGGTCATGCGTTTCTTGGCCGACTTGGTGGACTTGGAGACTCCACCAGCGAGGACGACTCGGCTTAAAACAGCAGGCCTGGTAGTTTTCAGGGATCCTTTACCTGATCTGCTGTTGAGGGATGGATCTTCCTCCTCCTCATCTTCTTGGTCGTCGTCATCATCATCATCATCGTCAACGTCTTCGAGTTTGGCGGGACCATCCTCTGTCTTGAGCATGTGACGATCCAAAGTCTGCTGCACGTTGCTGTCTCTGTCAATGCTGGAAAGATGCTGCGCGTTGATGGCTTCGCTGGGCTCTTCCTGTTGCACGACCCGCAGCACACAGTCGTCAAGGTGTTCATAGAAGTCCTGGGCATTGCTGAAGGTGGCCGAGCAAGTCGAGCATTTGCCAGTGGCATCCTGGCAGTAACTGGATAACCGTCGGGCCTGGGAGCTGGGACTGCGTTTCCGACTGTTTGGGGCCGTCTGATCGACCCCGTGGACCGAAGTTAGGTGACGTTTGAAGACGTCGGCGCGGTTGAAGCTCTTCTCAGCAGGCGAGCCCGATCCGGGGCAAAACCCGCATACCATGGTACCCTTGTAGTGGGTCAGGGTATGTCTGTTCTTGTCATACTTTCTGGCGAAACCTTTCTGGTTGTACTCGCATGTTACGATCGGACATTTCTCAGGTCGCTCGGCTTGGTGTGTCAGCATGTGCGCCTTCAAGTCCTTGAAGAATCTGCCGCAATCTGGATGTGGGCAGCGACCTTTCTCTCGACCATCTTCGTCGAGTTCGGAGGTGGGGCTGGAGTGCGAAGCATTGGAAACATAGGAAGCTAAAGACGGCCTTCGGCTCAGGTGTGGTGGGGGTTGGTAGTTGTTGTTGTTCGCCAGAGGATCGGAGAACTGGCCGGAGGGGTAAATCCCGTACGGTCGCGGCGAGGGAACCGGTGAAATCGAGGGCGATGTGTTCGAGAAGGTGTTCATGCCGGGTGTGAAGTGGCCTTGTCCGAGGAATAACGTTTCCCCATATGGTCTGGATGCGTGGATCAAGGAAGGGTCTGTGAACAGGAGTCGGTTAGTCGGGAATCTTTGGGTGTGGTTGTATCAATAGCAGGGACGAGGACGAGCAGGGGAGGAAGAAGAGAGAGACAGAGAGAAAGAAAAAAGGAAAGGCACGTCGGGGAGAGATAGGAAGGAGGAAGCAGAAGGAGCGATAGCGCCGGAAGAGACGAACAAGATGATTCGAGCGGTGGGACGAAACTACCGCTACTTTGAGCAAAGAAATGGGACTGGAAGCAAGTGACAGACGGTTGACATGTTGCAGCACCGGCATCATTGGGGACCATATGGTTGGGCTCGGTGAAAGATGGTTGCGCTCTTGCATTGATAGGAAAGACAATAGGAGAGAAGCGTCTTGAGCGAGCTGAAGCTGGTGTTGAAGGTGACTTGAAGACTGGTACTGCTTGATCAACGGCAGGGGACTGGGTGATAGCGGGAGCCGGAGTGGACACCGCTAATGAGCGGGTGGAGACGCCGCTGTCGGAACGGGCAGGAATAGACAGGACCTCGGCAACAGAGGTCCAGGCAGCGCCATGATTGGTGCGACTGGGGGGATCTGGTGGAGGCATATGCCCAAATCGGGGCTTGGGCTGTGCAATAGTGGTTGACGACACTGGGGTGGGATAGGAAGAAAGATCGGCACACTCACCCACATAGCTGCTGTCCGGCGAGAGCTTGTCGTGGTGGCTGTTGTTGTTGTTGTTCTGCGGCATGATCAACTCGGCCTCCAGCGGAGCTCCGAGCAAGTCCTGGTGAAAGGTGTCATGGCTGAGAATGGCTGGCATCACGCCCAAGCCGTATGACGCGCTGTGCTCGTACCCTTCCTGGCTTGACATGGTGTGAGAAGGGCCCGAGTAAGGCGATCCGATGGTGGATGATGCGGCACTGGCGATCGACGGGGCCGATCCTGAGGAAACGAGTGCGGGCGGCAATTCGTGAAATTGGTACATCTCGTCCTTGATGATTTGCATCGGCTCGGTCGCGAACACGGACGGGTGATCAAGGAACGAGTATGGAAGTGGATTGAAGGTGAGCATTGGATCGATCGCGTCGTATGTATCCATGGTGAGGCCTGGAAATGGCGCTTGTGACTGAATGCTGTAGCCGGGATCATAGATTGCCTCGACACTCTGCTGCGGGCGCGAACGCTCGAGGACGAGCATCGTATGTAGTTAGAGGGATGGGTTGATTCAGAACTGCATGAGATTCGAGGTCGGTCGAGGAAGAGGGTTCCGGGGCGATATGTCCTTTTGAAGTTTGTCGAAGGAAGAATCGACTATCAAGTTTGTTGGTCAACAGAGCCTTGACTTCTCTTTGAGACAGCCTTTTCTTGTCAAGGGGTCCGAGAGAAGGGGTCGGCGCGCCTAGAAGCGAGGGTTCTAGGTCTCTTGTGGCGCCGTCAGGGTTCTGGGTAAGCCTGGATACGAGACGTCCGAGGCCTAGATGCAGTGCAAAAGCGAGGCAGATGGTTAGAGACGAGGAGACAGACGTGATTGAGGCTTGCTGAAGGCGTGTCGATCAATACCGGAAGCGGCCAAGGTAGAGTCGGGGAAGGGGAGACGAAGCTGCGGGATGGCTGGCAGATCGTTGACAAGTCTTATACCGGATCAGTTCCAGGGGACTGGGTCGAGGTGAGGATGAGTGAGGAGTGTTTTGTGTTTCGAAGGAGAAGGTTGATCTCAGGCCGACCGATTGAAGGGGCGAAATCGTGAGATATAGTCGTTTGGATCCATGGGCAGATGGATGGATCTTGCCCAAAGCAGGAGCCCTGTTGCTTTGTGACAACAGATGAACCCACCACAGCCCTATACTTTTCATGCTGGACCAGGGTCTGAGCAATAATGACCAGGGGAGTGAGGTGGCCTGCATTGGTAGCAGGACGTGAGGAGCAGGGGGGGGTGGGCCCGTGCTCTCTGTGTTTTCCGGGTGGCAGCGACAGCGGGTGTATCGAAAATACACGCCGAGGAAGTGTCAATGTGACAGCTAATGCACGTCCCGAATGAGGCTTAGGCTAGCTTTCGGGGAGGCCTAAGGACAAGACCAACTCTCAAGACCACCGAATCCACAGTTTGACAATCACCTCTGGAGACTTGGTGTAACAGTGGCCTGTGGCGGTACGCAGGTGAATCGGATGCAATTCGGTTCGAGTTGATCTTTTCGCAGCAGAACAGGCCCTAGGAGCATTATCTCAGGGAGGTATGTCTCGAAGGGCAGGAGATATGCCAGCCATTGTGGTTGTTCTCACTCCGGTAGCAATGGCATTCGTATCATACCCGGTAGCAAAAGTCCACCATTGGCGTGAAAAACTCTTCTCCCGTTGTGCTATTCATATCGTCACTTTTTCTGACCACTTTCCCAAGGTAACAGTAGCAGCAATGAGGGAGGGCGCATGACGAAGCTGCGAGACGGCCGCAGATCATGCAAACACCGGCAAGGAACAACATGAACCCGAGACCAATGGTAGAGGCACAGACTCGAGCTTTCCGGCCGTTCACAGCCACCAAGAAGGGGAAGCTCGAGAGCACCACGACGAGAAAGGGATGGTGAGGAGGGACACAGGCTGGAGATGCTGAATTGGGATGAGTCGGTTGTGGGTTGTGGTTGTGGAAACGACCGGGGTGGCTGAGTGGTGTGCTGCTGGGGGGGTTTTGGGTACTGAATTGTTCCGACTGCCTGTTTGGGCGAGGCCAAGCTTGTCCCTTCTTGGTGCTGGCTTTGGTTCTTTTGGCGCGGGCTCGCAGCCAGGGTGTAGGTGGTAAGGTACGGTAGCGAAGTCGACCTATAAGGCCAAGAGAGATTAGCTGTAATGCCGTATTTTCAGTAGGCGAGGCCGATGCGATTGCGTCGTTGCGGTCAAGCCGGGGGACTGTCCAGGGTGCGAAAACGTGGTCGGCCGCAGGTGCGATGGCTGTTTAGGTGGCTGTTAGGTGGCTGATAAGGTACCTTGGGGCCTCTTAAGCCCGTCAAGCGCAGACGGCGGCTCGGGGTGGCCAGGATGGAGGCACAAGCCACTGCCACAGCCCGGCTGATTGGCAGCCGGGCGCCTGAGCCACTTTCCTGGTGGAGGGGGCAGCTATTTTTTGACCGCCTTTGCCCACCAGGTTGAGGCTGTGACCTGGGTTCCCTGTGTCCACCGTCCACCGTCACCGACTCTTGATGAATGAATGAATGATTACTCTGTGATTGCAGTACGTAGTGGTAGTAGTACGTATGTACCAGGTAGTCGAAGATTCTCGGGTATCCAGCAGCTAGTAGTACCATCCATCATAAACGTCATCCTCAGCAATCATCATGCCATTGTTACCTTATCATGTCCACTCCCTGTGGCTTGACGACATAGTTGAAGTCACCGGGGGGGAGGCAAGGGTTAAGGCCCTTAGGCTTCTGTGATTGCTGCCCACCCTCGAAAGCATCCTAAGCCTTCAAGCTTCCCAAAGGTCAGTTAATAGTAATTAATGTTAATGTTATTAGTTTGGTTCTGGAGGCAGACTGATTCCGAACTCATGCCTGTCCGACGTTCGTTGCATGTGCTCGGCGCTTCCACCCAACTCACTCACTACTGACTGCAGCTCCCGAGCCTCCGCCATGCGATTGCCATGCCCATACCCCGGGCACGACATTGACTGATGCCGCCGCCCCTGCCGCTCCTCTCACTTCGCCGGTTTGACATTTCCGCTGACACTATGGAGGTGACCGTTTCCGCCAGAGTCGAGTCTCAGACAACGATAGACGCGGGGCACCTACAGACTTCCCATCTGGGCCAGGAGTAGATTGCTCGCGAGAAAAAAACCGCCGATCAGATGGAGTATCCGACTATCCGTACACATACCATGGCTTGACTATTGATTTTCTCACACCCATGTCCTTGTCCCCCCCTGGGAGTCGAGACACTTGAATTGGTTACCGTATCATGCTACTCCGGACTATGCAATGCTAATATTCCTCGCCATCTGACTGGGCCCCTGATTCTCGTACACAGAAGCTCTGACTTCAAAAGGACATGTTGCCTTTAGCCCCCAATGTTCAACCCTCCCTGGGCCTGTATCGACGCTTGTGATCGGATGTGGCCATGGATGTTTATAGTCAATCTTCTGGCGCTGCAGGGGAGTTCACAAACTCGCCTAACTTGTCGTCTTTGAGTTAGACTGGGCACTCACTGGCATGTTACAACTAATGAGACCTCGTCTTCGCGGAGAGTTCGACGCGCTGCTTACTGTACCGTCGGCCCCTCGTCTGTGCTTTTCTGTTCTGCACTACCTTCACCGTCCCCGTCCCCGTCCCTGTCCGTCGCCAATTTTCCTCGTTATGCATTGCCTAGGCCCCCTTTCACCCTCGCAAGGCTGCAGACCAAGGATTTGGTCTTCTCCTCATAGTCCGTACTCTTCGTTGCATTTCTTACCCACACACCAACCAGGGTCGTGACTATTGGGCGCACCACCAAGCCGGAGCGCCGTGGCCCTCGTGAGAAACCCAATGCAACAAATTCCCCCTCCCAACCGGACTATGTAAAGTATCCTGTGAACCCCTGCTCTGCCCTAGGCATAATCTAAGTATGCCATCTGCACGTTTCCAAGCCCATGTGGCCAAGTGCCAAAACTCGGGCCCTCAGACCAGCGTGCAGCACATCACGGCGGTCAGGTATCTTGGCCACCACCCAATCATGCTTCCCAGCCCGCCATGTTATAGGATTTCCTCTCTTTTGATTGCTCCGTGCCCGCTCTCATCCTTCTGATACCGCCGTTCAGACCGCCAGGCGCAGCCCTGCCTTGAGTTCAAGCAGACTAGTCCTTCAGATTTATCGTGTTCGGCGCAGCTGCAAGTCGACGGGAAGACCACTCGCGAGCTCCATCTCGAACCCCCTCACTTCAAAGTCCCTGCCAGCAACATGCTTGGATTAGGCTGTCGATGGAACACAAAGACAACGCCAAACTCTACCGACAATCTCCTTTCGTTGTCATCTCCTGATTTGTGCGTTTGAAACACACTGCTTCCCCTCCTCGCTACCAGGACCTCCTGAAGAGGCCTAGACCGAGTTGGCGCGGATACGTGGCGTGGACACACAGTCATGAAAGTAGATCCGGCTTGAGGAGACTGAGGATTCCGGAGGCTGCAGCAAGGCAATCAGCAAAAAGACACAACAAGACTACCTGGTAAGCGCCGGGAGGTGTCCCGCCAATGCGTAGACATGGGGGTCGGTTGGGAGCAGGAACTCCCAAAGCGGTAGGTAGACTTCGCATAGTCCTCTGGCGTGGACGGATTGAGGAGGGGGAGGGGTAAGTGACCATGTGCTAGTCGCTGTCTGAGACCTGGACGTGAAGAGAAAAGCGAGAGAGCTCGTATCCAACAGAGGCCACTCCCTGGGGGTTGATGGTGTCGTCAGCCCTACGAGATGGTTGACACTTTGCAGAAGCACCCCCGCTTCTCCTACAGTGTAACTCCGTGCATACTAATGTACCATCCTCAACCCTGTACCCTGGCCTTTCTTCCTCCTCGCGTCCTGTCACTAGCCTGTCTAGGCGTTTCGACATCCATCCCAAGTCAAGAGGGAACTGTGGCTTGCGTTGTAAGCGAAACTTCGAGGTCTGGACTCTCCCAATTCTTCCGCCCCTAATTCTTGGGCGACTCGGACACCGTGTTAGTCGGTAGATTCCATCAATCAAATCTGCGCGGCGGAACCTGACTGTGCACTGTGATTTACACCCTGGTTTTCTCACGCCGCTTGCCATCATGTCTGGTTTCCAGCGCAATTCCCCGACTATTTGTTGAGCCTGGTAGGTGCCTGGTAATGGATGCATGTAGGATCTACGCAATAGTACTACGTGCCCATCTCTCAATGCATCGGCGCTCTTGAATCCCGCTTCTAGACTGATTCCCACAATCCCTGTGCTTTCTTCATCTTACGGACCCGCGTCTTTACGAGCAGCTGACCGTCCATACCATCCTTGCTTCCACCCACCAGTGGATGTTCTTTTTGCATTCTTGATCTTCATGGGAAGCTCTTCGTATCGAAGATGACGTTCTTGTGAGACATATTTTGCTTGTCCTCGTGAATCTGGTTGATCTTCTGTCGATGGTAGGGTAATGCTTGAGCAAGTACTCCGTATTTTTACTGCTTTTGGACCGTCATCTGTTGACCCTGTGAATTGTGCACATGAGCATGCTACTCCTGATGATAGGCGACATCGACTTGCCTCAAGATATTCGCCGGGCATGATTTTGTGGCTTTGACCTTGATTCGCTGAAATGCCCCGAGAAACAGTGTCCTACTCTCATTTGCTCTTTTGTTGGTAGTTGTTGCTCCCATAGACCACACGGCCTGTACTGCAACAGCTGACAACAACACTGGCTATGGTGGAAATCTCTGGTAGAGCCTAGCCGGTATGCTCCTGCCCCAGTCCTGGTAAGGCTATGGTCGTCGGATTTGTACGCGACAGTGTGGCTGGATCTTGCATTCATGATCTGGTTCCATTGTTACTACGTTCCCATGATGCTGGCGGGAATCCGGTGGAAGCAAGCATGCCGTCGAGCAGTGAAGGGTTCCGCCGGAGAGTGTCCCATTCCACTTCATATTTCACCATCAGTGTACCCGCAAGTATTGTGCCGTTAAGAGCAACGGAGCTTTCTGAACCGGCCCCTGGTATTGCCACCGCCTCCCTACTCCTCGGGCAAATAGCCATTCTCTCGGTGGTCATTGCTAGGTTGTAACTGAGAACAGTCTGTCCATCTTTCTCTACTTCCACATTTTGATCAAGCGGTTGGTCTGGAAACCGTGCGGCCGACAGTGCCGACTTCAACAACAAAAGGTATTTGGAGTACAAGTTTGTCGATGAGAGGTCGTCTTCGAGCGGAGTAGAGAAATGCAGGAACGGCAGCGTAGGGTCTCGGAAGAGAGGTACGTCAGGGTGGGCTCGTACCGTCATACGGTCAAGAAGGAGCTCCCAACCGGGAGCTGCCAGACTCGACATGTCTTCCACAGGAAGGAATTGAAGATGGCGGTGTGGCTGACTGGCACCACTGTGCTCGCCAGAGTTGAAGAAGGAAAAGAGTCGGGATTCTGTCGGACCATGTTGTTCATTTCTCCACGCGCGAAGACAGGCGTGAGTTATCCTGATGTCATCCTCCTCAAGGATAGCAGTCTGAGGCTTGTTCGCCTTAGTGGCAATGATGAAGTGGTTTTGGATGACAGGAAACTTGTTCAAGACCAGGTTATGTGATGTCCTGTTCGCTGGAATACTAGCTACCAGCAATTCCTCGGGTGGATCTGCAAATGGATCAAATTTCGGTGCGCCCGGCTCCTTCTTTTCTGGTCCATCTGCATTGGGCTTTCTGGCCAGTGCTGGACAATACCGCAGCTGGAACTTGGCGGATGTAAGCTTTTGAAGGTTACGACGACTGGGGGAAACCACTTACTGGAGCTCCGCATTGACTCCGGAGCGAAGCGACTGTGGTCTCTGAGAACAGTATACTTTTGTCTCTGTAGGCTGTGCGGAACTTCTCAGTCACGAGCTTTTGCAGTGGTTCCGCAAGATCTAGCAGCATGTCTCTTTCGGACATGCTTCGAAAGCTTTGATGTGCAGCCCTTTCTCTCGACAGGGAGGACTGTTGTTGCCGATGAATGACGACAACCCAGGTCAACTAGGAGCTATTGTGCCAGGCTGGGCGGCGGGACCAGGAACAGTCCCTTCACAGATCAGCAGCGCACATCGGACCAAGCGTAGGGGGGTGGCTCATCCACCAGCAAAACAGTTCGAGTACTGAGCTACAGCAGCAGTTTAAGCCACTGTTGTGGTCGTCGAGGTTCAGGAATGATGCAGTGGCAGCGGCATCATCGAACCCGGCTTGACCTCGGGCTTGGCATGGAAGAAGTCTTGGCGCGTAAATCGACAGCCTCAGCTCCGCCAGACTTCAACTCCAACGACTTCAACATGCCCACCTCCAGCACGAGGTTGTTCTCTTGGACTTCACTCCCTCATGGTACCTGTTAGGTGCCTGTTCTTCTCATAACGCAACTTTTAGCCACACCACCACAGCCAGTGCCATGTCATCACGGGATTCTGCTCATTGATTTGCTTAGCTTATGGTGGTCAGGTCCGCGCTATTGCTCTCTGGGGCCCAGGAGGGCAGTGCAAATGCTCTTGCAATACCTCCGTACTTCACCGAATCCAGAGATTGTGCGACCGCAAATGAATTCCCCTTTGTGACAGCGAACCTATCTGAGGCTGGAACACTCTGCTCAAGATCCGCATCCATGGGAATCTGGCCACTGAAATCTCTGGGCTGCGTCAGTGTCTGCAGAATCTCGGTTCTGGGCAGGTCACAAAAAAGGGAAGTGCTGGAACGCACGAGTTGCGCAACGCGATGCACGCCACACATGGCATGGTCGCCACGCTTCTCTGACTCTGTCGAACCGTGCTGGAGGGTTTCGACGACCGCTCAGAAACACGACCGAAGAATGTCAAATGACAACCCGTCTCCGTTCCGCTGCAGTATCCCATGTGTGAGCTCCAAATTACTGGCACAGATATATCCACACGTAACAGCGAGGGTCTGCGCCACAACGCTCTGTCCCCGCATAGCCTCTTGTCACTGCAATATCGCCCAACCATGACCAGTGCGATCTTAGTCGCGATTCAGGCCATGAAGACCAGGAGGTTCCCAGAAGAGCGGACCCGCATGGTATACCGTAACTATTGCCTCGAGACGACGAGCCTGACATGCGATCGCATCATAGTTGTACAATGCCCTGATGTTTGCTTACATTCCTCCCAGGCTTTCCGCTTGTTGAACGCCGTCGGCCCAGCGCCTGATCAGGAGCCCGGATTGGTGGACTAGCACTTTGTCTTGAAGACTCCGTGCTTCTTGGGTTCCCGGCATCGATATCTCTGCACGAAAGATTGCCGAACTATGCAGTCTCTAAGGCGTAAGGCCTGTTGCTGCGCAGAGCAAGAGCTATAGTCTAGCCAATATGGTTTGCCGTTCTTGGAGCATGGCGACTGGCATGAGGGCTCTTGCAGCTCTGCCCCATTATGAGCTCTCCTGGCATGCTATCATTTACCCAAATGAGACACGTTATGTTTTAACCACTCTACGTCCCGATTTGAGGACCCCCATTTTGGGATGCAAACCGAAGTCAGGTATGAGCATGATTGGACAGTTGCGGATCGGTTGTTTGGATTCTTTTTTAAGCTAGAGCGAACGGATTGGCTGTTTTCCTTGGAAATTTTATGGTCACCAGAGCTCTAGGCCTTGATTAGCCGCTTACTATGGGTGACCGCTGTGCCACGGACTCTTCTATTCGAAGTTTGGCAGATGCGAGATTATGTCTCTTTCAGTGCATCAAAGGTATGTGTGAGAGCAGAGGTATGGAGAGTTGTTTGAAAATGGTATCCGGTGAGTGCAGATGTCCCAGAACAAATGCTCTCGGTCTTCTCTTTGGAATTCTAGGTTTGATTCTGAAGCCGCGGGACGCCTTTGTTTGCAGAGCGAACAGGCCGACCTTCGTTTCATGGGTGACTATGCTGGTCACTGATTGTGGTGGCTCGTGACTCGGATGAAAACGAAGTGCTCGCTCGAGCAATAGTGACCTCGATTCTCTAAGCCCATTCACTCCCGAAGTCTCGTTCACCGCTTCAGCAAGCCTTTCTCACAGAGTCTAGGAAATGCCGCCGAGAAACAGAGAATGCCAATACCTGGGTATCTACGGCGACGGAAAGAAGCCGTGTTGTGAGCAGAGTCATTGCGCATGTCACAGGCTTGGATGGACATCCCCGAACATATTCACTGCTAATACAAGTCAACGCTCCCCAGCGGCGACCTCTGACACACAGCACTTCTGTCACGCACATGGAACTTCCTGTCTCGCGTCCCATATGCCGTTTACCGACAACGCTTTTCAACCAAACCCTCATGTCTCTCCACTGATTGCCTTGCCCACAATGCAACCACAGCCATATCAAAGCTACAATTCGCCGACTCGCTACTGCATTGGACAGCCAGCCTGGCACCCGTCCTTCCGTGCTGAGGACAATCTGGCGAACGGTGGTGGGAGTAAGTCAAGTTTACGACATGCCAGAGGGAAACAAAACATAGCGCAATCTACTTTGCCGGACCCTTCAGATACATCGCCCCTCTCCTGGCACCATGGGAGTTGTCAAAACCAGTGTCAGGGTGAGAGTGGCTCAGTCCCGTCTATGGGGCCTACCGATAAAGCGAATTTTCTAATATCTCTGCCGACTATCTCCAATGCTGGAGTTGAAGACGAGTCCCTCCCCTTTCTTCACCCAGACGACCCCACAGCATACCATTTTGAAGACGACTTATACCCAGATCCAATACAACAAAATGAGTTTGGACTAGGCATATTCAGGTCTGACAATGCAATATTTGACGATAGGTCTGCTATTTGGGACCACTGGGCCTCTCCAAACACATTCCTGGCATCAGACACCCCATCCATGAATGGACAATCGCCATGGCTTGCCTTGAATACTAAAGGAGACCCATCGGGCGGACCAGCGCTGTCATTGGATCACTTTCAGTCCCCTCAGCTCTATTACGACTCTGGTTTGTTCGGAGTTGAGGCTGGGTATATCTCGCCTAAGCAACTCAACCTGGATGCAGCGCTGTCAAGTTACCCGCCTCTGCCTGAACTAGACGCCCCTTTTGAAGACTCTGTACACGCCGCGAAGGATCCTCAGATCTCTTCTCCCTCTACCTATCTCCCCTCTTGGCCTCTCGCAGAGGCAATGCCGGCGTGGTTTGATGGAGAGAAATTAGGAATACAAAGTGTATGGACTGCAGAAGCCGCACGGACCTCGACTCAGGCAACCTCAACGACGACTGGTACACCCTATATGGTGAGGGGCGGACTGAGAGACACCTCGAAAGACGAGTACCTGGTTCGATGCAAAGAACAAGGGATGTCGTATAAGCAGATCAAAGAATCCGGCGGCTTTAACGAGGCCGAGTCGACTCTGCGAGGCAGGTACCGAGCTCTAACGAAGCCACGAGAAGCAAGGTTGAGAAAGCCCGAATGGGGACAACGAGAGGTGAGAGTTGAAATCCATATGTAAGCGAACTGGTCCCTGACTCAGTTGATAGATTGACCTACTTTTCGAGGGAGTTGCGCATTGCTCTAAGTCGAACACAGGCATTCCACCATTGGACACCGACTCGGATGCTGTTACAATAGGCCAATTTGTGAATAAGGTGCCCTGGAAGCAGGTTGCCGAATATATGGAGAGCAAAGGCGCCTACAGATACGGCAACGCGACCGTTAAGAAAAAGTACCTGGAAATTCTCAAGGAAGGAGGTGCTTCGGTCAGGATAGACTGAATTTATGGGCAGCGCCATGGATCTCGAACTGAATTCACTACCGAGGGATTATTACACCAGCTCGCAGACTTTATGCCCTTGGTAATCATGCTCCCGCTTTCCTTTGCAATAAGTCCTGGCACGGAGCTACACCTTGACAACTCCTGGACCCTCTATGGTATGGCTATGGGTGCTTTCAGGGTGACACTGACCTGCAATCACTGCCTCTTTTAGTCTGGACTCGCTGATAGTCGCAACTGCTCGGTTGAGCCATCCCCACCTGAGCTTCTACTCATCGATTGACGAACATTGCAAGCTCGACCCTTCATCCGAATATTGCTTTATCGGATCTTTATGTTGCGTATCTGGGCAGCGTCGCGCTACCAAATCCCCCTGTCTACCACATTCTCGAGACAACCAACGGGCGGCCACAAACTTCGGACCCAAGGAAGTACAGCGCGAACTCTCGGTAACGCAAACCAAAGCAAAGGCTTTCAACTATTATCACCACCAGAATCCAGCATGGGTCGTCGCGGGCTGCAGAGGGTTCATTACACCAGCAAAAGCTTAGAGTCCGTACTCGTGCGGTACCTGCAATCTTTGATTTCAGCTCTTTGACATATGGCTATAGTGCATCTATCATCGGCACCGTCCTAGGTAAGCGACATTACTTCCCTTGAGAACGCAGCCCTGACTTTGATAGGGCATCTTTCTTTCGTCGAATACTTCGATCTTGATACAAAGTCAAATACTACTGACCTGACTTCGTCCCGCCTGCTAATTACAATGTGTCACCTCTAGCCTCTTTGTCTGCTGTCAGTTTCTTCTATGTGCCTGAGAGTGCTCAATAGCTCCTGATGCAAGGAAGAGACGCAGAGGCCGAGGCACTTATCACTCAATCGCTCTGCCCTTGAACAGCTCCTGTATCTGGCTGGTCTCAATGCTATTGCAATACTTCTCATCGATCGATTCCCTCGCAACGAGTCCATGGCCTTGGGATCGTAGGCTCCCTGGAAGCGCTGGTCCTCGATATTGCACTGGTGCATTGTTCCTGGGATGATCGGAGCTACCATCATGTGGATATGTGCTGCGGACACAAATGGGTTGTCATTAAAGGAGATACTGCCATTTTCGGTGATGATGACCAAGTGGCCATTTCTAAACGAGAATTTGAAGCTGGCAGGACGACTCACACCATTGTAGACCACGAGGGAAGGCCAGTGAAACTGGCGCTGCTCATGTCGAAACCAGCTCACCACTGGTGAGAATGGGGACGGAGTGATGATCGAGGTCCAGACACCGAGATTCGACGTAGGCTGTACGCACATATATCAACATCTCTGAGAAATTGATCGATACCGTAGTCCCGTTGTCGTAGGAGACGAAGGAGGGTAGCCGTGTAGTACGGGGCAATCCTTACCAGGCAGCTCTTGAAGGGATAGAAAAGTGCTGTAGTGCATACAGTACGGAGGACATATGTACTTCAGCGTAGAGATAGGGGTCGGAAGAATGTTTCTCCGACATCCTGGTCACTTCCTGCCCAGGTGGTTGCCTTGCTACGTATATTACAGAGTAGGTACAGTCATATATGCTCCCTGCTGATGTTTCAGATCTAGGCGACGGCCTCATCGTTCTGTCCCCAGCGCCCATCGCACATGTGACCGGGCCATGAAGGCCACCGAGGTCTCACTGTTCCCAGATGGCGTCGTCTGGCCCGAACTCAACTCCTCGACCCGTTTCTGCCGCTCGATCGCGCATCAAAATCGAGAACGACGCATCGTGCATCGTCTGTCGTCGACCAGGCTGTCAGTTACAGTCCCATAAAGCCTGGGCGGCGAGACAAGTCATCGACACACCCAAGGCTACCCAGAAAGCCGGCTACCCTAGATCGCTCGAGAAGCCGTACACTAGCTCGTATGCGTATACGAGGACTCCTCTCCGAGCAACTGTACCGCACTCGATCGACTCGGGACGCCTTGATGGCTTTCACGACCTTCCTGTTGCAGGAGGACATCGGCCAGAACTGCACCACGCCGTATACAGTTGTAAGTGTCACTCAGTGAAATCGGGGCGGGTGCGCTTTGGAAGATCCTGTGTTTGGGGTCCACGGGGCGCGGCGCCGCGTGAAGTCGCGGAGGTGAACATGGACATGGACATGCTGAGCTGACTTCTTCTGGCAGTGTTGAATGGCAAAATCGGCTCGGCGACGGCGTTCCCCCTCCCGGCGGGAATGGCGGTGAACGAGATTGGCGGGAGCATGCTCATACCCGTGATGAGCGACACGTCGTTGTGCCTGAGCGTGATTGCCGCCTGGAAGGCGGTGCAGTTCCAGGCCGGCCAGGCCGCGAGCTTCCCATATCTGTCGTACGAGGCGCAGGCTCTACAGTCACTGCGCAAACAGCTGCACGTCATGGGCCCTCGGCGCGTCACCGACGAAGCAGTCATCGCCGCCGCCATTCTCTGGGCCACTGCCGCCATGTTTGCACAGCCCGAACCCTTGCGACGCCATGTGGCCGGCGTACGCGCGCTTGTTGCTGCCCGTGGAGGCCTGGCAGACCTCGGCCACGCAGGCTCTACCGCCCAACTGATCCTCTGGGCCGATCTCCTCACGGCCCAGTTCTTGGACGAAGACGTCTGCTTCAAAGACATCGGCCCATCGGATCCTCTCCCGCCCTCGCTCGTCAAGCTGCGCGCCTCCATCGCCCTGCCTCCTCCCTTCGACCGGCTGTTGCCCGACACCTCGGAGGCAGCCCGGGACATGCGCTTGTTGTTGCTCTGCCATGACAAGGCCCTGCGGACAGAGCACATTTCCTTTGCCGAGTACAAGGCACTCATGGGACTATTGAACCAGAGCACAATATTTTGGGTTGGGCTGCAGGAAAAGTACAAGGGGTCCAGCACGAGTGATGAGTGCGTCATCCTGGCGATGAACCTGTTGCGCTTGACCGTCTTTTTCCACGCCGCACCGCTCTTGACCATCGTCACGACGGTCCTTGAACGCTTGCGCTTGGCGCTTGTCCGTTGTGGCATCGGCCAATTCCTCGACTCGGTCGACATCTACATCTGGGCCTGTCTGGTAGGGATGGTGAACAACCTTCACGCCGATGCCCGATCCCAATTTGCTGACATGCTGGCCCACGCCCTGACTACCAAGTATAAGAACGGGTGGCCTGTCGACTGGCAGGCCGAGATACTGCTCCTGCTCCGCTCATTTCTATGGTCCGACAGTGTCCTGACCACCATGCTCCCGGCTGCCTGCCAGCTTGTCGAAGCCCGGGTGTGCCCTACAAAAAAGACTTGTTTGGCAACCCAATCCGTCACACTGAGTTGAGTCCGGAGCACGACCTGTGTGGGCATGCATCATAGTCCAGTCCGAGAACGAACTCCATTGTCAGCCTCCAGGTGGGACTTCGATGTCGCGACAGTTGTGGCATACCACAAGTTTAAGTTCATCAACATGGCAGCAAAATAAGATGGTCGCGTCTGCTCTGGGCACATGACGTACTGGAACTCCCCGGTTGTCAAGCGGCGGAGTGAGAGAGTCAATACAGAAGCCAACCCGTCAAGGAAAAGTATTTGACGCTTGTGCTATAGAGTTCAGGACTTCGACTGTGCCACTAATCTACTGATGCCTCGGCTCGTAGCCTGGAAACGGGGTTGCAAGGTACTACGAAGTATGCTCAGAAGGTGGAGGGATATTGAGATGGTCGGTGGCAGTGCTATATAGGTACGCCTCGGCATGCCAGCTACTATATTATCAGGATCGGCACTATTGATCAGGGTCGGTCTTTCGCCACCAAGACTGCATGCATCACGGAGATCATCCTACTCGGGGATTCCTTGGACAATGTCAGGGCCAAGGCCGTCGCGTAGACGATTGCAAGGCTGATTCTAGAAAGTCTGAGGTCAAATGGGAGTTCTCGAAGCAGCCATTCAGGCAGGAGCTGCTGCGGGCGAACAAAGGTGAAATCAAGTTGCTGAGTGGGACAACTTGATGGTTTCGACCTAAAGAGGACATCGAAGGGTGTGCGGAAAACCAGGATAGAGGTAGGGCAAGAACACAGCGAAATCCATGTCAAAGTTGAATGTATGCGTTCGTTATAGACAGCACAAGCATTCGGTCTAACGCTGCCAGCCTATTTCAATGGATGCGATTGGTGCGAACATTCTGACAGACTCATGTGCAAGAATTTGCAGACAGCGCAAGGTCGAAAGGAGGGCTGCAGCTCTCGCAAAGCAAGATCAGCATCAGATTTCCCGGGCTCAGGAGTGAACACCCGCGATGCCAACCAAGATCAGGAGCAAAAAGAACGCGGCCAAACACTGAGGCGGTCGTCAGCCTGGGTCAATCATCCTGGAAGGAAGATACCAACCATCCCGACAAGGACCCCGATACAAGGGAGGCTTAATCCGCCGACGAGAGCGAAGCCTTGGTTCATCGCGTTCTGCTGTCGGAAAAATCGATATGCGCCAACGAGAAGAACAAAGCAAGCAGAGGCGTAACAGAGACATGCCTGTGGTTTGCCCAGCAGAAGATACCGAAGAGACTTCTCTTGGTGCGGACGGAGTACATGTTGAATCCTGGAGACTTGCGCAATGACGACCCCGAGGATCGCAATGGCATCAGCAAGTGAGAGCCAGGCGAGAAAGGTTTGTTCATTGGCTTGTCCGCATGGATCAGCATCGATGATGGGGTGAGATTGATGGAGCAAACCCGTACAAAAGTGATTTCGATTAGAGCTTTGGGGAATGTCCAGGGACACGTATTTGATCCAGAGCTTCTTCAAAATCCATGTTCCCTCAGATACGGCACCAGAGTGACTCTTCTCTTTGTCTAGATTGGATAGATCTGGTCCAGTCGTTTCGGCCGACGCAGCAGCATGGCCGGGCAGCTGTGTCATAGGTACACAATCACCCAAGGCAGCCCGATTCTTGCTTTCGGCAATCGCATTGGTGGAGTGTCTCCGGAAGAGAAGCTTCATGGCCCCAAATCAGGTAGCAAACAATCGACAATGAAGAACCTGTGATACAGAGCAGAACAGTGTTTCCTGAACTAAGGCATCTGGCCTTGGGACAAGAGTTGGAGACCGTCACTTCCTTCTGAGCACATCAGTCTCAAGTGAAACAGCAGCAGCAACGTATCGGCAGGCACACATGTTTGCGCAGGCACGCCAGCAGGGCAAGAGACAACCGATGGCTGATGTTCGGAAGGAGAGGGCAAGATCAACTAGAGCTGCGATCTATTTGATCAGTAGGCAACCCGAAAGGCAAATACAGAGCATTGCTCCATTGTTTAGACTAAGTAGCCACACAAACATCTCAACACAATGTTTGCTGCCGTCGGTATGACATAGAGTCGGCAGACAGAGCGCGGAAGATTTAGGCATCGGTGTGACCGCCATACCACCACTGGGGGATGGTGTAGAGCAACGATGGCACTTATAAGAAGCAGCCTGTGTCAAAGATCTGAGGCTCAGGGACTGGAGCTGAGGCTACTGCCAGTACTGTACTCCGTACTCTGTACTCTGTATTGTCGAGGCGGAACGATAAGATGAGAGAGTTGATGAGAGAGTTGTCTGCGGCTGCGGCGCAGGAGAGGTCACATGACCTTGGCACTCCGTCATGGCCGAAATCGCAGGTGCAGGCGCAGGCGCAGGCGCGAACCAGAGCAATGATACCATCATCGCCTCCTCCTTCACCACTCACGTTATCACCACCACCGCCACCTCCACTGCTGCTGCTCACACCACAACCAGTGGCAGCTCAAAGCCGCCACGAGCAGACTCTTAGTAATTCATCGGTCTTTCCATCTCCATCTTCCATCAATACTACCGCTCCCGCCCCGGATCAATCCCCAGGGCTCATTGAGAAGCCTCCACAGGCATACTTGAGTCTGCATCGAGTGTCTTCTCCCTTTACTTCGCCTTTTGCAACGTCGACCGAGACATTCCACGAGTGCTGCCGCCCTCCACCGACCCAGGGTCCCTCCATTACCACAGCCATGGGCCTTTCCAAGACGCAGAGAATCATTGTCCTGCTGGTCATAGACAGTGCATTCTTCCTGGTTGAACTTATTGTTGGTGAGTGACGTCCTCTTGGGGCGCTCTCCAGGACGATGATTAATCTGCTTCCAGGCTATGCCGTCCATTCGTTGGCCCTAGTGGCGGATTCCTTTCACATGTTGAACGATGTTTTATCCCTTTGTGTCGGCTTATGGGCCGTTCGTGTGGCGAATACTGGAAGCTCAAAGATGTACACATATGGATGGCAACGAGCCGAGACCTTGGGTGCCTTGGTCAACGGGGTCTTTTTGGTCGCCCTTTGTTTGTCCATTTTCCTCGAGGCGATCCAGCGATTTGTCGAACCACAAGTTGTGACAAACCCGAAACTCGTCCTGATCGTCGGTTGCTTGGGACTAGCTTCCAACATTCTGGGGCTCTTCCTCTTCCACGACCACAGTCACGCCCATGGCGCAGAAGACTCTCCACATGACGGCGATCCGATAAGAGTGGCCGAGGAAGGCCATACACACACTCATGATGAGGAAACAACCGCTGTGGCAGACGAGACTGGCCCTGTCGAAGATGTCCTTCCACAAGTGCGCGTCGCTGGTTATCAGGGCTCGGAGAGAAAAGGCTTCACCACCTCCGATGAAGACAACACCACTATCTCTGCCATATCCTCACACCTGCCACACGGTAGATCTTTTGCTAATGGCGGCGAGGTCCACAGTCGTCATCGTCGCAGAACGTCGGGGTCACTTGTTCGAGGCTTCGGATCAGTTGATAACCTTCACATCCATCCAGCCTCCTTTCGACAGGATATTATCCAAGCGGCGCGTCTGGAAGAACAATCGGAGTCGTCTTCGGCAGAGGAGGAAGCCCTGCTAGACGAGGACTCGCCAAACGAACGATCGAGGATTTTTGCAGATAACAACGCTTCGTCTGCTAAGGGCTACGGGGGCGTCGGCAAACGGGTTAGCCAGGACTATAGTCACTCTGCACACAATCACACTCAACCCAAGGACGGTTCGGCCAAGGGCCACGGACATGGTCATGGCCATGACCTGAACATGCGAGGCGTCTTTCTCCATGTTCTCGGCGACGCTCTTGGAAATATCGGTGTCATTGCCTCTGCACTCATAATCTGGCAAGCTACGTTCCCTGCTCGATACTACTTCGACCCGGGCATTTCGCTCGTCATCACCGTCATCATCCTCTACAGTGCGATTCCACTCTGCAAAGCAGCAAGCCGAATCCTGCTCCAAGCAGTTCCTGTGGGTATCTCCATTGACGAGATTACTCAAGATATTGAAGCGCTTCCACATGTCATCGAAGCCCATCATCTCCACGTTTGGCAGCTCAGTGATACGAAGCTTGTCGCCAGTCTGCATGTTAAGGTGGACTGTGTTGCGCATGGCGTCGGGTCTGCTAGTTACATGCACCTGGCCCGCGAGATCCGAAAATGCCTGCACGCTTATGGCATCCACAGCTCCACCATCCAGCCCGAGTTCTACACCGATCGCATTGACTCCCCAGGTGGCTCGACTGCCATTACCAGTGGCTCGGCCACTGGACAGCTGAGCCCAAAGGCCGTTGGTAGTAGGAGTGCCAGTGTTCGAAGCCATGAAACAGGGTGCCTCCTTGATTGTGGTGATAAATGCGCCGGGAATAAACTGTGTTGCCCGACGGATGCCAGCGGGAGGAGTCAAAAACCATGATGAACGCATGAGTTGCCTCTAGTTCTCTTGTGGCAAAGGGTTACAGAGCATTTGCCTTGACCACGCCACTGGGAAAGTCGTCAGCCGGCTGGGGTCCGGCATTTACAAAATGGGTTGTCAGCATGGTTTGTATAAATGTCTTATTTTTCAACGTTAAGGTGAATTAATAGATCACCTATGATAAATTACTTCCTTTCAGGACGAGACCTTTCGCCTATAAGCTGCAAATCGGTGTTCGGTAATATGACTGATGCTGCACCTCAGGAGATTGAAAAGATTCCACAGTCACGAACACTTCGCAACAGGCTGAGGGCCTCGGCAATATAATACCATTCATGATCTGCACATTATTGGATTCGTAGGCTTGTGCCCCTTGGCCTTTGATTGTACCATATCTCTACAGTTGACACCTCCCTTTTCATTTCGTCAATTACATATTCAAACACATGCCAAATACTCACAGCATCATCCATTCCAGATCAAGCACACGTAAAATAGGCCGACTGGCCATGCAACCCGCCACAGCGATCTTCCAAAGAACGAGAGCCGGCTGACCGGCCTCCTTGACGTGAACGCCACGCTGGTGGCCGCATCACGGGGCATGCCCCAGTCATCATCGTCTTCAGCACTCTGGTGATGGTCGCGGTGTTTGCCGGCAAACGGCAGATTCGAAGGTGATGGCGTCCGGGATGATGAGGAAACATGTCCAGAACTACCGGTCTTGCGCGTGGACAAACGCTGGTCGTGGTTGTGGATCGAGGATGTTTGGGAGGTATGGGAATCGCGGTGGTCACGAAACATGGGGAGCAAAGGTGCGGACTTGGCGCGTTGGATGTCGACAGCCGTGCTGGGCACGTAGCGAGCAGCATAGACGAGGAGAACGACGAGCGTCAAACAGAGCGCCTCGCCGTAGCGGATGAAAATGCCCAATTGGTCCGGAAGGAGGCAGAGACGATTCTGCACGGTGTCTCTAGGCGTGGACAGCGACGTGCCAGACATGGTTTTCTCAACGTCCACTGGATTCCAAAGGCTGACTAGTTGAACGCCTGGGATTCGAATGCCCATAGCCCAGCTCACGCTTTTGACGGTGATTTCCTTGGTCCGGCCCGTGAACTCGTTATGTTCGATCTCGCAGTAGTCGTGATCGTCGCCCGAGTAGATCATGGCGAGTTCCTCAGCCGTCAGGTGTTTGATTATGTCCTGCGAAATGAGTGGCGTGAGGACATTCTGATATTGGTAGCCAGCTTGGAGGGGAATCGCAGGGCCTCGTTCGCGCATTGGCCCGCACGAAGCAGTGCCGGATCGATAAAGCGGAATATGAGAGAGGACAATGGTCGGAAATTGAGAGGAGCTCACTTGAAGAGGCGGCGTTGATACCACACCTGTTTGTGCTGGCTCGCTAGTTGCAGCTCTTTCGACTTCGGGCCTCAATAGGTGCTGGACGGGGTTTCTCCAATTGAGCTGCGTTTCGCATGCATGTAAGATCGCTTTCGCTCTGGTATTCTTCACTTCCACTAAAAAGTCCTCCACAGGCTTCCAAATCTTGCTGGAGGCAGTTGCAGCAGCACTCCCGTCTCCTGCACCAGAACTGCCCGTTTCTGGATCGACCTGATCCATTGCACTCAATGAAACCGTATCCAGATGAACAAATGAGTGGTTGCCGATGATATCGATCCGGTTTAGAGGCCCAAAATATGCGTCAAATCGTTCTTTGACAGGAGCCTGAATGCCAGCGGCAAAGCCCATATCATGGTTCCCGGGAAGTGAGGCCATGATGCGGCGACCTGCTGGTTCGGCCGCAGTGGTGACGGGATATTTCAACCAGGTACGTATGAAGATATTGGAGAAGCGGATGTATTCTTTGAGCCAGAAGTCTGTTCCATACTTCTTGTATCGTTGCTCCGGCGAAGACGACTTTGTGGTGCCCCATTCCCGGCCTCCGTCGAACAAATCACCGAGAAACAGCGTAGCATCTGGTCGCAGCTGTTCTTGCAGAACTCGGTAGGCGCGTTGGAGGTAGAGATCTGTGTAGAGGACCGTCAAAGAAGACAGAGGCCAGGGTCTGCCAGGATAGGTGTGTGGATCAACAAGTTGAGGATCGGCAACAAGAAGGACGTGATGAGGGTGAGCATGAGTTGGCTGCAAAGGTTTTAGTATTCAACACACATTCGCTGCAAGAACCCTGATCCTTACCCATGACTCCCACTGCTGCCAGCGACACTGCGCGACACTCTGCTGGAAGACCAGACGTTCCCCCCAGAAAAGAATGAAAATCCAGAGCAGTACCAAAGCAGAGGGAAGGCTCCAAAGGCGACGCTTCAACCTGGCCAGGGCATGCGATCCAGGGGCAACATTCGCTTTCATTCTCTTGGATTCGGAAACGATATGTAGGCGCTCATTGTGGGCGGGATGAAGGAGAGTCCGCCCAGGGGGGTTTCGACCCTTTTTAGGTGATCGAGGGTAGAGATGAAGGAGGGGGGACGTCAAATAGTTCAACACATGTCAAGGTGTAGAGCCGTGTCCTGTACAGAGTAGTTTACATATGTACAGAGTACATACAGGAGGCACTTGGAAGCAGGGACGTGTCGAGGGTCCTTAGGCGTCCGTGTCCGTTGGTCTCGGGGGCCAATTGACGTGTCGGGCTGTGGTGTGACAGGTCTTAGGCCAGATCATCAGCCTGCCTACTCTTGTAAGTATGGACTCCGTCCGTACATACTAGGGACTAGAGTGCAACCTCCTACTACTGTACTACTGTACGGATACTGCCCTATCCCAAGCACTGTACCCCGGTCACTGCCAGGATCACACAGTACTCCGTACGTACCGTTCCTCCCCACCAAAATCGATCTTCCTCTGCGAGCTCACCACTGCACAAGTCAAAAGAGGCATGGCGAATCCCGGCTCCTTTCAGGCCATACGCTCGCCTCTTTCCTTCACACCGAGGTCGGTTCGTACTCAGTTTACCAGATGTCATAGTACCTCAATGTTCATGGCTGCCTCCATCCTTTCGAATGCAATATGGACGGTGTCTCCGTCGCCAGCGGCGTGGCGGGCCTCATCAGTCTGGCCTTGCAAGTGAGTCAGACGGTAGTGGTCTATCTCAACTCTATCAAGGAGCGGTCCAAGAATATTAAAGAACTGCATGATGAACTTATATTACTTGGAGAAGTCCTCAGCGGACTGCGCAAGCTTTTGCTCAGCGAAAGGGGTAAGCAAAGCACGTTCGGGTCCAACTCTGTGTTGCAAAAGGCCCTGCTGGACTGTCGGGACAGGATAGAACGTATTGGAGATAGGTTGCAAACCTCTGATGGTGGGAAAGTTGCCCGGACCTTGGAAAAGCTCAGGTGGCCTTTCGAACAGAAGGAAGTAATGGAGATGGCCGAAAACCTGCGACGCTACACTCAAACGTTCCAGTTCGCTCTCACCATTGAAGGCTGCAATCTACTGTCCAAGACATCTGAAGATGCGACGAAGGGCTTGAAGGCCATGCTGGATGAGTCGAGGAAAATTCAAGAGTGGTCAAATCGAATCGGCCTTTCTACAGAAGAAGTATCAAAACGAGCCGCCCAACTTGAGCAAATCCTTACGCTCGTACCCATGCTTGCCAGAACTGCCACGGATGTAACTGAGATTGCCCAGGCTACCCGCCTAGCAGCACTGAGGGAACAGGAGAGGAGGACTAGCGACATACTGGACTGGCTGGCGCCAATTACATCGCTTCACAAACACCGTGACCTACAAGTCAGGCGAGCCAAGGGCACTGGAAGGTGGTTCCTGGAGCACCCTCACTTCTTGAAATGGGCTGAAGAGAGCTCGGCTGAACATGACCTCCTTTGCATCGGTGGCCCAGGAACTGGGAAATCGGTGCTCTGCTCTCTTGTGATTGATCATCTCCGTGCACAGTTCAAGGGGCGAGATGTTGCCGTGGCCTTTTATTACTACGATTACTCCGAGCAGCAAACCCAAAACCCTTCTCACTTCGCCAGATCAGTCCTCCGCCAACTATGCTCCAATGCTAGTGCCATCCCCTCCGTGGTGGCCGAGTTCTATCAACGGACCAGGAACGATATCAAGGATCAGACTTGGTTTCATGACTTGCTCACAGTACTGCGTTCCGTGGTTGCGATGTACAAGTCTTGCTTCATTGTGGTCGATGCACTTGATGAAGCCGACATCCAGAGCCAGCGTTCCGGGTTCTTCGAAGTCATCGACGCGGCCAGAATACCGTCAAACGGCAAAGTGCAAGTGTTGGCTACGCTGAGACCCCATGTACTCAATATTAGAGGCAGGTTCCATGATCCTCTGGTTATAAATATCCGAGCGGACCCTGGCGACCTTCGTGGGTTCCTGGAGCGAACAATAGACGACCATCCGGATCTCGAATACCCTATGGACGATGAGCTGAAAGAGCAGATTCTCACGACATTGTCTGACAACGCGAACGGCCTGTTTTTGCTCCCTGCCCTTCAGATTCGGATCATACTGGATCAGATCACCATAGCTGAAGTAAGGAATACCTTACGCCATCTGTCCATGAGTCTGACAGAAGCATTCCAATCGACTATAAACAGAATATCCAATCTTTACAGCACCAGACGAGATCTGGCGTCTCGGACGCTGATGTGGATATCTCACGCCCGAAGACCTTTGACCGTTGCAGAACTGCAACATGCCATGGCTCTACGACTTGAGGACAGGGATCTCGACAGGGACAACTTCCCTTCACTTAGGACTGTTGTCGATTGTTGTTGCGGCCTCATTGAAGTCGATCATGAGAGCTCCCTTGTGCGTCTAGTCCATCACTCTTTAGAGGAATATCTACGCGACCAAGATCATGGCCTCTTCAGAGATGCCAATCTTCACATAACCCAACTTTGCCTCAGATACCTGGCTTTCGAGTCTCTCAAACCATTGCCATTCAAAAGTCGCTCCGATTTTGTAGCTGCGGTGGAGGATTTTCCACTTCTGCGGTATGCAGCTCTCGAATGGGGCCATCACGCCAAAGGGGTCTCGGTCGAAGACATCAAAGCATTGGCTATACCTTTGCTTTCTGATAGTCTCTCTTTGATCACAATCGCCAGAGTTCGCGATTATCGTAAGGCTTTTCCAAATTGGAAGCCTCAGACATGGGCGTGGGCCTACTCCGGTTCTGCTGGCATCTCGATATCTACGGCCTTTGGACTCTTTGATCTGCTTAAGATTTTGATCGAGCAGAATAAAGAGACCCTGCGGCTAGATGTTCGGAACCCTCCCGGTAATACTCCGCTCCATGAAGCCGCCCTCCACGGGCACGAAGCTGTTGCCGAACTATTACTGGAGCACCGCGCGAACCTCCTCGCCAGGAACTACAGCCAGAGTACTCCGATGTTTCTGGCTGTCTCATATGGCCAATTGTCCATGGTAAGACTACTTCTCCGGCACGACCGGCAACAACTAGATTGTGAGGGGCCCAAACGCTTCACAGCACTGCACAAGGCTGTTGAGCAAGGCAACGATGAGATGGTGACGGTCCTTTTACAAGCCGGGGCATTGGTAGCCGCTCGCGATATCCAAGGCATGACGGCCTTACATCACGCTGCGCTGCGTGGACATCTCGCCGTCGCAAGACTCCTTGTCCTCGCAGGAGCCCAGGTGCATGTACCGGACAAGGAAGGGTTATGCCCTCTCGACTATGCTGCAACAGGAGGATATACTGAGCTTGTCGAGTATCTTCTGCAAAACGGGGCCAGCATATCAAACAAAGGGAGAACTGCCTGGACGCCGCTTCACCGTGCAGCAAGAGGAGGACATACGGATACAGTTGCCTTCTTTCTCGAACGGGATGCCAACCCGCTCGCCGTGGATATCAGTGGAAACACTCCCCTTCACCTTGCTGTACGGTCTGGACAGATGGCCACGGTCAAGCAATTCCTCGAGCACAATCCCGAATTGAAACGGCGGCAGCTTTTCGCATGTGACCGTAAAGGCTCGACACCGCGGGTTGTCGCCTTTTACACGGCTCACTACGACATCCACAAATATCTCCGAGCTGCGGAGTGGGATATTCTGGGCTACACGCCAAACAATGCTAACATGCTGACCAGGGCGATCGAGACCGGCGACATCGAAGCTGTGCGTTCTCATTTGGATGAGCACGCTGACGCTTTGACCACGCCGGATGAAGATGGACAGCCACCGCTGCACGTGGCGCTCCAAGAGGGGCGCCGAGATATTGTCGAGCTACTCCTCCAGTGCGGTGCGTCAATCGAAACAGCGGGCTACCATGGGTGGCGTCCTTTACATATCGCCGCTTCACTGGGGAATCTAGAGTTGGTGGACCTATGCCTCGCTCACAATGCCAGCATCGAGACACGCACCAGCACCAGCCAGACGCCCCTGCACAAAGCAGCCTCGAGCCACTCTGTCGCCGTGATGCGCCGACTCCTCGATGCCGGAGCCGATCCGTCGGCGCAGAACGACCGCGGCATGACGGCGTTGCATGTCGCCGCACACCAGAACGACATCGACATCGCGCGCCTCCTAGTGTTGGAGTCCGGGGTGGACATGCTGGTCCGAGATCGCCAGGGGCTGACACCGGCGCTGTGGGCGGAAAGGTCGGCGCATCTCGAGGTGCTTGCGTTTCTGCGTGTCGCCATGAAGAAAGCCGAGATGTTGAGGAAGGGCGGCGTGCGCAGCAGTGTGGACTTGAATCAGCAACCGGGCCCGAGTTTGCAGGAGCTGATGGATGCCCTGAGCGAGACGGAGCTGGATGATGTATGAGTTTGACAATGACGAGACGAGACAAACTCGGTTCGGCAGATCCTACTATGTTACGTAGAGAGTACAATCAGTATCTTATGAGAACGGATCTCGTTTCGACACACAATTGTCCCTTTCGAGGAACGTCGACAGATGCTGCTTAGGGAATATTCTTCTGGGCCTTGCGGCTCCCTGTCAGATTTTCACCAATCCATCTTGGTGGTCTATTACTTGAACCAGTCTGGCTCTGCTATTCTTCCACTTCTATTTTTGTTTTATTTAGGCCACATGGAAAAAAAGAAATGTGTCAACCTCAGCGCTGTAACGCCTTAAACATGCCAAACTCCCCTTGACCGATTTTCCGACGACCCAGGAGGACAGACGTGCTTGTCTCTTCTCACGCTCACGCTCGCTCAGCACCATGGACTCGACTAGCTGGGAGTCTACAGTAAGTCGAGTCGCCCGGGCGAAGCTGTCTGTCCCCTGAGTGCATTCTGGCCAGAATCCCATATCCCATTTCCATTCCGCCATTGCCATTGCCTGCGTCGACCGGCTCTGCCTTCCCTTGGATGAGGATGTCCGCTCAATGCATATCATGAATACTTGTACAAAAACAAAGAAAAAACCCCCTACGTCTCCATTTCGCTTCTCGAATCGCAGCGAATCGAATCGAATTGACGGCCACAACGATCATCGCGTCCCGTATGGATGAATCATGGGCCACATAAGGTCCAGTATCGCGTTGGTGACGCAGTCCAAGTTCACCAGAACCCGTCGCCTCGGTGGGAATCAGTCGACCAGGTGGTGTAGAAGGCAGGCGGTCTTCCACCGACTTGACTGGCGCTGTCGTCTGGCATCACGGTACTGGAACTTGGTTGTGGTTCACCTGCGACCGGGATCCTCGCACCACCCATGCCAAGCATGTATCTACCATCAGAATCCTCAAAGACCTCGGCGATGGTATTCATCCGCACGCCATGTACTGGAGGTTTCACGGTTGGGGCGATATGGGTGCTGCTCCCACCCCCACCAGTACCCCCTCCAGCTCCGGTACTCAAGTGGTTGTTCACCAGACTGCCAGGATGGAATCTGCTGACAGAAGCCACACCAATACGTGTAGGAGCCTGGAGGATAGATTTGCCCTTCGGGCCGAGCGATTCCTGCAGTTGCCTACGCCGCTGCTCCTCTTCGGCGTCACGGCGGGCTTGCGTGCCGACATTCTGCATGCCGATGAAATCGATCTTGGATAGCATATGTACGGCAATGTCGAGCATGGAACTGATAACGGCCCGGTCAACAAGAGATCTGCCAGTCGTTTCAGTTGGTGTAAGCTCGCCAATTTCCAGATCTTCATTCTGTGCAAGAACTTGATTGATGCCAGTGTGCACAAGTGACATTTCGTAGTGGATACGGCCGGCTGTCGAGAGCTTTTCGTATTCTTCTTTCGTCCCTTCATACCCTTGCCAGAGTTTCTTGTCCGATGGGTGGACTTTGAAGAGGAGGCTCTTGGACTCGACCACTTTCAATTGTATGTCCTCATAACCCGGCAGATTGCAGGCGTGGTAGCTGACACGCTTGACGATCAGGTTGCGAACCTGCACTTCATGGTCGTTGGGCTGCCGAAAGACGATCATCAATTTCTCCCGTGCCGGCACAACATAGAGTGAGTTGACGAAGGTCGCAGCGCTCTTCTTGAGCGTGTCTGGAGGTTCGAACCATTTCAAGTGACCCGAAATAATGGCACTGGCATCCCAAATTTGAGCTGGAACGTGCATATTGATCATCCCGACCGTGACCAGGCCCTTTCGTAGTTCATGTTTTCCAGACTCGTCAACTAGAATCAAAAAATCCTCGTTCGACCGACTTTGACACGAAAACTCGTAGCTGACGGATTGCTCGGCCGGATTCGTAGTCCACAACTTGACGTTGACATCTGCAGTCGGGCCTTTCAGCTCAAGAGCACGATCAACGTCGGCGCCGTTTGTTGTCAATATCTTCGTGAACGTGGAGGGACACGGAGAGACTGTTGGCTTTGGGCCGAATAGAGCATCCCAATCATTTACGTTGTGGTACTGTTGATCCGATATACGAGTACCCGGGACAATCAGGACCTGACCAAAAGAAAGCTCGAAGCTCACTCTGCCATTGAAAGCTCTGCAAGTTTCAAACAGAGGTTCCAGCTGGGGAATTAACTTGGCGCATTGTTGTTTCCGAGCGACGTCTTGAACAATATCCGAGTGGCCATCCGCGATGGGCGCGTTCTTCCGAATTTGCCGCTTCTTCCACGCACTCATAGATTCGGACGACGCATTTGAGCTCTGGGGCTTCGGTGGTACCTTGACGGGTACTGGTCCGTGTGCATCCAACAGTGCTTCTGCTCGTCGTGCAGCCGCCTCTGCTTTGGTCTCCTGCTTGACTGGCTTCCTACCGGGATTTTTGCCTTGTTGAAGCATAGTGGAGTGGAACGCTGGCTTTTCGTCATCTGCAGCTTTCTTGTTCTCCGATCCCTGACGTTGTGCCTTCTTTCTAGCCTCAACAGCTTCTAAGGCTGCTCGTAGACTACTTTCTCGCAAGAAGGAGGAATTGAACTTTGGAACATGGGTATTTTGATAGTCCGCGCCCTCGTTGCTGAATCGAATACGAGACTCTCCAGAAGTGCGGGTACCAGAGCGACTTTCGCTTCCTTGCGCACGATGGGTTGGTTCAGCTGGTCGTACAGGCTCATCCATGATATTTGGTGTGGTGGTGGGTGTCTGGGTTTGACTTCGCTGCGGAGTCTGTGTAGGCACCAGCGGGACATAAGATTCGAAACCAGGTGGTATTCTGGGAGCAGCATTACTCGACGGCGCGCTGGTATCAACCAGGTCTGTCTGGCGAGTCTGTGTTAGACCGCCGAGACCGCCACGACCTGCTGCTGGGCCCCTGCTGGCTGGAGAGCCGCGGTAGTTGCCACCTCGCTGCAGGCTGGATCCTCGTGGAACCAGCTGTTGGCCCCGTGAAAGGCTATTGCCCTGTCCCCGACCACCACGAGAATACACTGGAAAACGAGGATTGTATCCAGGTTGTACATTGTGTCCACGTCGAAGTCTCGGCGATGGTCCGCCGTAGGCCTTTGGGTCGAATGCTGGACGTGGCGAAGTAGCTTCTGCTGTGGCTGGTCCAGGAGGAGTTGTCGGAGTTGATAGAAGGGGTGCCGGTGTGGAAGACTGTAAGGGCTTGTCTAGCTTGAGATCTGCAGTCGCAGATACTAGAGATGCGGATGCTTGCATGTCTGTGGCGTTCGACTGTGGCTTAGCGCGCTTCTCATCTGACAAGGTCTCTATATTCTGGTCTTTGAGAGTCGGTTTCGAGATGTGAAAGACATCTGGGAAAGATTCTCGATCCTGGGGGTTTGCACCGCCCGTAGACGAGAGCGGAGTTTGCAAACTTCCCGGAAACATATCCAACACACTAGTGCCGTCATGTTTTGCGCTGGCCTCTCCTATGGCTTCTTTCACTGGTACTCCTTCCCAAATGCTCCTAGCAACTTGTCCTGTCGTCGGTCGGGGAGGAGATGATAGTAGGGACAACAAATCCGACTGTTGCTCGCGACCTGCACTCAGCGGCATTCCCAACCCGGGAGGAGCCGTCTGGGCTGTGGTTAGGTCTTCGTCCATTTGACCACAAGAAGCCATATTCTCAATAGCTTGCTTTGACACGGACCGGGAAGGAGTGGACAGCAAAGACACCAAATCTGACGACGGCTCGGGACTGGCACTCCGAGGCATCGTCAGACCTGAAGGAGCTTTTGTGGCTTGTAGTCCAACGTGCTGCGATTGGGGCACTTGGTCAGAGGGCTCATCATCTTCGCTGTCGGAATCGAGAAGAACTCTTCGACGAGTGGGCGGTGCAGGCTCAACCGGGACTTCGGGGGCGATGTCGGGATCTGCACCACTGACAACTTTATTCGTCCACGCAGCGATTCGCTCTTCATCCGGGTCCTGGACTGTATGTCTATCGCTGTTGGTGGCGGAGGGAGGCTTGGAGGAGATGATGGGCTCCATGTTGCTTGGATCGCCAAAGCTCTGAAACACAAAGCCGTCCCAGACGCGAGAAGCTTCCAGCTGGGTGGTGGGGGAAATACCGTCATGATAGAGATTGGCTGGAACCTCGTACTCGAATGAAGGGGTACAAAGGCGAATTTCTCCAATCACTTTCCTAAAGAGTGTCTGCCCGCTCTTGTTGACTATGATGCGGTGGTATGCAGGATGACCATTGACAATGTGAACAAACTGCATTTTCGCATCCTTCTGTTGCGCAGGCCAGACGAGGAGATTGCCTGTGGACTCGAGCGATTCATTGGGTCGTTGCTTCTTGAAAGTTTCCTTCGAAACATTAGCATTATATCAGAGAGCAACGAATAGTACCGGTCCAGCATACCAGTAATGGCTCTAGTCTTAAGAGTTTCTCACGAGCGAGGTTGAAATCACCTTGGAACAGACGATATCTTTTCTCTGCCTCGTCGGCAAAGATATCTGTACCCGTCAATCGAGTGATCTCTTGTGCGTACATTGGAAGAAGAATGCTAAGGTCGCCATTGCGAGGTTTCCAGTATGCTGTGAGATGTTGAAGGCTCTTCAGGGGGTCTTCATTGTCAGATTCATCGTCAGATTGGTACTCTACCAATTCATTGTCTTCGGATCTGTCATCGCGCATGGGGTCGTCCATGACCGTTCCTTCGATGGGATAAATACGAGGCTCATCATCAAATCCAGCCTGATGGGTTTGGTGGTACTCAATGTAGCCGGCAACCCGTGCAAGGAGATGGGGCATCGTCTCTTTATCCGACACGTCGATTTCGGCCGAAAAAGTCTTGGAGCGCAGTTAGGCAACCATTCCAGAGTAGGTGCAACAAGGTACTAACCTGACTTGCTTCATCAAATGTAATGAAGGGCGCGCCTTCTGGGTCATCATGGGCATCTCTGAGGTGTAAGGATCAGTTGGCATGGTTAAACTGCGGAGGTTGTACGGAATGGATGAGGAAGACGAACTTGAAATTGCTAATCACTTCGTTGGCCTGGCTTCGTGGTAAGTAGGGTCGCCATCATGGTCATTAGGGTGAACGTACTCCAATCTGGCTGAATCCAAAGACAGATCCTACAAAAACCTTCTTCTGGGTCGACATCCTGGCCAGCGCTGCGCTATGTGCGCTTGCGTGGCCTGCCGGCCAAGGAAGGATGGATTTCTCTTCGGCCGAGGACAGGCAAAGGAGATGGAAGAGCGAGGAGAGCAGAACAAGAAGCGTGGACAAGAGTAGCAAAGGCAATCAATCAATCACCCCACAATGGCGCGAGGCGAGAGGTCTGAGATGTGCGGAGAAAGATGGAAGATGCAGGCCAGGCTGAAGACCGGATTAATATTCAACCGAGTCCGGCCGAGAGGGGAAGCAGCCTCGTCACCCATTCACTGCTGCCAGTGACGCCCAGGTGCTGCCGGTGACGACCTGGGCGTCGCCGGCGTCACCCTCTTCACTCCAGGACAATGCAATGGAATGTGATTGGTGCACTATGTCACAAGACGAATGTGAAGGGATATTCCTTCACTAACAGGACAAAGCTTGCGGCGTCCTCTTGATGAACAACACCAGATATCCTTGACGGAAACCATACTGCTTTTTAGTCTTTTAATTGCCAGGTGGGCGCTCGAGCAGCAACATAGCACCCATCGGCGATGGTTGCGAAGAGAACGCCATAGCCCATAACTGACTGTCCACCCAGACGCAACCCTTGTCCTTATCTACTCACTTTATCACATGTCCGACGAGGGGACGCCGTGTAAATATCAATATTTATTAGAATATACCAGTCTAGCTATGCTGCCGCAACTAGACTGTGTCATGCAGAGTATGCTTCGTCACTTCGTGTACTCGTCAAAGTCCAAGGTTCAACTTCTGGTCTGTAGTCGTATCAAGCCCAATCCCACCAGTTGGTCTCATTTCAAGACTTTAGCTGAGTCCATCCGCCTCTGCTTTGTCAAAAGACCCTTCTTCGGACTCAGACTCCGTCTCTTAGGCTCCGTGTGCCACCCATCTGGGTCTGGAGCACGGCCGGCAGCAGGATTTCCACTCTGGACCATCGGATGGCCTGGAGCACCGTCATGATTGACGACATGGTCAATGTTCATAACCCATCGCATGCGGTTCGTGACTTCGCTCATCTCATCCAACTTATGATCAATAGCCTGATCATTATGATGAGTTGCCTCTCGGAGCTGAGAGATGGCAGTATCGATCTCGTGCCTGTAAGCTCTGAAATTCGCGGTCAGCTTCTTGGTAAGCTCCTCGAGCTGGGCGATTGTCTGCCGCTGCTGCTCGGCGATGATTTCCAACTTTTTCTGTTTCTCCAAATCATCTTCCTGTCGGCGTAGAAGGGTATCGAAGCTGCTCCTGATTTTATCCAAACCACTTTGATGCCGATCATAGTCCATCTTACGACATGCGACAATCGTTTCGTATTCTGCTTCTTTCTGTGCTGCAGAAGCCTTGGCCTGGCTTGCCTGGCTTCGCCATATCTCTTCGCTGGACGCTGCAGCCTCTGCTTGGGCTTCAGCCTTCGCCGTCTTGAGTTTCTCCTTCCTGAGTTCTTCTCGAAGCTCTTCGACCTGTCGTTCCCTTCTTGCCAGCTGTCGGAGATTGGCTTCGTGGGACTGCTCGTAATTGCTGTTTCGATCTTGGAGCGACTGGTTCCGAGAGATCAATAATTCATTGTCCTTCTCAGCCTCCTCGTAGCGGGTCTGGAGCAACTGTTTATCCCGCCGCATCCGATCTATGTCTCCTTGCAGTCTCTCAATTACTCTGCCCGATTTTCCAGTGCCAGCATGGCCAATCGCCGAGGACCATGGAGTAGGTTCGGGGGAAGGAGAGGTTTCCGAAGAAGACATGACTGTTTGCAGGCATCAGTAGGACGCGATGGCCATAGGCATGGGTGGTTGCCGTACCTGTACGGATCCTGGAGGCGCTGACCACCCTTCCGGAAGTATGTCGTATTGCATCTTGATGGCTCTGCTCCTTAAGCACTCCATAGACTTGAGACATGTTGTGATTCAAGGTCACATTAAGGTGAGTTGAGGTGGTTCCTAACCGAGTGATACGAGTCAGCGTGAATCAGGATGTTGTTTGAAGGCAAGTGCGGAGGCACAGTATTCAGGTGACTGGGTTCGGTTCTCGAGTGTTTGATTGCATAATGGCTGACCTTCTGGCTTCTCAGATATGATCGAGGTAAATGGAACCGGAGAAGGGCTGGAAAGATGTGATTTCTTCCTCATGACACGTCAGGTCGTAGAGTGAGGTCTGGTGAACTGCCCCCAAGTGCGCGGGTGACGCTGCTGAGGGTGTCTTCGAAGAAAGCTGTGCTGCGGGTGAAAGTAGCCGCAGAATCTCCAGCGATTTGCATCGAATACAGAAGAGATTCTTTGATGGATTCACAACAACAAGCCGGCAAACCACGGACTGCGGACTGCGAGTCTCCTTTCACAGGCTGAGAATGATCGCATTATTTGTTTGAGATCAGCCGGTGGAGACTGCCAGGAGAATTCAGGGTAAGCAACGGTCGGGATTGAGGCCGGCCGGGGGCGACGTGTCAAGCCCCGACCCTACGCGTCAATCAGATTGAGAGTTGCCGACGCCGCCCATCAAGGCCCGCCAATGATGTCCACAGGCTGTTTCTTATAACCGGGGGCACCCATAGCCTTAGCCTCCTAATCCCAGTCTTTGGAGGCACACCAAGCTTTCCGTGCAAGACCCCTGTAGGTGCCTGGCTTCGAAGGTTAAGGCTGGCTTACATAGGCTTAGGGGTTCCTTAGGCTCCCCTTAAGGGACTATCCGCAACGCCAATGCCAGGGCAGCAGTACAGTATGCCTGGGTGCCACGCTGTCAAGTGCTACTAGTGCTCAGATTGGCTGTACTCCATATTCGTAGTACATACTGTAGCTCGTAGGATCAAAAATGACGCATGTTGCGACCAATCTCACAGCCCAAGTGCGCCTACGGAGTACATATAATGTATGTACCGACCCTCGAACAGGGTGGACAGCTGGGGTGACACGGATTCGCTAGCTTAGTGGTATGAACAGCGGCGACAGAGGCACGATACTATCGGGTCTTCAATGAATTAGCAGCTTAGCCTACCACTGATGGCCGCTGCTGTTGTATGTCGGCATATTAAAGGTATCAGTAACGTCCTTGCAACGTCTTATTCTTGAAACTATTCTTCAGGGTTGGAGGTATCTTAAGCCTTGCGAGCTCAACTCAGGCACAAACCCGCTGCAAACACTCCCATCACCAAAGCCACCGAGCTTCCAAGCCGACTTGCACCGCCAGAGGGTGCGCTTGTTGTGGCTGCAGCAGTAGGGGCGGTTGATGTTGAGCTGGCGTCGCTGGTAGTGCTGGTCGAGGTTTGGTGTAGCGTGATGGCCGGGGACTGGCTAATGGTACGCGATATTGTGGCGGAACTGTTTTGGTCAGCTGAGGTTTATGTGAAAGTGTGATATTGAGATACCTGAACGTTGTGTTTCTAGGCAGTGCAGTACCTGTCCCTATCGATGCGTACGTGCTGCGGCTTGTCGCGCTGGCGGTGGAGTTGCTCGCTACCGTACCCGTGGTCGTGCTGGTGGATGAGATGCTTGATGAGATGCTTGATGTGCCACTTCCTCCAGTGATTGAGAATAGACCGCTGTAGTTGATATCGTCCTGGCCCTGAGTGATTTGGAGGGCATAATCCCTGAATCCAGTCAGTCGATTGTTGAGTCAGAGACCGAATGCAGGAGGCGCTCACGAAGCAGTAACGAGAGACTTGGACACGGTCCAGAGGAAGAAATCATCCGTCACTCCATCTGCCAGGGTCGTAACGGTCTTAAGGTCATCAGGGTTCCCTTCCCGAAGAGTGACTGTGACAGGCGAGCCGTCGCCACCGCCCCATGTGATGCTAGCCGGTTATCAGCCAGTTTCCTCCCTTAATGTACGAGTGAACAAACTTGTACAAGTTGCCAGCAGCGGCAACAGCAGGGACAGATGTAAATGCGATCTTCGTCTGACCGAGAACGCATGCGACAAATGACACGCCCAGGAAGAGGGTCGTGATCGAAAACATCTCAAAGTGTTCAAGTCACTGGCTTTGGTGTTCAAGAGAAAAGGAGCGGCCGAGATGATGAGCTTCCAGAGCAGGTCCACGCTGGAGGGTTGCTCCAAAAGACTTGAATCCTGGCACGTTGTGCTAGGTATTCTGAACCTGTAGCTAATATCTTGTGACTGACGTGGAGGCCGCCCGTGCCGTAACAATGAGTGGTCTATGAAAGCAAGCGGCAAGGTGAAGGGAGGATGCAAGGAAAGAACTGTTTCGTAGGTAAAGTCTGGAATGTGGAGGGAAAAATCACCTCTGTGGACACATGATTAGGAACTGAAAACTAGAGCGCAGACAATTTCAAGCCTAAGTAGCAAAGGGATCCGTGGCCACCGCCTCCTTTTAAGATGCAAGGACTCTTGCAATAAGGTCTGGATGTTGTTGTCTCCAATGATGGTGTCGAGGCCTAGTTCGAGCCTGGTCGACAGGCTGAAGTTCAGCCAACGGTGGTCGGCCAAGTCAGGTAGAGGCGCAGGCTACCCAACATGGCCAATCCATTTGCAGCAGGGCTCCTATGTCTCAGCTCTCGGGGAAATGCAATTTCAGTACTATCCCTGCCGTGGCCCAGGTAAACCAGCCATTTGCATTCTGATTTCGCTCAATCCTTGTTTCTTTTCCACACGTTGGACAACGCTACCCGGCAAATCCATGGACAGATAGCCAGTTCCCAGGTTGCTGTACGGAGTACCACGATCACAGCTAAGGTAGTCCGCCCGAAGCCTCCGGTGTGTGCTGCCCCGACCACCCTGATCATCCTGGGGCGCGAGGCTGTCGCCCACCACAAGTCTTGCCCGCAGTGACGGATTCCTGCCATTGAACCGCGCCATACGTGGGAAACCGGTCTCTTGATGTCGTGGGGACGACGGGTCTGCTGAAGACCGATATTGATAGCCCCGAAAGATCACTGAGTGGCACTTCCAGTCCGGAGGCTGTGCGCGCTTTCCAGATTAGTCCCTTACGCAACAAAGGTACGACGGACTGCGGTGAAAGGTCCCGAATGACGCCTCGAAGAACACCTGCTGCCAACGTATGAGTCATGGAAATCTCGCCATGCACCTGGCCTGCCGGGTATCCATCTGGATGAAGGAATGTTGCATTGGCAGGACTAAACTGAGCATAAGTTCCTATCAGGTTCTTGGCTGTGGCCCATGCCGGAGCGTCACCTGGAGCGTCACCTATGAAGAAGTCGATGGCGAAGCTTGTTTCCAGGGCGAAGCGATCGACTGACACCGCGATAGACCACTGCCGATCTAGGTTATTGACATTCATCTGTCGGGCCATGTCAAGTGTCACGCCCCCAAAGGAATCCGCAAGATTTGCAGATCTGTGCTGCACGTTGCGCCTCAGGTGGGCCACCGTTGTGTTTGAAATCGGATTGTACAGAGAGTTGACCGCGCTTCGTACATGAGCAGCGAGCTGTGAAGAACTCATCTCCCAGTCGGGCAACTCGGGGTAGCTATAGCCGAATGACTTGATGGACCGGACTGCTTCGGAGGTGAACATGGTGCCGCTGTCATCAGAATGAAACGGTGCCAAAGCTGCTTCATGTCAGTCGCCGAGCCTTCGCGTGTTTGTGCAACGCTCACCGCTTGTTCCCGAGTCAACGAATCCCACGGCCTCGTAGTACGACCCGTATGCATTGACGGTTGGAACAATAAAGCTGTCAGGGTACAGTGCTTGCCACATGGCAAAGAGGCGATCCACATTAGCGTGATGCAACCAGAAGACAGGATCAAACCCGGCCACTTCTGGAAACTGCATGTGTCCATAGCCTCCAACACTGTTGTGTATGCTGTTGTGGATGGCTTCAATGTTGTTTGGTACACCTCCTTGGCCGCCAGGCCAGGTACACGAGAAATATGTGTAGTTTGTCACGGTGGTGAAAAGCTGATACGTGAGAGACAAAATCCTAAGAAAACGTATGTCAGCATTCCTCCATCGCTCAGGATGTTGTGTACCCACGTGGGAGCGTTCGCCATCAAAGCTGCATTCGCTGCGGTCTGGTTGCTTGCTTGAGCGCTTGTACTCCACCAACGAACGGTCTCTGCGAAGTTCGCCATCTGTGAAGTCGATTAGTCCCCTTCTCCATGTTCTGTGTCCGGTCGTATAGGCTTACGGGGTCTGAGGACGGGAAGCCATTTCCAGCGGCATCGGACTGAAAAACATAGCTGTAGAGCGGATTGTCGACTGTAGCTCGACCGTTCGGCGTGTTGATTGAGAGTTGCGTCTGCGTGACCACGTCCGGCAAAGCTGGATTGATCGCCCAATCCCAATAGGGCACGCGTAAGCTGAGGGCTGCGTTCTGGTACTCGCTGCGTTGGTCACTAGGAAAAGTGGCTGCGATGTCCTGTGCATGCATCCAAAGCACTTGCTGCTCGGTGTTAGATGGAGCTACTCTCGAGACTCAAATGGCTATTACCTCAAACAAGGCCATGTATGGTCGATGCCATGTTGGAAATGGAGTTGCAGCATGGGTGCAAAAGCCTGGATAGCTGCCAGTGCCTACAACTCCATCCCACGGGATCCTAGGAAAGCCGTGGATACCTGGCCGAGGGTGAGCTTTATCAAGGGGATATGAGCACTGCGGTACCTGAGATTTGGAAATACGATAACGGATCTGATTGATTAGCGCTCTGGAAAGCGATCAAAGAGAGAATGAGCAGATCGAAAGGTGGCCCAGATGCGGAATATTGGCCGATTTCATATCGCAAAGGTCTTGCTCCTGTGGTCGAATCAACACCTCCGGTAGCGCCTGTGACCGCGAAGGCCAGCAGACGATCCACAAAGATGAGGGAGAGCAGAATACAGGAAAGGGCAAACTTTCTGTGACCGAGGAGAGACGCCATGTTTGCAGAGGTGTGCGAAGATGGGAGAGTGCAGAGTCACAGATACCTCATCCGAGGAAGGGTTCTTTCATAAGGGACATGTACTGAAATCCACGACACCATCTTAACACTGTATGTCTCGGCTCAGAATGAGCTTTGTTTGTTATATGGCCAATTCTGCCTGTACCTTGGACACTCACCGTCGCGCTGGGTCCGAAGGCGCGGGCAGGTGCATCCGTTGCTGCGCATTTGTAATGGTGGTGCAAGGCGATTGAACGGACCCGTCTGAAAAGAAAGGCGTGTTCAAATGGGCACGATATGGCCGACATGATCCTATCTGAAACCATCTCCATAACAATTCTACCCAGAACCTGTGTACTGTTGCGCCTGCAAATGCAGGGCGTTCCACATAGTTCTCAACCACCAAACAGCGGAAGTGGTTCTATTTTCAGCGGAATTCGGCACGATGGGATGTTGCACAAGGGTTTGCCCATGAAATGAATCGTGGACCAGCTCTGTCGGACAACATTATAGTGGTGCAACCTGCCCTTGCGGACACGTCAAGTGCAGTGCATGGGTTGCTATGGAGGACCATCGCCGAATAGTGGGTGTTGAAATGCTTGATGAAGTTGCATGAAACATGGCGTTCAGAAGTATGCGATGTAGACGTACAGTAATACATGTTACTCAAAAAAGGATGGAAGAAGACGAACGGACTGAGAAATGTTGGTGAGCAGTGACCCCCGTAGTTGGAGAGACTTGCACCTTGTCGAGCCGACTTCCGCAGGCAGCCTGCGACCGGGCTGCGCGGAAGGAAAGACTCCAGAAAAAAAGCCGCATTTGTTGTGGAAGAGAAAGATTCTCCCACTCGCTACAGCATCATCCATCCTCTGGCTTTCTGACTCTCTCTTTCCCGTCTTCTATGCAACCTCGTCCCTCAATAAGTCACCAAGCCACAAAAACCACCGAGACTGTCCTCCCAAGTTAGCCATGGTCCAATATGTCCCACCGCCCGAGGACCTGTCGCACCTCAACCCGATCCAACGATACATGCAAAAGGGCACCCTCGACAGGCAGGACTATATCTGGCTCTTCCTTATTGTTCTCGCCTACTTCACAGCGAGGCCCTACATCCAAGAATTGGTCAAGCGCTTCTTCAACCACGACGATCTGAAGGAAGGGGAACAGATCCGCAGCGATTACGAGCAGTCTAAGGCAAAAGTCGGGCCTAACTCTATTCGAGGCAATCAACCAGACGAATCTACTGCCATAACTGAACTGTTGGACGAGACTGCGGCCTCTGGTAGCAATGTTAAAAAGAGCGGCAAGGCTGTGAATCGGAAAACGAAAGACAAGCCGGAACTGGACAAACTTCTGGACTGGGATGACGAGCCAGAAAGAAAGCCTGTTGAAGGGGATAAGTCAGACGTTGTGGCATGGCTCGATAAATGGTCAAACGAGTGAGACGAGCGTCTGAACAACCAGCCCCAGTATTGGCCTCCCAGGTTCCTAGGCACGAAGCAGAGTCACCAGCAATGCGCTTCTTCTGATCGAGGGCGCCTATATTTTGAGATTAGAGACCACCAATTCCTCGAGGGCTGCTTGAGGTTGTATAAGTCTGAAAGACGGATCCCAGTTCCGCAACGCCTTATCGCCGTTCGTACAACAGCAGAGCCAGCATCTCATACCAACCGCGTGCAGAAGACTTCTCAGCTGGAGGGGCACGAACATCACCCTTGGAACAGGCTTGCCGCTGAGGACAGACCATCACGGTATCTGCATTCTTGGTCATCCTCGGACGCCCTTGGGCAGAGAGATCCTTGGATGCACGGCGCCTAGAATGGTTCTTCTAAGGGGTACCGCTTAGCGGTTCAATCATATTGCTTGAGGCAACTGCGCCGCCCATCAAACAGAAGGGTACATTGCCAATTGATTTGGAATTGCACGTGTTTTGCGCAGAACAGATAGGACTTCCTAATGACTAGTCTGCGACGGCTACCATACAGACCATTTCAACCCTAATCTTCATCCATTAGATTGCATCTGCTCCTGCCATGGCACTCACCCGAGACTCTAAGTCTGGGAGACGGTAATTATAACAAGGCACGGTTACCTAGTACGGTCTGCTTACATGTATTACCACCTCTACAGGCCGCGTAAGGCTGAGTGAGGCATGCCTCAGCCTTGGGACAGGGGCCGGGCTTGGCAGAGATTTGGAGACGTTGCGGGATCGCGACCTGCGCAACCAGCTGCCTCACATTGCATCTCAATCGTTCGAGCACCACTGTTTCTCCTATTCGACTTGTTCTTCTTTCTTCTCTGGCCATTATGGCCGCCTCTACTCCCCTGGACCCCTTCCTTCGCGGAAGTACCGGCAAAAACACCAGGGGTATGCTACGAATCATCATTCTATGCACGATTGCCGCAGCAGCAGTGTCGGCCCGCCTGTTCAGCGTGATTCGTAAGGATCCTCTATAACCCTGTCTGCTCTTTGGTTATAGACGGTTGACTGACTTTGATTGTCCAGGTTTCGAGAGTATAATACATGAATGTTCGTGCCCTTCTCTCGATCAACACCCTTCCGCTCCGGCGACGACATCATCCTCGATCGCCGGAATTGAGAGCTAACTCTCTCTTGTAGTTGATCCCTGGTTCAATTTTCGAGCAACAAAATACCTCGTCAAGAATGGCTTCTACAGCTTTTGGGACTGGTTTGATGACAGTAGGTTGCCATCGTCCGTGCAGTTGAACTGCATGACTGACAGATGGTAGGGACATGGCACCCCCTTGGTCGAGTTACAGGTGGAACACTCTATCCTGGTCTCATGGTCACTTCCGGCGTGATATACCACATTTTGCGCCTCCTATCTCTGCCCGTCGATATTCGCAATATCTGCGTTCTGCTCGCACCCGGCTTCTCAGGTCTCACTGCTCTCGCCATGTACCTGTTGACCACTGAAATGTCCTCCTCACCTTCCGCGGGCTTGTTGGCTGCCATTTTTATGGGCATAAGCCCGGGCTATATCTCAAGATCTGTTGCGGGCAGCTATGACAACGAGGCTATTGCCATCTTTCTCCTTGTCTTCACGTTTTTCCTGTGGATTAAGGCAGTCAAGAATGGTTCTATCATGTGGGGAGCACTGGCTGCTCTGTTCTACGGATACATGGTATCAGCATGGGGAGGTTATGTCTTCATTACTAACCTCATCCCCCTCCATGCTTTCACGCTCATCCTCATGGGTCGTTATAGTTCGAGACTCTACATCAGCTACACCACCTGGTATGCCTTGGGAACGCTGGCAAGCATGCAAGTTCCTTTCGTCGGCTTCCTCCCAGTCAGGAGCAGCGATCATATGGCAGCACTTGGTGTATTCGGCCTGCTTCAACTCGTCGGATTCTTCAATTTTCTGAGGGAACAACTCCCTGGGAGGCAGTTCCAGACATTGCTTGTCGCCCTCGGTGGAGCGATCGTTGCCGTCATGTTCCTGGGGCTCGTTCTCCTGACCGTCTCTGGTACTATTGCACCGTGGAGCGGTCGATTCTACTCACTCTGGGATACTGGCTATGCTAAGATACATATTCCCATCATCGCATCAGTCTCCGAGCATCAACCAACTGCGTGGCCAGCATTCTTCTTTGATCTCAACCTGCTCATCTGGCTGTTTCCCGCAGGCGTCTATTTGTGCTTCCGGAACTTGAGAGATGAGCACGTCTTCGTCGTGCTCTATGCCGTCTTGGCCAGCTACTTTGCCGGTGTCATGGTTCGCCTGATGCTCACATTAACGCCGGTGGTGTGCTGCACCGCCGGTCTGGCTCTCTCATATATTCTCGACACCTACCTCTACGCCCAAACGCCCGTGGACGAATCTGGCTCTGGTGATACGAATGGATCAGTCAAAACATCCAAGATCAGCGCAAATCCGGCTTTGCGCTCAACCAGGAACCCCGTTGTTGGCATCTATTCTCTAGTCTCAAAGTCGCTAATCACTTCGCTGGTGACCGGGTTCCTGCTCCTGTTCGTTGCCCATTGTACTTGGGTTACGTCCAATGCATACTCATCGCCATCTGTGGTACTTGCGTCTCGTCTCCCCGATGGCTCGCAGCACATCATCGATGACTATCGCGAAGCTTATTACTGGTTGAGACAAAACACACCATACAATGCAAAGGTCATGTCCTGGTGGGACTATGGCTATCAGATCGGAGGTATGGCAGACCGTCCGACCCTTGTGGATAACAACACCTGGAACAACACGCACATTGCCACTGTGGGCAAGGCAATGAGCTCAAGGGAAGAAATTAGCTATCCAATCCTCCGACAACACGACGTGGATTATGTGTTGGTCGTCTTCGGCGGACTCCTGGGATACAGTGGCGACGATATCAACAAATTCCTGTGGATGGTCAGAATCGCGGAAGGCATCTGGCCCGATGAAGTCCGAGAACGAGACTTTTTCACTGCCCGGGGCGAGTATAGAGTGGATGACCAAGCGACGCCGGCCATGAAGAACTCGCTGATGTTAGTACCCTTGCTCTCTCACATCTGAATTGTGTCGTCTGAACCTGGCTAACGATCTTCTCCCACAGGTACAAGATGTCCTATTACAACTACAACCAGCTCTTCCCTGCCGGCCAGGCTCAGGACCGAGTCCGAGGCTCGTCTCTCCCAGCCCAAGGCCCCGAACTTAGCACCCTAGAGGAAGCGTTCACCAGCGAAAACTGGATCATCCGCATTTACAAGGTCAAAGATCTCGACAATATCGGCCGAGATCACCAGAGCGCTCTTGCATTTGACAAGGGCCACAAGAAGAAGAGAAAGGCAAGCGGCAAAAAGGCCATGAGGGTCTTGAGAGAAGACTGAGTGGGAGCGGGAATGTATATTTAACTACGGCTGGCTTCACAAGGGCGTGGCACGATGGGAGTTGATGGAAAAACGGCGCGGTGGCGCTGCCGCGATAATGTCACGACCAGCTAGACTTCAAAAGCCTAAAATCAAAAGCTTTGATTATGAGGGTTTTTGTATAAAAGAAAATACTGTATACCTTTGATCGGCCGGATCAGTCCATGCAGTCTGCTTCGTTGCTTCCATGCCACTACATTTCAGCAGCAACAGAGGTCGAGCGAGGAATTCCGAAATGCGTGGCCTTGTTTCAATCACGCTTCGTACAAGAATTAATTAATATCTACCTGCTTAGGTACTCGTGGCTGCTGTTGAGCCCTGGGTTCATGATATGATATCGACAATCGCGAGCACAAACACCGCGTTCACCGCCGATATTTCCATGCTGCGGTTCATATTTGTATCATCTCTTCTTCTGTCCGCTTTGCCAGCTACGCCCCCGCTGCGTCTTCATCTCAGTGCAAGGATGCCGACGCCCCTCCGCGCCCTCTCGACGGCATTGCGCAACCTCTGCTCCTCGACGTCCGTCCATTGAACGCTCAACTCGTCCCATTTCTTCACCTTGAACTCTCGCCGGTACTGTGCGTGCAACTGCTGAAGCTGCAGTACCGGCCGCATGTCGCCGGTGCCACTATACGCGATGAGCAGCGTGCGGGGTGGGAGGGATGTAAAGAGTGTGCGAAGGTGCGTGATTGTGCGGGCGGCAGTGGCGTCTAGGTCTGAGGCCAAAGTCGAGGCGGCCGACGAGCCATCGGTGGCCGTGTCGCTGGGTAGTTGGTCTGTAGTTGATGCGGTTGGAAGTTGATTTGTAGTTGATGCGGTTGGAGGGTTGTTCCAGCCCCGTATAGCTTCAAGGTCGCGCAGCCGCGACCAGATAAAGTCGACGCCACCGGGTGGGATCCTGTCGGCCGGCTTCAGGGAATCCGAGAGTGTATCTGGTGGAGCGGGAGTGTCTCCGTGCGCCGCTCGCAAAACGCCCTGGACAATCTCGTCGTCGCTCGCGCAAGCAATCTTGTACGTGGCGTCCCTGCCGAACCCTCTCTCAGGCGTGCCGTATTCGACGATGGCCGTTTCTCTCGTCTTGTTAGAATCGTCCGAGCGCATACTTCGACCGATGCGGCGGAAGATACTCTCGCCATTCGCGTCCAGCGTGCCCCATCTCGGGCCCTTTTCGCACTTGAGACGCACGAGATCAAGCACTGCGCGGGCATCTTCCACCGAATCGTGGCCATTGGCGCCCTCCTTCTGAATTTCACGCTTCAAGTACCTATTGGCCAAAAACTTGAGGGACGACCGGAGCGGCAGACCGCGTGGATGTGGGTAAATGATGCTTGTGTCGACGATGAAGGGGTGCGTTAGTTTCAGCGCGTTTAAATCCGACTCTAGCGAGTGCCCGAGCAGGATGGAGTCGGGGCCTAGAAAGCCTAATAGAGAGCGTTGAATGTCTTCAAGAGTAGTGCTCACGTTCTCAAGATGTCGTGGCGTAATGCCCGAGTACTGGGTGAAATAGTTTTTGATCGGCAGCGCTGGTTTCACATACTCGTCGAGAACGGTTTTGCCATGCCAGTCAACCAGCGAAATGCGCGCGAGGGAGTATTTGTCGTCGTCCGTCAAGACCATCTCGCAGTCAAGAGCGTACGGCTTGAGACCTTCGGTAAGTGCGTCGTGGGATCGAGATGCTGCAGGGATGGCCGGCTCTGAGACCGAGACATCCGTATCTACCCAGCCTGATGAGGTAGACTGGCAAGTCTGCTCTCTACGGTCTTGTTCCAGCTGTGCATCCTTCGAGTCGGTGAATGCCGCACGATGGATCGGGTATTCTGCATCGCGAAGCTCCTCGGCCGAGTGGACCAAGGTGGCTATCGATGTCCGGACGGACGGGAACGACTTTTCGTCTTTGGAGCCGCCTTTCTCCTTCGATTCGGGAAGCGGCGCAATCAGCATGCCCTGCAAGGGAGAGTGGACTCTGTTCGCTCGCGTATCGCCGGGGGCTTTGACCTCGAGGACGTGTTGGAGTAAACGACGCGCCAGTTCCTGTTGCGAATCGAGAGTGGTTTCTGGAGAGTGCGAAGCGTCCCGTGGGAATGTACTGACAGATGTGGCATCAGCCGACTCTGCTGATATAGCCTGGCCATCCGTATATCCAGTCGTAGACACATTGGCCAGTATATCCGACTTTTCCAGCAGCTGTCGGTCAAGACCTGGAATCATCAAGACAACCACTTTCTCGATTTGGCGGACATTCCTCACAGCCAGCCAGGAGGGTGCGACTCCATCGGCCAAAACATACAGGACGAGATCTTGCAGCGCTTTGAGCTGTACACGAGCAGGCTTCGTATCTAGGAAAGCGATGCTGGGTTGAGCGCCTGGGTCCTGGTGGATCTTACGCCTCTTCTTTCGTGAGGACTTGGACTCTGCGACCAGCCACTCTCCGTCAGGCTCACCTGTTTTTTCGCCTTGCGTAACAGTTTCGACCTCTTCTGCCGGCATATTGGAAGCTAACACCTGAGGATGGAGAGGCGACCGCGACGTCGGCACGTTTTTGATGTGTCGAATGGTCTGACCAGATGTCAAACTCGTAGGGGAGAATCCAGCGTCTGCAGCAGTTCGTTTACTGCCTCCTACCATGTTCGCACAAACCGGCAGGCTATCTCAAGACATGCAGTAGGTCATCATTATTTAACAGTAACGATTCCTGGAAGCCAGGATGACGGATATATCGTACTGGATTTTCAGTGGCACCGCCAGAGCATCCCAATATGGAGAATATAACATGCTTCTTTAAAGGTCTATATCACGTGCAACACTTTCAATGCTGACTATGCAGATATTTGGCCTCTCATCTGTCTGAGTATCTAGATACACATGCACGTCTCCATCGTTTATAGCCAAGTGTTTATTTGATCTGGAAAGACATGTTCGACTGCCTGTTCAGCCTGACGATCTACCAAATGTCCCTGCCCATAGGCCGGGCTATCCTCGTAGCATCACGGCTGTCTAGTCACTGCATATGGAACCTCTTTCCACGGGCCACGTCCTCACGCTCCGGGCATTCATGAACTGCCCGTGGGTTTGCTCTTTCTCCCACCTGTAGCCTTGAATGCTGCTCCTCGGCGGCTGCTTCTTGTGGTTGGTCGCTTTTTGTGTCTTTTCTTGAAGCCGGCAGGGTTGCCGTTAGATGTACTGCTCGCACGGTGACCCTCGAAGACAAAGCCTCCTTTGCTCTCTGTACGACCCCGCCCCTTCGCCGGGCCTCTGGCTGTTGACCTCGCTTTAGATCCGGCGGCAGGTAATTTGGTCTGCGGCCGGCGGGCACGCATCACTCGTAATATTCGAGGCAACATAGGAGGAAATTTTTTGTCGTTCATGAGCAGAGCACCTTCCACACTGTTTTCGCTCTCGAATTGAACATACGCAATGCCCTTGCTGACGCGTGTCTCTTGATCTCTCACAACTCGGACGCTCTCAACCTTCCCAACCTTGCTAAAGACTCGCCACAGACCCTCTTCGGGATCAGCGGGCTGCTTTGCTGCAGCTCGTCGCTTTTTCGAACCATCATCATCCTCGTCGTCTGCTCCAGCCGTTTCTTTGCTGACAAAACTCAAGTTTCCGATGAAAACACAACGCCTGTGGTCTGTTTTTGCGGGTTTGCCCAAGTAATCCGCTCGCATATGTCGATCTAGGACAACACTGCCATTTAGCTTGTTAGCGACGTGCTCTGCGGCTGCTTCTGTGGTGAACACAGCATAGGCATTCGTGTTGGTGGTGGTCTCATCCATCAGTTCCTTCTTTGCAAAAGTGGCTTTCTTCGGTCCAGAATCACTGGCGTAGGCTGTCGAACGAAATCGTATAGATTCAAGCTTTCCCAGTCTGTCCCCTTTTGCGGGCGTCTTCAACACAGATCGTAGATGTTTGGTGAGCGTCTTTTTGGCCGATTTGGACTTGATCGCTTCCGTCGACACATTCCCTAGAAAGACTGTTCTCTTCAATCTCTCTTCATCGGTCAACTTTTTCTCGAAGACTTCATGTCGTGGAATATCTTCTGCGGCGGGTTGACTGGCAGAGGTTTCATCACTACCGGAAGTTGATACACCGTCTTCATCTTCGTCTTCATCTTCGTCAGAGTTCAGCTGAGCATTAGACCCTTCCCTTTTGGCTGAGGACCGTTGCTGTTCCTTCTCTTCTTCTCGTTCTAGGCGTTTGAAATACGACGCTTCAAGGTCGTCCCCATCGGCTAGGCGTCTTCGTTTGCGAGGTCTCTCGTTAGCCTCGAGGGCAGCAGTGGCGATTGCTGCTCCGTCTTTGGCTCCCAGGGATGTTTCAGATGCCTCTAACTCAGAACCAGTATCATCCGATGAGTCGCTCCCCGAAGAGGTTTCGTCGTCATCAGTAGGCTGGGGATTGCTAGAGGTAGACTTTGACGCATGCACGACCCTTGTGGGGACTCTGACTGGTCCAGACTGGCACAGAGTGATCAGCAGTAATCTTTGGCCGTGAGTCTTAGTAGCTTACGCTCGAGGCAAACAGCGACGCGAGAGTGGGATCCAGCGAGTCCTGCTTTGCTGCGATTTGGGTTGACTTGCTGGCCCCCGGCTGGGAGGTAGACTGTTTGGTCTTGCCCATGATATTGACCAAATGTCCCACCGATGGTAATGTCTTGATCAATGTGCAGAACGGTAGATGCCCAGTTGTCAGCACATCGGGTCAAGAACGAGTGTTGGTCCAGCTTCGCACCACAGTCTACAAAAATTTCGAGACGCAGCACCAGCCGATAATGGAGATAAGAGCGCCTGCATATCAGCTAACTCCGTCACCAACCGTTGCCAAGCGGAATTTCTCCTCCATGACATCGCGGCTTTTCGTGCCCTTACTACCAGCGGGCTGCCCTGCGCCAGGTCGTTCCATGCGCCTTTTGGGGGGCTTCATTTCTCCACGACGCCAACCCGCCGCCTGCGCTCGACATTCTGTTCTACCACAGTACACATTGTACTCATACGGATACACCACCCTCCATTCGTGGCTTTCGGCCTCTCGTTTAGACAATTGTTTTCAGTGGCACATCCAATACATCGAGTCCCAGTCTTCCACGTTAAAATCCGTCCTCAACCTCTCTCCTGCTGCTGCGACACCGGCACCGCCTGTTGCTCAACCCTCAACCCTCGCTCCGTCGACTTGCTTCCAGCTCTCAGGCAACCGAGTTGGTGTTGTGTCAACATCTTCGCCTGCTGCAACCGCGCGAAAGGAATTAGCAGCTAGTTGTCAGAGTCACCACGGTCGGCTGCTCTGATGCTCTTCCTCCAGCCCTGCTGTCACTGAGTGCTAGGAGAGGCCACAACAAAAAATCATGCTCTTATAATTGCAATTCATTCGCTATAAACATTGTATGTTACATTTGTGACCATGTTACACTTTCGCACTGGTGCTCCGGTTTGTTGCCATGATTCGAAACTTGACTGACAGAGCAGCATCCAGGTCACTTCGAACGAACCTCCTATCCTCCATCCTCCTCATACCTTTTCCTACTTTGCCCCAACGCGTGTCATTCACACGCCTCCGCAATGGATTCAGCAGCAGATTCGCTTCTGGCCCTCTCCAATGTTGCTACAGTGACCACTGGGCACAATGAACCAGTCTCAGATGACGACCGCTCTAGCAGTCTGAGCGAGCTAGACGATAACCTCGACGATGTTGAAGATGAAGGAACTCAGCCGGTCAAAGTGACCGAAGTTGATTCAGAGGCCGAGACCGAGCGCCTACAGGTTACTCCTGATAACCTTACCCGAAAGCAGCCTTTGCAAATCAGCCCCAGCAAGTTAGCTCACAGAGAGGACGTCGACATGCGGCCCGAGATAGAGAGCTTAACAGAAAGCGCCATGTCATCGCCCATATCCTCCCACCCTGATTCTGAAATTGAAGGCGGGCTAAGTGACGGAGAGGCCAACCATGAAGCACAACGAGAACCTGAGGCGGACGGGACAACCTCACCAAATAAACGAAAAAGGCAAGCAAGTGAATCGGACACTGAAGAGGCTCCTAGATCGCAAAGGCGCCGGACAGGGTCTATTGAAAGTGAGGATGGAAAGTCCGAACCAGAGAGCGAAGGCAGGGACAGCCCCAGCCAACATACCAGAGAACCCACGGTAGAAGCTGTAGTACCCGCGCCGCCACCAGACAACGAGGATATAGAAGAGCCAGGAGAGGAACATCAAGAAGGTGAAAAGGCTGATACCAGTGAGGATTCCAAAGATAAGGCCAGAAGTCGGCCACGCCGCAGAGCGAAAGGCGAAGTGCTACAAGAGCCCAATGCAGAAGATGACGACGAGGGTGAGCCGGCTGAAGATACTGACGCTGTTGACGAGAACGATGCCGAGGTGGCAGTCAAAACCGAGGAAGAACAGGCAAAACGAGTGGCGGCAATGGAAGCCTTATCCTCACTAGAACAGCATTTCGCTGCATTGAGAGATCGACTTTACGACGAGCGGATTGCCGGGATCAACCATGAACTTGCCTTGTTATCAGAACCCAAACCATCCCATCCCGAGCTCCTACGACAGCTTGAAGCTGTGAAAAAGTACCGCGACGATAAGTTCGAAGTGGAACAGAAGCTTCTGGTGTACAAGATAGGCGCCCTCAAGAACAAAGCTGTCGCAGAACGCAGCCAGATCCACAGTCAATATTTCCAAACGGTGCGAGACATTCGCGAAAAGTACCTGGAACGAATCAGCGAACACTTCTACCGCATTCAGCGAGACAGATTCAAGACCGATTCCGCAATACCAAATTTCTCCATCCCATTCCCAGAACGACGTTCACAACAGATCCTGCAACAGACCGCGTATAACAAAGAAGTGTCGATCCTATCAGGTATTGCTAAATATGTCGGCTTTCCTGCGGCTCCCGAGCTGGCTTCGTCAAAACAAACGGATCTTGACGACGACATGCAAAAGATGGGGGTATGTATTGTGAGTCTCCTCGTGGCAGAAGATGACTAACATCATCTGCAGATTTCACCCGCTCAGCTTCGACCTGTCAGGCCCACGCAAAGGCAAGCACAAGGCACGGCGGGGAGACAGATATCAGGTCCGCAAGCAGAAGAACAATTTCTCGAACAGACGCCGTGGGCCAATCCACAACATCCGATCCATCGGTTGAGTCGGCAGAATTCTAATCGTTCGCCCATAGCCGAGTTTCTGACACCAGCAAACCAACAACGCACAGCAGATGGTCTCCAGCCTGCAGGGTCGGCCTCTACGATCGTCGACCCGTCCGCCCAGATCTCTTCTGCCATTAACACTCCGCACGACGAACAACTATACAGTAGTACGACGAAACTGGAACCTCAACCTGGTTCCAGTGTCCACAACTACCGTCTTCATTCTACATCTCCCCTGGATACGCGGCGGGTGGCATCTGGAGCTGGAACCGACTTCCATATCTCCACCGACAATTCCGAGGCACTTACCAAAGACAGACACCGAGATCTGAATTCGTCGCCACTCACATCCAGAGCGCAACAGGCAGCAGGCTCGCCGCCTCGAGCGGCGTCGGCGCGGCCGGACAAGGTTCCATCGAGATTCAATGACGACTCTCCGTTTAGACACGCTAGGGACTCGGCCATCACGGCAGGATCGGGATTGTCTGGGACGGGGAGATTCAGCATTCGATAGGAAGTGGAGATGAGAATCACTGGTATTCCTTTTCTGGCTATGACTGATAGCATGTACAATTCCCCATAATGCGAAATCGAATCTCTTTTGAAGCGGGCTTTAAGTGTTTTATGGACATGTTCTCTCCCGTGAGTTCGAGCCATTTGCTCGCCACCATAGTTTGTTCGAAGTGTAGACATTGCCACCGCATATCTGCCTCACCACCTTTCTCTCGTTCTTCACAAAATTGGCGAGGCACCATCCTCTTACTCGTCTTGCCCTTCTGAATTCGGAGTAGGACGTGTCCAATGCCGAGGAGTACCATTCGTGATCCCCTGATCCTCGTCGAGCTATCTTTCCTGACCTTACAATAAAACCCGGCCCATGGGTAATGCGCCCGCCTGGCATCCAGGCTCGCACAATTTCATGCTCGCAAAGAATGGCCTCGTGATGTGATGTGATATGATATAACATGTTTTTAGAGTCTTGTCTTGTGGTAGTACACTACACTCATCCACCTCCACAGAATGGACGTTGCCGATCTCGACAACCGGGGCCTGCTCATGTCGAATGCATCTTGCTAGAAGGAAAAAGATGTCTGAAATTCGGTTGCTGCTGGACCCAAATGGAACGAGAAGAGGAGCCCGCCAATGTCTTCGTCGAGGAGACGCGAAGTGAAAGGACAAGCAAAAGCAGCGTCGTTCCTTTCTTTGGTTGATTCGGGTTCGGAAACGCATCCATTCGCCTATGCGGTAGGTGTCTTTGGCGACCGCGCCGGGGCGTCCGGGACAATCACGTCCTCGAAATCATCTTGACCGACGGCCTTGAGGGTAAAGGCAACTACACACGAGCGGGTCAGTATTTCCTTCTTTGGGAGGAGGGATGGCTCCGAAAGCCCGCAGGAAGAATGGGCGTGCAGCTATCTAGCTAACTAGCTAGGTATGTGGCCAGATCAAAGACAAAACGTATCGAAGAAGCAGGAGGGTCTTGTAGACGTCGACGTACAAACTCCAATGGCGAAGCTGAAAATACATGCGCCCGTGATCAAGTTCTTGAACAGGTACGGCCGGCGGGCGCGGTTTAAGGCCGCCCCCGTGCGGTAGTCCGGGTTGTAGTATGATGAGCGCTTCAACCTGGTTGTGGCAAGACGGGCATATTAGTTTTCTGTTCACTCGGTTCTCGGACGTGACATGGGAGATACGATCTCTGCCGTGGTGGAAGGAAGTGCTGGTGGCAGATCTTGTGCATTGAGATAAATGGATAGGTGACTGGACTGGGGACGAAAGACACTCACACGCCGCGCTGTAGGGGGAGGGTGGACCGCATGGTGACTGGAGTCGCTGCAGAGACGCTCGATTTGGGGAGGTCGATGGGCTTCCAAGGACGAGGCGGACGCCGATACAGATGTGACTGGAGTTGGATCAGCGGATTCGAATATTGTATCTTGTTCGAAAGTCTCGAGTGGAGAGAGAGAGCACGAGCAATGCAACGGTACTGGCTCTATGATCAACGGTAGGAATTCTTCGGCGGAGTATTTGGTGTCAAATGTAGGCTCGGCCAGGCTGCATGCCTCTACTCCGTACTGCGTACAACTAGAACTTGTGGCACTACAAAGGAATTCGCGTGTCGTGATAAAATTTGACTTGGGGATCTCTCAAAGCCAGTTCTCAGTGGTGTTCGTTTCACAATTGACGCATCTCCACTAAGTAATCCCAACAGGTCATAGATCGCCAAATCCACAGACATATTTAAGAGAGATTCGCCCCAATCATCAGTTCCCAAACCCATCACGAATCTCCAGAAAGCTTTGGTATCGGCTCCTCGTCCAGCGGCGAGCTTTCTTGCCCCAGATGATCATCGGCACGGTCGTCATGATGAAGACAAACGACAAAACCCCGATGGCGATGAAAGTATTCTGAACGCCGCTAGCACCAATCCAATCGGATGTCACAAAGGAGAATATACATCCGATGGTGTTGTTGATTGTAGCAACCCCCACCATGCCCTCCAGGACCATATCGGGATAGGCGTCCATAAGGTATGCCATGCTCAGATCGCCGGCGCAGCCCCAGCCGAACCCTATGAAGCCCAGACCAACATAAGGGGCAGGCCACGACCATCCGTGAGCGCTCCCAATCCCGAAGATCCACAGCCCTGTAGGAAAGATGCAGGCACAAGGCAGCATGAGCCACAGACGTTGTTCGGCCTCCATCACACCGCCGTTTCGTCGGGTCATCCAGAGCAGGAACTTGTCGCTCAGCCATCCACCATAGAAACAACCAATCACTGCTCCAATAAGTGTAGGGATCTACAGAATATGCACGGCATCGATTAGTATCTATCAGACGAAGACTGGTGGCGTTTACAGCCAGAGAGGGAGACAGCTTACATTCATGTTACCGTCTTGTGCATCGGTATAGTTCCACGGTGGCCCATACCAGTTGTCTTCTTCGACGGTCAGATAGAACGTAAGCCAGGCATCCTGCGCCCCCCACTGCAACCCGGAATAGATGACGGCGGGGAAAGTGAAAACTCGAAGTGTATGGAAAAGACGCTGGAAATACTGCTTGAAGCCTGTTCCGCGAAGATTCGGCGCGGGAGTGATGATGGCAATGCGTTGCCAATATGACTTGGGTTTCTCGTCCTTGGCAGTGCCACGCTGGTGTTCAAGGCTGGACGAGGTATGCGCCTGCTCAGCAGAAGACGATATTTTCTCATCGACCGCCACTTCCGCTGGCAAGCTTGCGGATCTCTCGTTATCCACCTGGTTGACACCGTCGACAAGATACCTGTCGCCGCCGTTGGTCAAGTAACGCTCGCGTCGGAAAGTAGTCTCTTCCAGGCCAAAAAGAAAGACCAGGAAGGTTGCTCCGGAGAAGATGGCCCCGAACCAGCCAATCCACCTCCACCCGATGCTACTATCAGCGATGTAGCTAGCGATCAAGGGTCCCAAGTACGTTCCGACACTTGTGGCCAGCACATAGACACCGAGAATTGAGCCACGTTGGTGTTGGAACCAAAGATCCATCAACGACAATTGGACAGTCGCTTCGGCCACAGACTCGGATGCCCCAACGAAGAGTTGATTCCAGAGAGCGTCACTAGTGTTTTGACCTCGTGCAAACCAGATACCTCCAATGACTCCCCACAACATCCCGATGAGGTAGAGAATCCGACGTCCATACAGGTAGACGGCAGGAGACGAAAGCAAAGTCCAGTAGCCAATGCCGATAAACAAAATTCCGGCTCCGGTGTTGAACGAGGGATAGCTAATTCCAAGCTCAAGGTTCTCGTTATACTGTGCTGCGCCTGCATCGTTCGATGTGGCCGCAGTCAAAGCAGTCACAAAGCAGACCAAGGAACTGTGCCATAACTTGTGAGGCAGCGACCAAGTCAGAGGATCGTTCGGCGACTCGGTCGGCTGGGGTATTAGAATGATGTCGCCATGTGTTTTCAAGCCAGACTCGACAGAGAGTGGACGACCTTCGGCATCAAAGAGGCGGCGCGTGCCTGGGAGCACCTCCTCGAACTCCATGCGAGGGTTGTCGCGAACGATTTGAAGACGAGGGAGTGACAGCAAAGAGGCAGACGGTGAGGTCAGCCGGACCACATGTTCATTTAAAACAATCGGCAGAAAGCGTGGCCATCGTGCTGGTGCGACGTCCTTATCATGTGGTGGCTTGAGGAGGTACTGTAAGCGTGAGCAAGAAAAAGAGACTCGAGCCAGCTGCCCAATCCCCGCAAAGAAAAGGGACGGCGGGCGGGAAGCTGGCGGTATCCTGGGCTTATCAGTGGCGAGGAGAGCTTGGGATCAGTCCAGCAGGCGAGAGGCGATCGCTTGCTGCGCTTCTAGCTTGAATGACATGCCATGGGTCTGCCCCCTTGGGTAGGTGGCCGGCAGATCAGGCGTGGCGAGAGACTCTGCAAGCTGTTTGTCCTGATCTGTCCTCCGGACTCCGGTACGTACCTCGTATGTACATACCTGGCACTCCGTACTGTGTCGAGCTTGATGAGTCTGATGGCTGATGGAACCAGGTTCTACACAAGCACCAGAAAGTCAGAGCTTAGCCAACGCTTAAGGGGGCCGGTTTGAGGGCAGCGCAGCCAAATGAAGGGTGGGGGTTGCACCTGCGGGGGGGTCCTGAGGCCTCCTAAGCCCCCCAAGCCCAAGATCTCCCCTGGAGTCGCCTCGTGTGGACTGGGTGCGCGGGACTCCGATAAGCAGGATCCCCCCTTGTCAACAACGCATGCAGCTGCCGCAGGCGTCCTAGTGGCTCATCTCCCAAACATCATCTCGACATCACCCCGATCCTGTTTTCCCTCTCTTCCATCTCCCGCTGCCACTCCCGCCTCAACTGTCCAGCTCGTCTACCTGTCTCTGCTTGCAGCAAACCTTGCCAGCCCTCGTGCTCTGGTCTCTCCCGTCCCTGCCACACGTGAATGTCGACTTGCCAGCTCAAAATGGCTCAACACTTCCACGTCGCCCACCTTTCTAGTTACAAACCCAAGGAATCTAGTAGTCCTTCGACCATTCTTCAACTCGCCAGCCGGCTGCTCCTTGCACCCGCCGGACTCAAAGAGTTGGAGGATGGTCGAAACCCGAAAGAACCTGTTGTTGTGAGTCAAGAGCACTGGGAAACACCCAGAGATGGAAAATCAAGTGAACACAAAGTCGTCGTCGTCGGTGCCGGCATTGCAGGGCTTCGTGCCGCTTCTGTCTTGCGGTCCCATGGCATCCAAGTCGTTGTGCTCGAAGCCCGGCCTGACCGCATCGGCGGACGTATTTACACCAGTAGGAAGCCGGGCCATGCGCCACGAGACATTGGTAAATATTGCCTCGAGCAATACTGACAATCGCCGTAGGCGTTTGAGATGATGCCGTTAACAGCGCTCATTGTTCGGCCACGACATTGTGGATTGTTTTCCCCTGTCGGCACTGTGCTCACACTCTTATAGGAGCTGCCTGGATGCACGAAACCGCAAACAACAAACTTGTCCGCCTTATTGGCCAGCTCAACATCGAGCATTACTATGACGACGGCACTCCCTTGTACTATACCAAAGACGGCCGTCTAGGTTCTCAGTTCAAAGCCAAAAAGGTGGCCGATGAGTTTGCCGATTACTGTCAATGGTATTATGACGAGAACCCCGACGCCGAAGACAAGCCTGCATTGACCTTCATCAAAGAATGGCTGAGCAACCATCCATTAGTCACCGAGGACGAACGCCTTTGGGCTCCTCAGGCTGCTCGTGAGGTGGAAGCATGGATTGGGACCAGTCTCGAACAAGCTTCCTCCAAATATCTCGCTTACTTTGCCACCGAAAGAAATCTGTACATGAAAGGAGGGTATGACACCATCGTCGACTGGACTGCCTCGACCCTTCAGGATCCAGGCGTCATTCGTCTTGGTCATGTGGTAACCAAAATCGAATGGAACAACGACCGTGACCCATGTGTTGTCTACACGACCACCGAAAACGGTCAAAATCCAGTCTTCACCGCTGACGCTGTTGTTTGCACTCTCCCTCTAGGTGTGTTGAAACACAACCTGGTCGACTTCGATCCTCCTCTTCCCAGCGATCTGTCGTTGGGCATTCAGAAGCTCGGCTATGGCGCTCTCGGCAAGATATTTGTCGAGTTCGAATCCGTTTTCTGGCCAAAAGATAATGACCAGTTCATCTATTACCCCGAACCAACCACCGATGCGATTGACGAGAACTCGATTCTCTCTTACATGACCGTCACCAGTAATAACTGGATCATGAGTGGCACCAAAGAATTGTCCGTTCAAATCGTCGAACCTCTAACCCAGCGCATCGAAACTATGAGGTCCGCCAAAGAGGTCTACGCCTTTTTCGAACCACTTTTCAAACTCTTCCGTACCGAACCTTACAAAAAGCTCCCGCAGGTTGTGAATCTGGAAACGACACACTGGACGCAGGATCGTTTTGCTGGATTCGGTACCTACACTGCCGACAAGACAGGCGATGAACCTGAAATATGGATGAAGGCAGTGGACAACAACAAGGGAAACAAGCTGCAGTTCGCCGGAGAGCACTGCACGCGGACTGGAAATGGATGCGTGCATGGTGCTTTTGCTGCCGGCGAAACTGCTGCCATCAACCTCTTGGGTGTGCTGGGAGTTCCTCACAATGGTGGGGATCTCTACAGCAGACGTCCATCGAGGAGGACACCACCCAGACATTAAGCAGTTGGCCTGTGAGGATGCCTTGCGGGTCTCGCGAGCTTCTGGGGAGGAGTATCTTCCGAGCTGGTTGGTGACAGTTGCAAGTGCTGGACTGAGATATGTCGGCGCCTGTGTTTTCCTTGCTTGAATGTTGCCCACGCGGCCATTAAATTGCCTTTCCCTCTTTTTGAAACTTCGGCGGCGGATAGTCTTTACAGTGCTGGGGTGTTTGCAGTCGCTCTCAGCTGTTGTGATGTATGTCTACCCCAGGAGGGACCTGGACGAGACCAACAAGAATGCTTCTGGTGAGATGGTGCTTTCAAGCGAGCTCGTCCATAGTGTTTTATATTGCTCACGTATTCAATACAATTGCCATTGCTCAGCCATCTGTTTCGGTTTCGCAGTAGACGTGGCCACTCAAGTGGGTTACCTCACCGAGAGGCATTAAATGGAAAACGCTGTCTGTACATCTCGCCTCGACCATCCTTTCGGCGAGATTGATGTTCTCTTCAGGAAAGCCCTCGTCACGCAGACTCTGATAGTACGCAGCGATGAGGTGTTTGCCGATGGTGTTGACATGGTACGGGCGACCAGGATTCGGGGATTGGCGAATGACCCACACCAATGTCAGGGGAGGATCGTCTGGCTCCAAGCCCGGCTGGACGTGGGCGCTGAGGACATGTCCAGTATGATCATTTTTCCGCAGCATCAACGCCAGCCCTCCGGTGCTGGTGTGGATCTTGGACCGTTCACGAGCATACGCCCGGCTCGCCGTGTCGTCGCCGTGGTCGGGCGGTTCGGTCTCGAACAAGGTGAACGGCACGGTTCTGCCATGCGGCGCGGCGTCCGCGGCGGCCACCGCGAGAATCATGGTGTGCAGAACCTCCGACATGTCCTGGCGCCGATTCTGGGGCCGGACGTAGATATACTGCAAATACGGGACGGCCCAGTTGGAGGCTTCGCTTTGGCCATCGCGGGAGCTGGAGCTGGAGCCGGATTCTCGGTCTTGGCTCTTGTCCGCGTCCTTACATGTACTGTCGCATGTCACGTTCCCATCACTGCCACTGCTCGGCAACGGAAGCACAGAGAAGTGAGCCGCGCCGATGGCCTCGCCGGAGACGGGGTCCCTGATCCCGACGATGCGGTACGGCGCCAGCCCGACTCTCTCGCCTCGCGCTTGGGCGGTGAGCCGGTCGACGATCAAGTCGGACCGTTCGCGCTCTGCGCGCCGAGGGAACATGGTCGTGTACAGTCTGTCATAGTACCGCGTGAAGTCGGCGGCCGAGACGAGCTCGATGAGGCCGATATTGGGCAGGGCGGTCTGTTCGAGCCGACTGGGGGCGGTGCGGCTGAGACTGTCGACAGGGATCCTAGCTGTTGCCAGCTTGGTGTGGAGGGTGGGCGAAAGCCTTGATGAGAAGATCGACGACCGAGTCGGGGGGGCCGGATCGGACATGGTTGCGATCCTGTGCTTTAGCTGTCGAAGCTGCAATCGCGAGGAGCCTTGGGCCCTGGCCTTGGGTCGGGTATAGTCCAGCTCAACAAATGTCTAGGTGCTGGACGTGGCTCTTGAGGCATACCTTGGTATCGTTGAGTGTCCTATGCTTCAGGCACGGATATCCCGGCAAATGCTCGTCTGTCTTTTGTCTTTCTGGGATTTGATGCTCACCGATCCATCTTGTCAGCAAGTGTCCGCGGTTGGTAGGAGAGACTTGGGTGGTTGATCAAGCACCGGTCAAGAGGTTACGGTTGCGAAAGCGAGACGCGCAGTGCTAGGATTACCAGCCCCTTCTCTCTCCTCGGGTAGGTATGTACAGAGTAGGTCCATGTACTGATTCGACACTTTGCTTTTCCTCATTAATTACTGACTGCCAGCGAACGTTGAACCGTTGAAACGTTGTCGCGACCGGCGAAGCACACGGGAGAAAAGCGCAAGTACGTAGCAGCAAGCAGCCCCAAGCGTAGTCCACGGAAGCTGCTGTCAGACCAAAATAACTGGCTGCCAATATGTCGGAGAATTAGAGAAAATAGTACTGTCAGACTCAGACAATATAGATTCTTCAAGCAACAAGGCTTCAAGAATCAAAGATACATCATTGATCATCGTCACCCTTCCGGCCACTCTTTCTGATATTGGAGAGGCCTTCACTTATCCTGCCCTTCCCCCTTCCCCCTTCCCCCTTCCTCCTCCTCCTCCTCCATCATTAATCCAATGGCCGCCGGGAATCGAGAATCCTTCAATAGCCGAGGCTGTTCTGGCCTGAGGTCCGGTCAGCTTGTGGGGCGTGGGGAGTGGGAGTGGGAGGAGTGGGAGTCGGAGTGGGAGTCGGAGTGGAAGTCGGCTACCTCACTTCCCCAGAAAGCCTCCTAAGCCTCGGGCATTTCCGAGTTGAGGCGCGCAAGGCTCTCTTGACTCTCTAGACTCTGGGACTCCCGGCCCGAGGCCTAAGGAGCCTTGCGGACGCCCCCTAACTCGTGAGCCGCCATATTATTTTTGGTTGCATGTTGGCTGCATCGTTGCTTCTAGACATTAGACATTGTCATAGTCGCCATTCCAATCTAATCCATTCCATTCCATTTGCGGACTCTTCGTTGAACATTAACGCCGTCGCCTCCAACATGGCTGAAGGCTTCGCTTACGTGACAGGTGGTGCGTCCGGGATTGGCAGAGAGGTGGTTCGCATGCTGGTGAGAAACAAGTACGGCCAGCCCATCCATCATCCATCGAGCCGCAAGCCCCTCATCGGAGGCAAATCAAACATAACGCGGAGATCCTGACGTCTCATCAATTCAGCATCAAGGTCTTTATCACCGACCGAAACCTCGAAGGTGCCCAAGAGCTGGTCGACGAGCTCAACAAGGGCAAGGACAAGGATTCTCCAGTTGCACGATGTGCTTACGTTGACGTCGCCGACTGGAACTCGCAGGCCAACGCGTTCAGCCAGGCCGTGGCCGACTTTGGCCGCATCGATTATGTCTACCCGATAGCCGGGATCGGCGAGCGGCGTTGGATCCCCATTGATCCGCCTGCTTCGGGCTTCGAGGCGCCCGACCTGACCGTCCTTAACGTCGATCTGACGGGAGTCTTGTATACAGTAGCATTGGCTGTGCAGCAGTTCCGGAGGCAAGAGCCTGGGAAATATGGGTTCAGGGGCAAAAGTAAGTCCAAGCCAGGTCAAGTTGTACTGTCCTACACAACTAGGGGGTGCCCTCGGACAAAATTAAGTGTCACTGCTCCCCCCAGCCCCCTAAGCCAGACAAGCCATCGTCTCCCTCTCAACCCCAATTCTGTTCTGCCCTGTTTCAAAATCCGGCCAGCCTAGCTGAGGAGTAAAAGATGGAATCAAACGAAGGGGGGAGAGGAGAGAGAAAGATGATTGCTAACTTCGGTCCCACTTGGGCTCAATCAGTCGGTTGCGTTGCGAGCGTCTGTGGCATATACTGTGTGCCGACCCTACCGATCTATACGGCATCGAAACACGCCGTCACAGGCCTCGTCCAGGGCTATGGGAGGTATCTACCGGAAGAAAAGGTGGGTGAATGTGACTTTGATTCGAGATGATTTCATGACGCTCCCCGATTTACCAGAAAGCCATCTCTCGCCCTCCTTTCATCTCTCGCCCTCCGTGTTTTTTTTTTGACCTCTTGCCTGAAAAGCCAGACAAGCCATCCTCTCCCCTTCTCAATTCTGTCCTGTCCTTTCCTGTTTCTGGTCTTGTGTTGCTCTGCTCTGATCTGTCGTATGTGATGAACGATACACTAATCATCCTCCCCACCAGATCACATGCAACGCCGTCTGTCCGAACGTGGTCCGCACCAACATCACCACCGGCGCGTTCTACGACAACCTGGACAAAGAGAAGCTCTTGACCCCGATCCACGGCGTCGTCGACGTATTCGAGAACCTGCTCGGTCCGGCCGATACCTCGGGAGAATGCTTCGAAGTCGGTCCCAACTACGACACCCAAGGAGCCGTCCCGAGAAAGCTGGCGGAGCCGCTGGACAGGGAGACCGACAAAGTCCTTGACGCCCTGTACCAGCGAGCTCGGGTACATCATCAGCATTAGTGTCAGTGTCAGTCTTAGTCTCAGCCTCAGTCTCAACCTCAGCCTCGTAAACGTCGAGCCTTGAGGGCTCCAGAAGATCAGGTCTCAGCCTCAGCCTCATTAACGTTGAGCCTCGAGGGCTCCAGCGAAATTATGTCCTATCGGCCCGAGGTTTTAGGTTGAAAACATCTGATATGTTGATCTGGACGACCAACTGCAACTGGTCATAAGACATGTCTGTGTTTCTGTTTCCTGGAAAGTGTTCAGTCTATACTGTACTGTTTGTTGCTGTTCTATACGTAGTTCGGTGCATCCCAATGTGTTCAGTCTATACTCCGTACTCCGTACTGTTTGCGGTGCATCTGCACAGTGAGTGCTCCACAACTGCACAGCGAGTAAGATGTAAGATGCAGTTAATTAACTGGGTTGGGTTATGGAGACGCTATGGACAAGCGCCGGGAAGACGAATCTTAAATCCAGGACTCCTCTCTGGAGTATACCTGGGTGTCTGCCTACCCAGTAATTACATCTATACTATCGGATCCCTTAAGGCCTGTTTTGAAGGAGACGTGCTTTTCCAAGGAAGAAGACGCGGCCGAGTAGTCAGAATGAATCTCTAGAGACTGGTGACTGATGACTGATTCGTGGCATGGCATGGTGTAGTGTGTATATATTAGTATCGCATAATAGTAGAGTAGTAGCAAGTTATATATTATAGTCTGGTATGATAACAGTAGTAGTAAGTTTATACATCATAGTATGGCATGGTATCGTATGGTGTGCTGTACAATGACATGGCTTGGCCGAAGAACATTTCTGCAACGATAGAGACAGTATTTCATTCGCCAATATTCATGCCCAGCGGGATTGTTTGTGTGTTCCCGGCCCGGTCACCTGGACTCTCGAGTCTAAGTCTTGACACTAGACCCTAAATACATGTACTTGTTCCCCCAGGGGTCACATTGGCCTAGGCCTGTGACTCGCCATCCACGTTCATTACCTAAGTACATGAGAAGAAGGAGAGCCGTTTCGTGGAAAGGAAATCCGTCTCGAGAGAAAGATAAAGAAGGCTGTAGCCGTTTCGTGAAAGGAAATCTGTCTCGAAAGAACAATAACGAAGGCCGGAATTCGCCATCGCCTAGGCGAGGAAGAATAGAAAATGGAAAAAGAAAAAAGAAAAGTGTTGCTTCTTGCCAAAGAAAGGTTGACGCGGATGCAGAGGTCGTCAGTAACCAGAGGCTAGTAGTGTTCCGGTCAACGTGAACGAAGCTCAACAGCCTCACCTGCCGAGCAGTAAGTAGCCGAGTTCCCGAATCGAAGTCATAAAACCACCATTGGTAATGATTAGAGGGTGAATCCGAGATTATCGACACAAAAGGCTTTCAATTTCAAGGTTGGTGACCTCCAGGCAGGTAGGCAGGCATTCGACATGGCTAGCTTGTAGTAGCCGGCGGCGTATCGAGTCGATGCCACAAGCTGTCCTGTCAGATACAGGAGATGGGTCCAGACTCAATTACTCCCGTCTTCGGAGACCTCGGCTAACTTCGAGGTCATGTCTCGGTTCGTTGATGAACAGGAGACAGACCTGGTCGACGGGAAACTCATCGACCCCATGGTAAGATGCTGTCGACATACTGGCTTGTTTGATAATAGTATGCTTGATATTGATGTGGGGAGAGAAATTTAAAGGTTCTGCACGAGCCACTGTCAGCACCTCAGGATCTGTCTGGGATTTGTGAATTGGGAGGGATGCACCACTCTCAGGATCTGTCTGGGCTTTGTGGATTGGATGGGATGCACCACTCACAGCTCGTCTTGGAGCTCGTTAGACCTCGCCTTGTAGATTTCATAATGGATGTCGTGAAGGTCGCAGCCCTGGACGTCATGGACATTCATGTCGAGGATCAGAAACGACCAGGCCTCGCTCCCTCTTCTCTCGGGATCCTGGTGGATGAGGTGGACATTTTTCTCGTACTCGTCGTCCGGACGCTTTGCATGCCTGAGGAACGCCCTGACAATTTCCTCGTCGGATTTCGGCGTCTTGACGTTGATGAACACCCGTCGCAGTGTGGGAGCACCATCTGGCTGAGGCATGTTGCGGGAAGTGATGATGATGATGATAGATGCAAGGTCCAAGTGGTGCCAGCACAGCACAACACGGCACAGCTCGTGTGCTAGGATGCTAGGATGGGATGTGTGATGGTTTTATAGGATGCGCTCCCCAGGTGGTCCCAACCCCTCCTGGCCCCTTGTAACGCGGGAAGCCCTTAACCCCTGGAGTCTAAGCCTCCTAAACCCCGGCCTGGGAGCAGGGGTCAAACTGGACCGGACCGTACTCCCTATTTTCCTACCGCAGCCACCCAACACTGGTGGGCCGGAGCTTTGCCGACGGTCAGAAAGTGAAAGGAAGCTTTCTCTGAGAAGTCTCTTACCCTGACTCTTTCCACCCTTAGTCCTGTTCTGCCTTCCTCGGCTCCTAAGACCCTACGCCTCACCCTTATGCCTGGGACCCGGCGGAGCTAGGAGGGGTGGTTTTCCTGCAAGCTGGACACAGGCCGGCACGGTTCCTATCCTGAGCGTCCAGGCTCCTTGGGAGTTCTCTCATGCCCGTGGGTGTTGCACAAGCTGCTCCAGATTGCAATAGAGCGGTTCGGCACCGATTGTATCCCGCAGAGGACTGGTGGCCACAACCACGGGGCGGAGGTGCCCATTCCACCACTCGAATCTCGCACATTCGTATCTACCGCAACTGTGAGCCTTTCGCACACGCATACGTAGGCCACTGGGCACCAACTGACCTTTGATCTTGGGTAATTCCGGTGGCGTTCCGCTGGTAGATTAGAAGAAGAAGAAGACAGAGTGTGCCGTGATCAGGGCCTTGTAAGAGATACCTGCGACCATATATACACTTTGCGGTGCATCCCGTCCCTTCCCTTCTGATCAGGCGCATGGGCTTCTGCGGCGGGCTTTCCTTCCAACTCGTCAAGAAGGTGGCATATTGGGCACCATCAGACTGTGCCCCGCTGAGGAAGGTGCCCTCAAGTGATTGGAAACTGTGGCCAGCACTGACGATGGAATGAGCAAGATATCACACCCAACCCTGCATGACGGCACACAGGCTCTCCATCATTGGCGTCAATCCCTTCGAGTACGGCTCACTGCGTCCTTTGTGCTTCTCCGCCCGACTTTGCCAGGGGGTTTTAGAAAACCCCTGCCATCGTGACCACGTGTCCTCGTCTGCCGATTCGTCCCTCTCCGTCCAGCCGGCTTTCTTGAGTGTGACAAAGTTGCCGATTGACACAGCCAGGGTGACCGGGCGTTTTTGAACTTGCCGCCTTCGTCTCAGAAAGCAATACACCTGTTTCTCATGCACCGATTGTCCCTCGCTCAGCAATGCTGCTGATGCGTCTAGGTACGTTCAAGGTAGCACATGCCTTGCCTATATGCGGCTATTTAGTCAGTTCGACCACACCTGCGTCCAAAAACACAGTCGAATCACCAGCTTCGAATAGTTCCTCAGACTAGGACCCCGTTTCTGCAGTGAGGAAGAAAATTGAGGAAAATCTCCAAGCCTATCGGAGGCCTTTCTCGGTTCGTGGTCGACACCTTGGGCATGAAACTGAGCCGGGCCTCTGCCCCGGTTGGACATGCAAAGAATCTCTCAATGCCCATATGGCCTGAATCTTCACAGTGATATGATCGCCATAACGAATGAATCAGGATTTATGCTCATATCCACGGCTGATCCCTCAGAGAACTATTCCCCGACATGACGTCTTCCCCAATTCAACCCTCAACCCTAGCACCTCACCTAGTACAGTACTCATCACTCTCCCCTATGCGTTTCGACTCGGCACTGATCTCCATCAAAGCCTGATCGATTTGCTGTTTCTGCTGGCTCCAGACGTACCACGGCATGGCCGTATACGCAAGAGCCACGACGGCGTACATAGACCCCAGCAGAGGATCTTTCTGGACGACGTGGACCCGGAACCCGTTCCACCATCCGCCTTCGAAAAGTGACAGGCCAAAAGCCTCCACAACGCCTAACCACAGAAGAGAGAAGACGCCGATGAAGATCGGCGTGGTGAAGATTGATGCCGCAACTTGCAGCTGCCAGACAGTCAGTTGCGCAGACTGCCAGATCACCAACAGCATGATTGGTGTCGACAACATCTCGACAGCACGAGCACCTATGACTGGTTGAAGAAAAGGTACTCTCATCGAGCCGAAGAGGAAGCCCGCCAGGAAGACGAGCAGGAAGTAGAAGATCGATAGACGCAGAGCTTCAGTTGGTGCCTGCATGTCTTTCAATTCGTCGTAGGTATTGACGACTGATATTTAGTTGTATTCTTGTTTGTTTCTTTTTGGTCTTTGAATCTGGGGAAAGGGCAACAGCGACCGTTGCAGGAGCGAGGGCCAGACTGTTATAGCTTCCACATCCAGTGTCGTGCAACGGCCATGGCCATGGCCTCGGCACGAAGCGATCAGGGGCAATTCGAGGCCCATATTAAATGGCTCAAGTATGAGTGGAAATATGCATCGCAGTGGGAAAAGAAAATATGATCCTCACGTGCGCATAAACCCGCAACAGCATAGTCGGCACGTGACCGTCGTGGTCGGAGGCCTGTGATTGGCTCGACAGGAACGTCGCTGGAAGCTTCGGATCATACGATCGGGCCATATCAAGTAATATCAAGTCGCTCTGTTTTGCGGCGCGTGGGCTCCATTATTCCATTATGCGGGCCATGTGATCACTCTTGGCCCATTAGTCTGAACCTCAAACCGAGGCTGAAAAGCTTTCCAAGAGGCGTCGAGGTGCTACATGTTTTCCCGTAGAAATTGAGTGACCTGACGAAGGCCTCGAGGCTGAGTATATCTCTTTGCGAAAGTTATTTTCCCACCTCCAACAGAGAAAAAAACAGTTCCAGATCCGTGTTTGTCGCACTTGATTCTGACAGAGCTCTTACCACTCAAACATGTCTTCAAACCCTTACCTCAATAGGGACACCACCACGCTGGACGGCAAACTGATCGGCAAGATGATCCATGTCGACTGCAGCGAGCATCATTGCAGTGAACAGCACACACGGGGTGAATCCGAAGTATCAAAGCCGTCATCAATCTCAAATCCTCGCAACGGGGATGTCCCGGCCCCGGAATATCTGCATTGTGGCTTCTGGCCGAGGCCGCTGACGGAGGCCGACCTGGACGAGGAGAGCCATGAACCGCGTGGCCTCCACGATCACCATGGTCTAGGCGCAGGTAGGAGTGGTCCGGCCGCGTCAACCTCATCTTTGAGACCGACGGGCCCAGATGGAGGTGAGGATGATGCAAGTGGCTCGTGGCAGGAGGTCATCCACAAAGCCGAAGACCATCATTCCGCGGTGACGGATGAGCTCTCAAAGGCTGTGGATGCCTGGAGGACGATGTTTGCAGCCTCCTCGGAGACAGGCGAAGGAAGGAATGATAGTGAGAAAGGTAGGTGCCTAAAGAACGGGCTCCCTCGTTTGAGTCTTCGGGTTTAGGCTGACCCAAGGATGTCCGTCGCAGCCAAAAAGCCATATTCAGTCATGCGACTTGTTGCCAGACAGCCTATCAATGACAGAAACAGCGCTGGTCTCGAACAGACAGGACCTTCAAGACAGAGCATTTTGGATAAGGAGATTGCCGCCGAATGCCAGGCTCGAAGCGAAATCATGGAATATATCGACGCTTTGGTGGACGAGGGAGACTATGAGGACGCATATGCATGTATCTGGCCGCTTGAAGAGTATCGCCGCAGCGGATGGGCCGAGGAGATGATATTTGCGTTTCCAAACGAGTGTTGGGGTTTTGTGGACATGGTGCGCGCACGGGAGAAGGCCAAGTAGGGCGGCAAAGACTTTGAACGATTTCCACACCAAATGTGTCGTGACGGCCGCACGGATTCGGACTCCGACTTTCGCCCTGGAATACCAGTCAGGCAAGCGGCAATCAGCGATCAGCGATCAGCGATCAGCGGGGTTGGCAGAAGAATCATCCATGGGCTGAATTGGGCAGGGCTAGTAATGTGCTTGCACCGGGTACGAAAGCCCTAGGCGAAGAAGAAGAAGAAGCACACGGCCGCATATTGGAGACACTTAGGTGTCATACTTGAGGGTGTGAGGGTACAGGACGATCTCAAAACCGGGGAAACAGTCGCTTTCCACACATGTCGTGTCAGATATTGGCCAAATGGTTCTCCCAAGCAGTGGCAGGGGCAGGGGCAGGGGCAGGGGCAGTGGCGGGGGCAGGGGCATCTCGAAGCCCGACCACAACACAGCCCGCGGAGGCTCTTAACTAAATTACTGCATGAAGGGCGAGGAAGGATGCCGGCCACTGGCACTCCACGCACGTCGGGCCACCGCAGCAAAGACGCTGGCTTAATCACAGTGGAATATGGTGTCAAGTGTCAAATGTCAAGTCGTGGATGAGATGGGTGAGCAGAAGGAAGAAGGAGTTGGACGACTCGTGACTCGTCCATCCTTCACATGAGGCAGCCCAACGCCAAGTCTGCTCGAGGTTGAGGTTCAAGTTGGCAGCAAGTTCTTCAGGTTCGAGTTTGGCAGGCTCCAGCCCAACGATCACACAACTTGGCCCTGGGATTCAGGTGCTCTTCGTATACAGAATGATTAGAACCAACGTATCTGTATCCCTACCCTGGAGGTGTAGGCGTGGCAGGTGGGAAATGGGAAAGGACACAACAGTCACCGGCTTACTTAAGCCGTGGTTGAGCCTCGGTTTCTTGCCAGGAACGGTTAGTGCGAGTGCGGGCGATCGTCTCCTCCACCTTGCACTTGAACGGCGAGCAATCCGTCGCTGACGTCGCCGGGCCTTGAGGAGCCTTAGGCATGTAAGTCACGATCACGACTTGAACACCACAGTCAATTCAATTCCATTGCTTCGCTTCGGATTCTTGAACTGAATCGAGGCATGTTAATTACAGTCCAGTCTACACAGTACTCTGTACACCGTCCACATCCACGTCTTGACTGCCGGGGAAGCGAGCTATTAATTGAGACCCGGCCTCACACCTACCTGCTTTTGATCGTCTGAACCAATACCAATACCAATACCAACCCCACGCTGACCTGAAGTACCTACCTACCTGACCTATGTATGAGGTGTAATTATCCCGTACATGGTATAAACTCTTATTTACGAAGTCTGTTCTGCGTTGCCTTCCTCACCTTGCCTGTACTGCGCTGCGCTGCCGGATCCGCGAGTCCTCCTAAGCTGGCGTGCGAGCTGCGGTTACCATCCTAAGCCCAAGCCTGCCATTCCTTCGAATTGAAAAAGTGACCGAGACCGAGATCGAGATCGAGATCCCTACTGGAATAAGAAACAAGAATCCAACCTCCGCCTCTACGCCTCTACGTCTCTACGCCTCTACACCTCTACGCCTTTCTATCCCCGTCTCTCCTCTATGATGGCCGCCATCCACCGTCCCGCACACCTTACCCACCATGCCGCCAAACTCGCCTCGGCCGCATGCATTGACAAGGCCCAAGCCATAGGCGTGCCCATGAACATCGCCATTGTCGACGCCTCGCTGTACCTCCTCCACTTCGAGCGCATGCCCGGCGCAAAACTCACCTCCGTCGACATTGCCATCAACAAGGCCTTCACCGCCGCGGGCCACCGCGCCCCGACCTCGGTCTACAAGGAGAACGTCTGGCCTGGCGGCCCGGCCTTCGGGTTGAACAGCAGTAACAACGGCAGGTTCATGTACGTCGCCGGAGGCATTCCCATTGTGGTGGAAGGTGAGGTGGTGGGCGCAATCGGCTGCAGTACCGGCACTCCCGCACAGGATACCGAGGTGTCCCAGGCCGGTGTCGACGCCGTCTTGGAGTATATCAAGCAACTTCACTCGGAACCCAAGCTGTGAATGGACCGGTCAGACTGGAAACGAAAACAATGAAGAGCTTGGAATTAGAGAGGCTGGATTGTTGCATACAACATAGTGCGACAGAGAGAGGGGCCCTAGTCGGATTTATCCTCTAACTTTGGATATGCATGAAGAGGCAAATAATGGTATGTACAGGGAGAAAAAGTCGGTCTCTTGGCGTGGACGAGTTCTATACTAGTAGTATGGCTCCAATATGAGGATCACATAAGTTGGCGCGTCCTTGACGACGTGTCACTTTCCTAGATGTAAGAAATCCTGCTGTTGCTATGTCATCCGCAAGACATTGAGATCCCGTCCGAACTTGGACCTGGTGGCCTCACTGTTGCTGATGGCAGAGTCGCTGCTCCCATCAAATGCTGGTTCCCATAGTGAACCGGTCAGGCTGACCGTTAAAATTCCGCGAGACGCGTCCTCAGCCGCCATGGCGTTGGCTTTCTATGATTATACCCTAGCAGCGGTTGACGCTGGCACAAAGCCGGTGTACCGCACCAATTGGCGCATAGGGAAGAGTCCGATAGGCTCAGCCGACCGTGGCCGGAATGCCTTCTTACCATAAGAAAATTGACGCCAGGAATCGGTGGTACCCAGAATAATGCTTGCACGAGCAACCCATATCCGAGCAACATCCATGTGCTCCTGCCGACAGCCGGAGTGTAGAGTTTCTGCAGGCTGTAAGGCTGCTGCGAAGTCTCGATACAGTATGCTGAGTGTTGCCAATAGGAATAGTCGCTATTAGCAGGTCATTTTGCAAGCTCGGAAGGGCTTTCAATCCGGATTTGAAGTTACTTCAAGGGCCACGATAAACATAATCGAGCTTGGAGTTCACTGCACTCCGTTGACGCTCTGATCACGGATCCAAATTCCACATCTCCGTAGACGGGCCACTCTGAACATCCTTTGTACAGCTATCAGTGTTGCTCGAACAGAATGTCCCAGGGCGATCTCTGACTTACCGCAAAGGAAACCCCATGCGTTGGGAAGCCCATGTCAGCGGGCAGCCTGCTGGCGTTTTGCATGGCTCCCTGCAGAGCTTGTAAATTGTTGTCCAGCAAACGCAACAGCCTTCCAAATTCAGTGGCTGGTGCATTTCCAGCTGCGATCTGATGACCGAGTAGCTGAAGTGTCATTTGCAGTGCCGAATGGTCACTGGGTGAGAAATGGAAGCCATTGGTGGGGGGTGCCTCATGATAGACAACAAACGAAAGAGCTCTAGCTATGTAGAGCGATATAGCGGCGGTGAAGGCAAAGCTGGCACAAAAGTATGTGTAGGTGGCTGTCCTAAGGTTAATTTCGGTAGCCTTGCAGGTGAGATACCAACTTACGGAACGCGCCCTGGTTACGCAACCACTGTAGTATTGACGCAACCTCCCTCGCTGAGTACAGCGAAGAAGTGTAAAAGCTTTGAAGTCTAACTCTGTAGTTGTCACCTTGTGAGTCCCCTGCGGCAGTCACCGGGGACTTTATGAGCCTTGTCTGCGAATTGAACCATTCGTTGTACGCATTGACCAGTGCCGGTCGGAGGAGGACTAGAATGGACTGCGAGACGTCAGATATTGTCCCTCAACATGGTCCAGACAGGTCGAACCTGGTGGTAGATAAGATATAAATTCGCGTTCACACGGTTCAAGTTTGTCCATGAGCCATCCCAGCCTCGGACAACCTTCAGAGCCGGTGGAAGCTCATTCTCCCAACCCAGCAAGGCCTGATGAAACTCGCTTATTTTGTCCAAGTGTTGCCGCGAAAGAGGACGGCTGAGCTCAAAGTCGAACAAGGAGATGTATGAGTAGGGATTGACAGCGGTCCCAGCGTAGCCGTATAATGACGAATACGCCTGGCTTCGCAGGCGCATGAGTTCTAGATGGATGTTCGAATCTTCGGCGTCAAAGAACTCCAACATCGCGTCGCCTGTAAGACGACTGGAATCTGCATAGTCAACAGTAATTTCATCATCCAAAACGCCCCATGGGCGCCCGGTGGTGGTCGTAGTTAAGCTACAGCCATAGAGTTAGTCCACAAACCACAAAGCTCTTAAGAGAATGTCCTGGAAGCAACGCACAGGTCCTGATAGTAAACGGTCCAAAAGAGCCTCTTCTGATGCTCAAGCTCCGCAGTAGACAGGTTCATTCTCTCTGAGAGGAAGTCATAGGGGCTTCGATGCAAGTCCAGTGCCAAAGCCGCGCGCATGCTGACACCGACATACATGTAGGCCGTATTGACTCGATTCATTGAAAACGCATAAAGCGCAAGAAGGCATAGAGTCTCGATGTATTGCACGTCCGGGTGCTCGGCCACTTGTTGAAGGAGGCTTACCGACTGATGATAGTACTCCGCCCCTGGTGGTTCAAGGTTGCTTGCTAAGGTAGATGTTGCTGACCCTAACGGGTCCTGAGGATCGATGTGAGTCTCTTTGTCGCTACTGTAAAGCTCCCCTAGTGCCACAATTGCGAGCCAATGACATAGCCATCCCTGGTCTTTGCTTTGCGGTGAGTCCGGCGATTGGTGCATCTGCCCAACTTTCGCACGAAGGTCTCTCCGTCGGAAGTAATGCTGCTCATGCCCAATGGAGGATTCGAGGACCTGGATTAGATGGATGCTATGGTTGTAAGGAGGGAGCCGGATCTTTACGGGTTTGGAGGTCCTCGAATTCACGGGAGGGCGAGAAAGTACGCTCTCGATGGAGATCTCCAGGGCAGGATCCGCGAGGTCGAAAGACGAGTGGCCCCACGTCGCCCAGGACGGATCAAAAGAACTTCCATCCTGTGTTAGTAATTCTGATCTCTGCGTTGCAATCCAGGTGACAAATTGCTCCGCAAAGGTCTGACAGGAGGGAGTGGCGCGATAGGTCGGCCGCCGACGATGTCCATCTTGGCTGTGGTTTGAACGACCTGAGCTGAAGTCCTTCTCCGGCCGGCGGTAGCTCCCACTGAGTTGTTGGCTGGAAGGCGTCGGTGTGGTCTCGACGGTGCTAGAATGCAATAATGGGTCGTCGGTAGAAGAGCCGGGAGCGGGAGTTGTATACTGCTGGTTTGTCGAGATCCTCTGCCTGCGAGACAATGGAAATACGCATGGCGACGACGAAAGGGCGCAGTTCCGGCACGGGATGCCTGCACGAGATGATCAGTCTTCAGCTCAATGTCATCAAAGAAGGATCTAATCACCTCCAAGACATTTGATTCGTTTTGTATGACATCGAGAGCACCTGTTGCCATCAGCCAGCAGCCCAGAAGACTAGGCATCCGGTCGTCTGGGAACCGTCTCAATGAACCTGGTACGTACGCTTGCTTCTTCCGTGGTGCGTAGTAGACCGGTTCGCGGTCCTGGGTCATAACGGGGTTATTCGAGGGCAGAATTTGCTCAGAGAGCGGTAGGGAGTGCGCCTGCCACATGCTCGGGGTCGCCGCAACTCGTCTTGTGGCATACTGCCCCTACTATACTACACCTGGCCATTCGAACCGTCGTTGATAAGAGTTTACTAGGTATGCAACAGACAGGAAGGGACAAGATACATTACGATCACGTGAGGCATTATTTTACGGTGGAGCATTGACTAACCTGCGGCAGATGAATCAGCCGCCTGCAGGTTCCAAGTTCCAAGTTCCACGTTGCGAGATCTATGCAACGCCTCCATCCTTCATCCTTCCCAACTGCGGGTCAACTGTCAACTGTGTACTCCGTACATTTCCCTTCCCTAGGTGCTCGCATACTCCTTGATGACACTCTTGGGCTCAACATAGACCCCTACAGGCTTGTACGCCATGTCATACCCAAAGGCCTTGGGACCACCATACTCCAACCCTCTTGGGGTGTCGGTCCACCGTGGCGAGCAAGCTATTCCAAGCACAGTCACCATCAGTCCATAGCGATACTCTGGGACCCCGAGTGCGAGGCCTGACTGGGTGTCGAGCACCGAAATGAGATCCGGAACAGTCGCGAGGTACGTCTCGCTGCCGTCGTCGCTGATATGCTTTGCGTAGATGTTTTCGTTTTTAAACGGGATTTTCACCACTCCACCTTCGGCAACGGCTGCACTTTCATGGCTATTCTCCTCTTCGTCCTCCTGTATCTGTTTGATGGTGATTTCTCCATATGAATGTCCTTTGAACAGTCTGCGCTCAACCCCTACAATCTTCCCTCTAAAGAGAATCTTGGCAGTCGAAGGGCCACCGACAGCATCGATGATTTGTTCGGCCACGGTATGAACGGTATTTTCTTGCTGTGCGCGTGCGACCGACCTACCGATGCGCCAGGCTAGCGACACAGTGTTCAACACTCCATAATTCCTTACGTGGCGCGCCGTCGTCGGTCGAGCTGCCATTCCCACACGAGAACCCATCTCGGAGCAAGACGCACGCAGCGCACGATCGACAATCTCGTCGTTTGGAGCTTTGGTCATAATGATTGTCTTTCCATCCCCGGAGGCGATGGCGCATGGAGTCAATTGGCCAGGTTCGTAGACTGCCAGGGTAGTCTGCCAGTATGTCGGATATGCTCGGCCTGGGATCCTGTTAGCACAAGTCCAACGCAAAGTGGGCTCTATAGGCCTGGTGTACGAACCCATCCAATCGCCGTCAATCACAGGCCGGCCAAATGCCTTCGAAGATCCTATAAGCATAGGTTCAAGTCCATTAGCGCCGCCGATTTCGAGCCCCATGATAGCGTCGAACGACTTGTGGCCGAAATGCTCCATCAAGTCTGCCACGGCATGAATGCATTCCGACGAATTTAGTCGCTCAATCGACACGGCTGGCGAACCCATCATGCCGCCCCCTGCAGATTTGTCAATTTTACATTCGTACACGAGGTAGCTCCGTCTCTCAACTTACAGTATATCAGAGAATTCTCCGCGAGCGACGAGCTATCAATGATTCGGACGGAATGACCCGCACGAACCTGATCACGGAGCTTGAGAAATTCAGCTTTAGGTGATCCGCCTCCTGCACATCCCAAGATGTAACATCCATCCCTGATCCATTCGAGGTCTTTTTCGCAGAGAACCCATTCATCGTTGCCTGTCTCAGGGTTGAGCACGACCTTCGGTCGATACGCGTCAAAGTCAAAACGGGCGTGCGTCTCTAATGTTGACAACGCCTCCGGTTTGGACGCAGTTTCAGAGAATTTTTCGTCACTTTTGTCATCTTCATTTCCGAGACTCTTGCTGTTCGAAATGTAGCTGGTGGAGAGATCTCCAACTGCCTTTACTATCACCCGGATCTGGCCAGCAACATAGGGGATTGGCAAGGTCTCGACGTCCACCACCGAGACGGAGTCTGGGTCTGCTCCGGCGGCCACGGCGTTCGCAACGGCCTGAATCTTTGCGTGTTCCAGCACCTCAGCCACTGTCAGATCCGCAGTCACGTAGATAGTGTCGACAGTTCCGCAAACACGGGAGATTGCGGCTCCCACTGCATTGGCCACAGAATGGAATTTTGGTACGATGACTTCAGTAACACCTTCCAACTCTGAGGGGCATACAATTGACCCTCCACCTACCAGCAGGACTGGAAGTGGTGTTGGCGTCAGCTTCAGTTTGTCAATCACGTTCTCCAGCATCTTCTTGATTCGGGCTCGCGTCTGGCTGATCAGTTCAGGATCTAGGTCGCTGACCTTCGTGGGGTCGCCTATCTGAAGCCCGCCTGCAGCAGCGATGTCGGTGGTCGTCAGGACATCGCCACCGAAAACTCTTGCCTTTGTCGTGAGCTGATATCCAACGGAGTCTGGACCAACCGTGACATCAGAGTCGCCTTTGCGGACGATAGATCCACCACCAAGACCGATGGACTCTAGATGAGGCATAGGAAAATTCATAGTCACGCCGGCAACAGTGACGTACGCACTTGCTGCTCGGGGAAAGCCTGATGGCAGGAGGACGCCGCAATCTGTAGTTGTCCCTCCCACATCGGCAACGATCGTCGACACCCGTTCCTCGTCCTTGCGCCCGGACTGCGCAAGACCAAGGTACGCTGCACCTCGCATGGAGTTCGTAGGCCCCGATGAGAACGTCTTGATCGGCAATTTTGCAGCAGAGGCTGAATCAATCACCGTGCCATCGTTTTGGGAAATGAATAGAGAACAATTAAGTCCTAGCCGCCTCATCGCCCCTTGGAAACCTCGAATGGTGCGTCTGGCGAATCTGAGAATGGACGCATTCAGGATGGAGGCGTTTTCTCTTTCGAGCAGACCAATATTGGATACTTCAGACGAGCAAACGATGTCCACGCCCGGTAACCGCTCTTGCATGATTTTCCGGACACGACTTTCCTGTTCGAAATGTTTGTCGATGGGCGAGAACACACCCGAAATCACCACGGCATTGAGCCCTTGCTCTCGAATTTTCTCGCATTCTTTTATGATTTGCTCCTCGTTGATTGGCGCTTCCTCTGAACCATCGATGTGGAGGCCTCCGTCGACAAATCCGCAGTAACCCTTCAAGAGTTGAGTAAGGTCTGGCGGGAAATCTGAGAAGGGCGGAATATCCTTGGTAAAGCTCTTGGATAGCCTGATAACTCCCACTTTGGATAGCCGGCGGGTGTCGCGTTCGATGACAGCATTCAGGAAGTGAGTTGTCCCTATGATCAGACAGGAAATTTCTGATGCGCTGTCTCCCCCAAGCTGGGCCAGTACGTTGCCGACAGCTGCCTCAATACCATCGGTCACATCTGGGCTCGTTGTCGGCGTTTTATGAAAGGCGAGCACTCCACGATTCGACTGGTTTACGGCGTCCAAGTCAAGAATAACCGCGTCGGTGTTAGTGCCGCCAACGTCGACACCAACTCTGAGAGCTCTCGGCTGTCGGATAGATCCCATATTGTCGAGGCTGCACAGTACTACTTGGTGATTTGCGGCAAGCCGAGGCCAGTTTATTCACGCGGTTGGCTTATATACAGCCATGAATCCAAAGCAGAACGCCTTGTCTGATCGACGGATCAAATTGGTAATGTTTGAATACCTAGCGTCTGTCGCTAGGTCTTCGAAGCCACAATCTTGAGGAGATCAAGCTGGCGGAGAATACCAGACAATAGGTGACACATGATTATTGAAGCCATCAAGTAAAATGTGCATGTCTGGGAAACCAGAATGTTTCTTGGACATTACGAAACCAACATGAGAACTGTCGTCCCCAAGGTTAAGGTTCCCTAAAGAAAGGGCGTACAGTGCCCACAGATAGGTTGAGATAGGCTTTGATATTCTCATCCGTTGCTGTGATTGGTCGCACTGACTACAAGATAGGGATCATAGCGTGAGCACGGAGATGTCCCCAGGATCAAAAGCCAATCGGGCCAAGAGACATCTCTCGATAGGTACCACGGTCTCCGCTGGCTGGCTGGGCTTTTGGTACGAGTACTATCCACAGACCTGCCATACGCCGATCTTCGCAGCAGAAAAGGGCCAGAAGGCTGTGTCTTTTAGCTTCACCCTCATGAACCTATCGCTGTTTATGCTCCTATTGATGTACCGCGTGGGGCCCCTCAGAGCCGTCCTTCTCAGGAGATATCGCTATGGTCGGCCTAACGCCACCGCACAGTCGCCTGCCTGTTTGGTGAGCTGATATCTCCGATGAGAAGATACTGGCACCTTGATGGAATTACTGACTTGTATAGAAGCCCTGCGACAACTTTGCTAGTCGCGCCACTTATAAGATGAATCCTGGGAGCCCCTGAAGAGCGATCCATTCCTTCTACCCAAACGGGCCTGCGCTCGAATCTGCTTCTCCCTCTCCGAGTTGACGCACAAGAAGCATTCCACGAAGATGTCGTTTGGAAGAAAGATTCGCGGATTGACTCCTCGCTCATTCCAGCTTCGGCTTCAGGGAGAGTCCTCCGTTTGGATCAACGATGACATCCGACCACTGCCACCCTCCCGCCGCCTCTGGGACATGTGGGCATACATATCCTTCTGGGCCATCAACCAGATTGCTCTGAGTAACTGGCAGATTGGTGCCTCGCTGATTGCGGTTGGGCTCTCAGTCTGGCAAACAATGATTGCAGTCATCATCGGCAAGATCATCATATCTGGGGTGGCTATCTGCAACGGGGCTATCGGTGCTCGCTGGCATATTGGTTTCCCTGTGCTATCGCGAGGGATCTGGGGAGTCTATGGGGCGTACATCATCATCGTTCAGCGCATCGTTCTCAGCTTGACCTGGTTCGCAGTTCAATCATGGACAGGAGGGCTTTGCGTCACGGCAGTGTTGAGTTCGATCTTCTCCTCCTTCCACCACATGCACAACACTCTTCCCGAGTCCGCCAACACCACCACCAAGAACTTGGTTGGGTGGGTGGTGTACAATATCATCACCATCCCCATCCTCTACATTCCTCCGGAAAAGACTCGACGGCTGCTTTACGTCATGAACACTATCTCGGTCATCACGCTCATCTCTATTATGATCTATGTCTTGTCGACGGCAGGCGGCGCCGGGCCGTTGCTCTCAGCGCCGGCAACAGCAAAGTCTGGCAGTCAGCTAGGCTGGGCTATTGTACAGGGTATCACGACCGTGATTGGCGGTATTGCCGTCGGGCTGACCAACCAAGCCGACTACTCACGGTTTGCTCGACGTCCTGGAGATCAGATCTTCGGGCAATGGTTTTCGATTCTCACCCTGGGTACGATATTGCCGCTCTTCGGGTGTCTAACAAGTTCTGCATCTGTGAAGCTCTATGGCGAAGCCTACTGGAACCCACCGGATTTGTTGCTGCGATGGCTTGATGACGACTATAACTCCAAAGCTCGAGCAGGAGCTTTCTTCGCTGGGGTAGGGCTTGTGGTGTGCCAACTAGCCATCAACACCATCGACAACGCTTTCTCTGCAGGGATGGACATGGCAGGCTTCGTCCCAAAGTACTTTAACATCCGGCGAGGCGCCTACTTTGCCCTTGTCCTCTCGATTGCCATGTGCCCGTGGGAGCTACTCGCCTCGGCAGGGACCTTCATCAGCGTTATGGGGGCATACTCGGTCTTCCTGGGCCCGATGTGCGGCATTCAGATCTGCGACTACTTCCTTATCCGACGTCGACGGGTCAAGCTCTCCGACCTCTACACTCCGTCTTCGTCTGGAATTTATTACTACTTTCGTGGCGTTAACTTGCGCGCGTTCGCGGCCTGGGTGTGTGGCTGGGCACCTCAGCTCCCGGGATTCATTGCCAACGTCAACAGCAGCGTCTCCGTGCCCAAAGCAAGTATGGAAATGTTCTACCTCGCCTTTCCCCTAGGCCTGGCCATCAGCTTCACTATCTACTACGTGCTGAACAGGGTGTTTCCGCCTCAAGGAGTCGGCGAGTACGATGATGTCGATTACTACGGGACGTTTAGTCTCGATGAGGGAGCTCAGCTTGGAATCTCTCCTCTGGAAGAGATCAATGGAGAGGAGACGATGACGGAGAAGGGCGCCATGAATGAACGAGTCACTCGGGAGAAGTGATGGATGGTGCAACAGATTGAGATTAATTCCTTGACTAGAAGACGGGAGAGCTATTCATGTGTTATAGATCGCTTTGCAGGAGGGTAGATTGTATACGGAGTACATTTCTCTACCACAGATGTCAGAATCCATGATGCCACTTTCGGTGCGTGTTGCGATTGGGTTGTTTTTCTTTGGCCTAGGCATCGGTGTGTGATGAGACAAGAGCAGCTCTTCAGGCATCTTTCAGAAGCGGCTCTTCAGGCATCTTTCAGTTCAAGGACAGTGCAGAGTAAAGTTGGCAAACTTAGTGCTCGAGTGCACGGATAATCAAGTTGGGGGACGAGGCGAACTTGAAAGGGAACCATCGAGCTTAGGGCGGCGAGACCGCTAGTACCAGCGTGGAAAGGGTCTCGTCATGTCCATCTTGGCGACATGTTCCGCCGTAGCAGTACTTACTATTAGGTACTTTGCATTGATCAACGTGCAGTGCAGACAAAGTTGTGGGACGCAACATGCATGTTTATTGTTTCTTGTTTGGCCTGGTAGCGTATCTCGTGAAAAGGTCTGCTTTCAGCCTCAGCCTCGGCCTTAGAGCCAGGGCCAGGCCCAGCATCCCTATTAATTACCCCATGACAGGGGACGCTTACCGGCCGTAGAAACCAGTGAACTCGTCGCTATCGGCCGAAAGCTTCGCACTCGGACGGGACGCAATGCTAATGGTTCAAGTTTAAGTTCACCATTTACCACTTACCACTTTGCGAAGATCCCAATAGAGAAGTCATCTTGTTATATTATAATAGATAAGTCGTTCATTCCTTCTGCTTCCTCGTACTTGTTTGTCCTGGACTCGTTACATCCCATCCCAGCGAAACGGTCCCAGGATAGAAGGTTGAGTACCTACCAATACTCTGTATCTGCGCCCAGCATCTTGCCTCCCATCCGTCATACACTTACTCCAATTTTCGTTTGGTGGAACCGAGGGTTAAGCTCCCAGCATCTTGCCTCCCACCCGTCATACACTTACTCGTTTTTTGGTTGGTGGAACTCCATCAGTGGTCGAGGGTGGAGGTTGGAAAGATGGCGGAATCCCAAAAGAGAATCGTCATCATCGGGGGTTCTTACGGCGGCCTGTCAACTGCCCACTATCTCCTCAAGCATGTGGTTCCTCAACTGCCCGAGAAAGAATCGTACCAGGTCGTTCTGGTCAGCGCCGCAGATCAGGTCCTGTGCCGGCCGGCATGTCCTCGCGCGTTGATCTCGGACGACTTGTTACCCCAAGACAAGCTCTTCGTTAGCATTCCGAAATTGTTTGACCAGTACCCCAAAGGCAGCTTCAGCTTCCTCAACGGCACAGCCACCGAGCTCGAGCACACCAGCCGAACCGTCTCTGTTAGATTGGCCGCTGGCGGTGGGAGTAGCACCGAGAAGATCGATTACTACGCCCTCGTCATCGCCACCGGCGCGTCTACGCCGTCCCCCCTGCTCAGTCTCAACCGCGATATCGAATTCCTACGGACAAAGTGGGCCCAGTTTCGGAAAGCCTTGCCCACCGTCAAGAGCATCATCATCGCCGGTGGAGGTCCTGCAGGTGTCGAGACGGCTGGCGAGCTGGGTGAATACCTGAATGGCCGCGCCGGCAGGTTCGCCTCGAAGCTGGCCAATCCTAGAGTCGCCATTACGGTCGTGACAGCCGGCTCCGACATCCTGCCCGCGCTTCGACCCGCCATTGCAAAAAAGGCTGAGCATTATCTCGCCCAAGTGGGCGTGACCGTCATCAAGCAGGCCAGAGTCAAGGCTGTGACGCCAGAGGGTGCAGGGACGGACGACGTTTCAGCCAAGGCGACAGTTACCCTGGAGGATGGCAAGACACTCGAGGCCGACTTGTACATCCCGGCGACTGGAATGACACCAAACACCGGTTTCATCGCCGATAAAAGCCTTCTGGTTGCAGACGGCCGCGTCGACACCAATGCCTCGACCTTGCGGGTCGACAAAGCCGGTCCACGCGTCTACGCCATCGGCGACGTGGCTTCGACCGCACGACCCGCCGTCCATCTCATCTTCCCTGCCATCCCCGTGCTCGGCGCCAACATCAAGCGCGATCTCCTGCTGGCCGCGGGGAAAGAGGACAAGTCCGTCGGCAAGGACAGGGGGTTCAAGGAGGACACTCGAGAGACGCAGATGGTGCCTATCGGCAAGGGCAGAGGAGTGGGTGCAGCCGCTGGATTCCAGCTGCCCAGCTTCATGGTGTGGCTGATCAAGGGCCGCGACTACTGGTTATGGACGACGGGCAATCTGTGGAGCGGAAAACAGTGGGCGAAAGAATCTTGATAAAGCAGGGGGGAGAGTGGACGATTTCCTATTCAGACCTGTACTGCAGGGGATGGGACGCATCGCTCGGAGGAGTTCCTTTCATCGTGGTTGATCAATCGCGGAGGTGAAGGCTCAAGAAACACATAGGAAAGTACGGCAGAAGTAGAGATTAAGTCGACCGATGCTGCTTTTAAGATGCGTTACGTCTTAGTAACAGGTCGGGGACTGCTAGAGCTGTAGCCTATGACGGAGTCAGCCCACCCTGTGAGGATAGGGCAGCGTCACCTCGGCAGGTGTTACTCGTCTTGGCATGTTTACTCGTTCCGTAGCACTCAAGTTGGACATGATCTAGCAATGAATGACAAGTCCCGCCTCGTTGTATTGAACTATCTGTACTTGCTCTGGCACTGAGCTGAAGGACGCTTGACGGTATTGCGACCCATCATCCCAGACCAAGGCCGTGGAAACTCCTGCGAAACGCGATACAACCATGCCTGCACGCGTCTCCGCCTCGCCCTCACCCGCCCCAGAAGTGCCAGTCGCGGCAGCACCAGGCCCTCGTGCGGCAGCACTGCACAAAGTGTTCGCAGGTGCCTTGTCATCGTCCATCAAAGCCAACTCGTACGCCAATTTTAGCTCCTGTTTCCCCACCCCTGCCAAGTACTGTCCGACGGCGCTGGAAGGAGTTTGGAGGCAGCTGAATGCGCGGCTGGAAGAAGAGTGCACGCGTGATTTTGAGAAGATCCTAGAAGAGAGACATGTCATCGAGGGCCTGAATCAGTGGGACATCTTGATCGAGGATGCACGAAGAAGGAAGAATAGAGCGGTTGAAGGGGATATGCCCGATCGACCGTGAGTTGAGCCCGGTGCCCCCGAATCGTTCGTGCACGCTGACCTGTAACAGTCTGCATACCCTTTCAGCCCAAGAACTGTACTGCGCTCATCTATCCCCCTTTTTGCAACAAGCCGCGAACGAACTGGAGTCGAAGCTGCAAGCAACGCAGCAACATAATGCAGCGATGATGGCAACAATTGGCAGACAACAAGCCGAGTTGGAACAACTATTGAATGGCCTAGAAGCGGCTGTCAAAGACATTGAAGGCAGCGTCCAAGCAATGCACTCAGATGAACAAGGGGTTCCTGCACAACTGAGGAGTGACGTGTGGCAGATGGAACAAGAGCTTGCTGCGACGAGGTGAATGTGCATGTTGAGCCACGAAGAGCATGATACGGATGATCCTAATATTAGCATTGGCGTTGGCGGCGTTCTGGGTCACATCGGACTATCGCACAAGAGTAGAAGCAACAATTTCCAGTCCGAACAGCATGTCTCAGAGACTCTTAAGGGAACGGCTGGCGGGCAACTGGAGTTATCAGGGTAGATGCCATATTCGCGCAGAGAGGGTGTCACGATGTGCCGCCGGGTGATACTGATAGGCTGTTGGAAAAGGTATGCTACGAACACTGTGAGAGCCTGGCTGGAGAGAGTGTTTAGAGGCGTCAAACTGTCCTGTTCGGATGGTCATGTTCGGATGGTGTTGTTCGGATGCTGTGAGCTGAAGTAAATTAGATTCTGGTCTGATCAAACGGCTGCACAGAGCCGATCCCTGGACCAAAAACATGCATAGGACGGCTGGAGGATGAAGGAAGAACGAAGCCTTGAATTGTGGTGGAGGCGAGGCTGGCCACTCGCAGTCCATTTCGGAGCCAAGACACTGAGAGCTCTCTCGCCGCGTCAATTTGAGTTCCGTGAGTCTACTCCGTACTTCGTCCTCTGTACCTCTTCTCCAGCTCAGGATTCACACTCGCTGATGATTGCGTTGCTCCACTGCAGTGGCAGATGGCAAGCTCCCATGGGCAGGAAGCCCTCTTTTGGCCGAAATCCCATCTGACAGTCGCTAGTTCTGTCCTACAGTACGAGACGGAGCAGGATCGTGTACGCCGGTGCAGCTAGTCATGATTAGCTGCTCTCTGCGCTCTGCTCTCTGGCCTGGTTTTCCACCTCTCCAGCAATCATGATCATGGACGACCAACGGCAAGCAGCGCAGAGCGACGATCTGCGACTGGCTGGCATTTCTGCTCGACTAACTCAACCCGGCTATTTGTTTGCGGCTGGAAATTGAGGCTCGGGGAGGGGCGGCCGAATTTGCCCCCCATTTGCACGACATCCAATTAAGGTTTGATATTGAGATTGCACGCCCGCCGCCGCCATCACCAACTTCCAAGTCAACTGCCCACATGCCCATCGTCCGTCCCTGGTCGCAAGCCCAGGTCCTAGGTCTCAGGTCCCATGTCCCTCGCCATCAGCCCAGCATCCCACCGGCAAATCCACGCTGCTGGCTGGCTGGCGGGCTGACTGGCTCGCTTCCGTTCTCGATCACCTTCTCTCGCCTGCGACTACGGATCACTGCTAGTACGATTCCTACGATTGCTCCGAAAACCTGGCTATCCGCCGTCCGGTTCCTTCGCCCAGGAACCTGGCCCCGATGGAAGCCTCGATCTTAGGGCTTTCGCGAACATAACGCGCCAACACACTTCCCCGGTCCCTGCTAGTTGGAGGTGGCGTTGCTTGCGCAATATCACGATGTACAGACGCGTGCGACAAGTTTTTCGGAGATGCTATCTTTGCTGTCGTGCGTCGAGTCAGAAGTGCTTTCCCGACGTACAAGAAGTCAAATGCCTCCCATTGATCGATTCTCTATTCTTTGTTTACATTTGATGACAGCATCTTGCGTCTGTCTGCATATACAATTTCGGCATCTCCACAAACTCTGTTATTTCCCCCCGTCTTGATTGGCTTGGTCGAGGAAGTCTCAACCCTCCGCCCCTCATTGTCTTTCCTCTCCAGCTGTTCTCCTCGTGTGGGCGGCTCAAGCCTCGTGGTGGCCCTCCGTCGGCAACAAGGCCCATCCCAACTCAGGTGGCAGTCAAGGTTTTACTCATCGCGTCTGAGGTCAACAACTCCATCCGCTCGTCAATCGTCTTGTTCGTCTCAAGACACGTCCTCACCCACACCTTCAACTTCATCTTGATCCCACAGTATTCACAAGTGATCTTCGCCCTGGCGAACTGTACTCTGTATGTATGTCGTCTCTGAACAGCAGGGTGTGCCACTGGATCAAAGCTCTCAGCTACATACCGGCGATATAGCCGGGTCATAGTTCAATCATCCTTGCTCAGCACGCGCCAACCCGTCACACAGTCCTATGGAGAAACGTGTCAGAATATGGACGCTTGGATCCCTTGCGGGTGTCTTCAGCACTGCCAGCAGCATTGTGAACCTCATTGTCGCTCTCAACATCACCGTGCTGCCGGCTTTACGAATCCTATTGTTTGTCAGTTTCGGTATTAGCCTGCTGAATCTGGCAAACCTTGCCTATTTCGCAACATTCTATGTCAGGGTCCTGAACAGCCATCCAGTTTTCTCGAAGGCGAAAACATGGAGTTGCCTCACCGCCGGCACAATTGCTGCTGCAGTCAGCGTGGCCGTCCCCGGTGCAGCATTGGTCTGGCTGGCCTTGAGGCATAGCGATCTTCCGCAGAAGATTCTAGATGCGGCTCCGTTCACACTGCTCGGAATCAGCCTAGGGACTTGGGCGGCTTCAGCTCTTTCGCAGCTTATTCTCTACTGTATGTTTTGGTTGTGGACCAAGAGCGCGCTTAAGACACGACGGAAAAGCAGATTGGACATGGATTTCGGTATCAGAGCAACATCCGTGTCGATGATCAGAAGACCCAGTACTCAGCATACGAGTGTATCTTTCGGCTCGCAAGATCCCACGGTGAACTCACCACCGAGAACTCCGATCTCAAAAGCAACGTCCAGTCTACAAGGATCTTCCTCGACGAAAGTCGGGCCTGGGTCATCCCGAACCAAGCTTATTCGACATTCTAATCACTCATCATTCGAAGGTAGACCTTTCCCTGCGGGAGAGGCCATGAGCATCGATAGTGCATTCGGCAATTGGGACACCTCTTCTGCTCATCACGAGATGCGGGCTGTCATACCCTCGTCCCCCCCTGTCGCTCGGACAGGGCTAGAGACAATACCGGGTAGCAGGTCGGAGTCCCCGGCCAATGGCTTGGACGGGCCATTCGTTCCAGAAACTCCCGTGTCAAGCTCGCCACATGCAACAACGTCTGACTCGGTGACCATGATCGGCTGGAGCTCTTCTCCAAGAGAGCCCAAATCATCCCCACCATCGAGTCCCCCAAATTTCTCCCGACCAACATCTTCACCGTACCGCAAACCTCCTCCGAGTTTCGAACGGTTCGATCCTGCCATGCATGAGCTGGTCCATCCGTTGTTCCGACCAAATAGCCCTCGGCCGCCTCCTGTCCCCCTTGGAGGGACAGCAATCACCGTGTCGCCGTTGGCAGATCATTTGATCTCTCCCAGCACGCTGACGGTGCATCGCAAAGCAATGCCCAGTATTGCCGGATCGGAGACACAGAGTGTGGATGACTCCGTACCGGACAGTCCCACTCTCGGCAGTCCTTCTCTTGGAAGTCCTGGGCCGTCGATTGTTGATGATGATGAGCTACCTCCTATACTCCCTGGGTTTGTGCTATCGGCCGGGTCGCGCACTAGTCTGGTGGGATACGGGAAACGAAAAGGATTCAGACAAGATCGCCCCAAGTCCCATTTATCGAGTGGAAATCGCTTGAGTGGGCATTTGATCTGAGTCTTTGTGTGTTTCCACCCGCTGCTTCTCGCACCGTGGGGGTTTGAATGTGATATCATGTGTTTTAGTACAATGGCCGGCATTTCAGCAAGGCGTTTGGAGGCCATGGTGGCGGGTTGATTTGACGTACAGCAAGGGTATGAGAAGGGCTCACAGAGACCATGATGTATGAAGAATTTAAGTAATCGCTATTGCTCAATCTGTACTGAGTACTTGCTGTGTACCGCATGGGTGAAATGCCATCCAAAGCATATGCTCCTCCGCAGCGCCAGACGGCGGCTGGCGTCGGCTCGAGCCGAGACCTTAGGTCGCTAAACCTAACCTGGCTTAGCATGACTGGGCCCCCACGGGTAGAAAGCAGCAAGGACACCAACTGAATAGGTCTAACTCCGTCATGTCCGAAGACCCTGTGTCCTCCTACCAATACAGCGCCCCCCGACCCGTTGCAGTTAGTGGCTAGGAGCTTACGGCGGCGTGGCACAGAAAATGCTTCAACTTCCAATCCTCTCACCACTACTACCTAGTAGTCAGCAACAATCAAGACCTGATACTCAACACAGAACATCAATCACAACACAAGCCCCCCTTCTTTATTCACTCCGGTCCACTGCATCATGGCTTTCTGCCGCACCCTGCAGCCTCCGGGCCTGGATGGCATCAATAACATTAGCGCTTTGTATTGTTCATCCACAGCCCGAACAAATACCTCTCTCGAATGCCTTCATCTCTTCCCTTGCACTTCAACCATCCGCTCTCACACCTGGACCTCGCGCAAAGCTTCACCTCTGTGGCTACAGTATCTATCGCAGCTGCTCTCTCATGACTTCACCCAATCATCCTTAACCAAGGCCTCGTCGTCGGCTTGCGCCCGTCTACATATCCGCCGCTCCTTGCGTTTTGGAACCGCGACCAAGGGATATTTTGGCGCTTCCACCTCGCAGTCAGTCAATCACACTTCGACTGTCCGACGAGTCTCTCCTACCTCTGGGAGAATCCTCTCATCCCGCTGCCTATCGCAGAGACAACTTCATCGTAAGAAACAGCTCAGGTAAGTCATCCGCTTCCGAAAGCTGTTGCTTCTCTCACTCCCCACTCTGCATCAACTCACCTAGTTGAGGTGGTGTCTTTCCACACTCCATGTTATGTCGAGCTAGGTTGATTCCCCGGGCTGCAAGGATTCGATGTCTCCCTTGTTCACGATATCAGGATGGCCACTGACTTTCATTTCCAGAAACATGGCAATCAAGTCAGGAACCCGGCCAGCTGTTGTCTTTCACATGACGACTCGGAGCCATGCTGCGAGGAAGCCGACGCCAGAGGTGAATTCGTCATCAGACAGTTCGCCTCCGTCTTCTGGCTCTTCCTCGTTGGCGGCGACCCCTAGTCTTCAAGTAAAAGGCAACAAGAGGAAAGCCTCCGAGGCGAGCTCGGATGACTCTGAGGAGGCCATTGAGGCCAAAAGGCACTGCCCGGAGCCAGAGGTGAAGGTGCCTGAGGTGCGCGAAGAACCTAACACCCTCGACTATAAGAGCCAGCAATACTGGCCAAAGTACAACCCCGACAAGCCGGTGTACTACACCAGTACCGGGACCAGGTTCCGTCCGGGCTCGGCCAGTGGTACCCCGGAGTCCCGGTCGCCCAGGAAGTCCACCCGGGGAGGTGGCCGTGGCCGCGGAGGGGGTCACGCAAACAACGGTGGCCGGAGGGGCAAGCAGAAGGGCCGGGGTGGCCGGGGCGGAGAAAGCCCAGATCCACCAAATCGACGGCGTCCTTTGACGCAAGATGAGCGGGTGGAGATCTCCATGCTCAAGGCAAGACAGCAAGAACTCAAGCGGTTCTTCAAAGTCGTGGGCGGCCAGCAAATCGACATCCTCGACCAGTTGGCAGTCAGGGATATGTCCAAGATCTCTCGAAAGCCCAAAGCGCACAAACATGTCCCAGAGCACGAAATGGTCACAGATGCTCTGAAGGAGCTCATGGAAGACACGCAAGACATGATCAAGGCAAGATACCGTGTGCAATCCGAGCATGAAGAACAGCGGATGAGGCAGGAAAAGGAGGTCATTGAACAACAGTACCAGACACACGTGGCCGAAGCCCGCAACGAGCATCTTGCTGGTGCTGAAGGAGATATCATTCTATTCGAAAGGGCCTACCGGGCAGCACACGATGATACTCATACCGAATCCGGCTCCGACCTGGACTATTTCCCTCACTACCACGAACTTCCTGAAGCAAACACCCAGCCACGAGGCTATGTGTCCAGCAAGATCATGGATGAAAAACCATTCAAGCAACAGCTAGCATCATTCGATGAGCAGGCACGTCAAGAGGTTCTGAACGAAGACGTCATTGCGCCACTCCTCACGAATATGGAACGACGCAACAATGAGTGGCGAGAAGAACAAATCCGGAAGAAATCGCAGAACCTCGACGCCCTGTCGGCGGAAGCCATCAAGGAACTTGAAAACATCAAAGGGTACCTTGTCCCGAGGCCGTTCAAGATGGATGATAGTAATTCCTACGCCTTATCGGCACTGGCCGATGTTTCGGAATGGACTGCACAACAGCAGCCGGAGCGTCAGTACATTTACATGCCGTTGGCACCGGGGGACAGTTTTCCACGAGAAGGACTCGACTTTACCCCCCTTCCGGGCCAGCCGCATCCCGTCAGTCGTCCAGCATCGTCGGGCCAGTTTAATTATGCAACGAACGGTCCGTTCTCGACACTCCTCCCCCACCCAGCTCCAGCTCCAGCTCCGCTGGCCACGACCGGACCTAGCGATCGAACATTACCTCGAATCGTGTCAAGTGGACGTGGTCAACCTATTGCTCCGGCACCACCCAAGCAGTCTGTCATTCGACCGACAGGTCCGTCACTGTTTCGATACGGCACACGGCTAGGTTCAGGCTCACAAGCTTTGCCAACGTTGGCACCCGTGCCACAACAGTACATCTTTCAACCACCACAGCAACCTTATCAACATCAACCTGCTCCTCGGCCAGCCTCTGCGTCTCAATATGGCCAACCAAGTGCAGGTGCTCCGGTCGGACAGCAGAGCAAGATTCCCATCACTTTTGTCAATCAAACCATCGCAAGTAGGAATGCGGCGTCAACATCGTCGCCCGTAAACGGGAATGTTAATGCCAATGGCAAGGGTGGACAGAGAATGTTGCTGCCGAAGGTGTGAAGGGGAATCGAGGCTGTGGAGGATGTGAAGGGGAATCGAGGCCCGGGGAGGATATGTGAGGCCAGTTCAGATCAGTTTCGACGAGAGATGAAAGATGCTGGTGAGGCAGCCGAGACTGGTATAGCAGCTGGAGGGAGTGTCAGGGATTAGCATATCATTTCCTGCATTACGAGGGACGGTCAGGCAGTACAACGCCATGGCCGAGTTCCTGGTCCGGTGTTTTACAATCCAGTCAGTGCTACAGTAAGGTACGGAGTACCTAGGTGCTTTACCAGGTACCTACCTTAGGTAGATCTACTGAGTACACATACAGTACACATATTACACACACGGTCAGACAATCGAGACCACAGATTGAACCTGCGCCCGTTACGGAGCACGGAGTACAGTACGCAATACTCCGTACTGCTGTCACGATGCCACGGCCAGCCACCGACATCACCGCGAGTGCTCCGATGCAGGCTTGAGGTTGATGCCGAGAAACTAAGCTGAGATTCAAGGGTTTGAGTGGTAGGTGAGTGGTGCGTGGTGCGTGGTGCGTGGTGCTCCCGCCCTCCCTTCGTTGGCCTTTATCCATAACATACCAACTAATTAGGCCCGGCATCTGCCTAATCTACCTACTAGGTGCCTACTGTAACCTACCTACTACCTAACCTATAGGTACCTAGGTACCTAGGTACTGGCCTTCTTCCCAGCCACCATGGTACCTAATGTATGTATGTGCTGCGACTGCGTACGATACTACGTAGGTACTCTGTACTCTGTACTCTGTACAAGTATAGGAAATGGCAGATGACAGATGACAGATGACAGATGACAGATCAACCACCCTCGTCCTCCATCCTCCATCCTCCATCCTCCATCCTCCCTCCTCTTACGAAAGCCCAGCTCTCCCCTCCTCTCGCTCTCCTTCGCCTTCACCAATCGCCAATCGCCATCTCCGCTGCACGGATATATACCACAGCAACCTTGAACGCGGCCGTTAGGCCTCAGGCTCTTCGGCCAATGCCTTCAGCCTGCGTATTGGCGCCTCAGCCCCGCCCCCAGCTTTTGCGGTAGGATCCTGCTCTCGTCAGTGGTGCCCGCGGCGTGCACCCTGCTAGACTGTGTGAGATGAAGTCATAGCCACGGGTTGAGGCCATCAAGGCATCCTCCCTTGCCTAGCACCAAGCACCAAGCTCAGCACTCATCCTGCCATGGTCCTCTGATCATCTGGCCAAGCACCAAGCTCAGCACTCTCCCTGCCATGGTCCTCTGATCATCTGGACAATACTCCTACTCGTACTCCGTACTCGTATACGTCGATCACTTGGCGGGTACATTGGAGGAAGGGAGAAAAGGGAACAAGGTAGAGGAGTAGGAGTTTATTCAATAAGAAAGATCGTCTGTGTCGCCGCAGATGCCTGATCTGTCATCCCTCTGTTGCTTGTCTGACACTTGCGCTGCGTCTCAACTCTCCTTCTGCCGTTGTCTGACCATTGCGCTGCATCTCAACTCTCCTCCTGTTGTTGTTCTATTCTTTGCTGCGTCTCAACTCTCCTTCTGCCGTTGTTCTATTCTTTGCAGACTGATCGAATTTCAACGGTACGGTCGCCTGTGCCTCGGAGAGAACAGTGGTGAATCCAGACACCTAGTCGATTCAGTCCCGTGTTCGGCAGGTAACACCTAGTCGACTCAGTCCCCCTTCGACAGGTACCTCCCTCTCTTGCAGTCGCCAGGGATGTCGGTCTCGGACCAACCCACCATCGCCAAAGGCGACGCGACCCACGAAAAGCAGACATCGGCCAGCGACACGACCCACGAAAAACAGACATCGGCCATTGACACGACCCACGAAAAACAGACATCGGCCATTGACCCTCCCGCCGGGAAAGAAAAACATCTGGGTGTCACCGGTCCCGAGTTGGAGGCCTACAACATCGACGGTGGCCGCTCCAAACGGATAGACGGCAAGGTCGAACTGACCGAGGAAGACGTGTATGACAAACTGGGCTATTGCTTCCCGGGGTGGAAGAAATGGATGATCCTGGTGGTCATCCTTCTGATCCAAACCTCCATGAACCTCAACGCCAGCATCTACGCCAACGGGGTCGACGGCTTAGCCGAGAAATACACCATCACCAAGCAAAAGGCCCGCGTCGGTCAGATGGTGTTTTTGGTCTGCTACGCCTTTGGCTGTGAACTTTGGGCTCCGTGGTCCGAGGAACTGGGCCGTTGGCCGACCCAACAGTTGTCCTTGTTTCTGGTCAATCTGTGGCAACTCCCTGCGGCGCTGGCCCCGAATTTCGCCTCGATCGTCGTCGCCAGAGCTCTCGCCGGCCTCTCCACCGCCGGCGGCTCAGTCACCCTGGGTGTCATTGCCGACCTATACCAACCGGAGGACTCGGGCTTCCAATATGCCGTCGCGTTCGTCGTGTTGTCGTCGGTGGGCGGTGCCCCTGTCGGCGCCGTGATCGGCGGGTTTGTGGGCCAGTACTTGTCTCTGAGCTGGATTTTCTGGATGCAATTGTGCATCGGCGGAGCCGTGCAACTCATTCATTTCATCCTCGTGCCTGAGACCCGGGCGACCATCCTGCTCGACCGCGAAGCCAAGCGGCGCCGCAAGAACGGCGAGACCAACATCTACGGGCCCGACGAGCTGAAAAAGCCGCGGTTTCCCATGCACGAGTTTGTTCGAGTTTGGGCCCGTCCTTTCCAGATGTTTGCCACCGAGCCCATCGTCCTAGCTTTATCTCTGCTCAGCGGGTTCAGCGACGCACTGTTGTTCACTTTTCTCGAGGCCTTTACGCCGGTCTTCAAACAGTGGAATTTCCAGCCTTATCAGGTCGGATTGGCTTTTCTATCGTATGTATCCGCACTCGTACAGGGATGCAAAATGCGTGAGTGGTGGAGGTGAATAGCTATTGATTGACGACTTAGGTCTCTCATCGGATATCTGCTCGCCTACTTCACGTATCTGCCGGTGATTCGACATCATAACAAGATTCGCGCGGATGACCCGGACAGATTGTCTCCTGAATCGAGACTGTGGTGGTTACTTTTCCGTCCGTCTCACCGGGTTTTCTGTTGTTTCCCTTATTTTGCGTCCTCGCCAGCGTTTCCGTTGTTTCCCTTTCCCTTATTTTGCGTCTCCTCACCTTTAGGCCTTTTCTCCGTTGTTTCCCTTTCCCTTATTTCACGTCCCTCACAGCGTTTCTCCGGTGTTGCCTTTATTTTGCGTTGCCTCACCTTTAGGCCTATCTACCAGACTATACGTTGTGTGATATGCCTCAACTCAACAGTTTTAGGGCCTTTGCCTGGCCCCATTCCGCTCTCGGGATTGACTCTGTCTCTCAGTTTCCCTCCAATCTCTAAGCTAACGTCGATTTCTCCATGTAGTGGCCCCTCTCGAAACAATCGGTCTGTTCGGGTTTGCTTGGACGAGCCTGGGTCCCGACTACGGCATTCCCTGGATAGCGCCTATGATCTTTACCGTGCTCATAGGCATGGCAAACTATGGTATCTACAAGGTCAGTTTAGCACTCCGTTGTCCGAGTTAGTGCTTTGGTGCCCTTCTACCCTATCCGTCCCTGTTTGTGCTCCTGTTTCTGCTCCTGTTTCTGCCTCTGTGTCTCTGCTCCTGTGTTCTGCTTCTATGTTCCTACTTCTTCGTTTCTGCTTCTATGTTTCTGCTTCTATGTTTCTACTCCTGTTTCTGCTCCTGTTTCTGCTTCTGTTTCTGCTTCTGTTTCTGCTCCTGTGTTTCTGATCCTGTGTTTCTAATCCTGTGTTTCTAATCCTGTGTTTCTAATCCTGTGTTTCTAATCCTGTGTTTCTAATCCTGTGTTTCTAATCCTGTGTTTCTAATCCTGTGT